TCAGTTGGCCTGGACTCTCGGGAAGGCACCGAGACCACCGGCCCTGCCCGCTCCGGGGGTCAGGCCAGGGGACTTGCCTGAGGTCACACAGCGGGTAACCGCGGCAGCAGGTCACTTCCCAACAGCGCCCGCGGCAGGTGCGTGGGGTGGCCCCGGGAAGGCGCTGTCCGTGCTCTGGCCCCAGGCCCCAGCGGAGGAGCCCAGACAGTCTGGAGAAAGTGGTGAGCGGCCCAAGGAGGGAGGCCGGTGTGGAGGGCGGGCACAGGGCGGGAGGAGCCGGCAGTGACTCAGCAGGGCAGGATAAGGATCTTGCAGCCCAGGGAGAGGTAACCCCACTCCTCTGCCAGGGGAGACGGAGTCACGGAGCCTGCGGCATGGGTTGGCCAGGGCCATGGAACATCCTGAGAGCATGGCAGGGAGAGCTCCTGGCGGGCAAGCGCGGAGCTGAGCCCCTGGGGGTATCCCTTCTGGCCCTGCCCTCCTCACACCCCATCACCCAGACATCCTTGCAGACAGGGAAACGGGGCCCCGGGCTGGGCCGGGAGAAGTAGGCAGCGGGGCCAGGCTCCTCTCAGCTTCGCAGGGGAGCAGGGCGCGGGTGGGCGCGGTGTCCTCAGGAGGGCTGGGCTGGTCCAGGTGTGGGTGGGGGACGCGGGGCAGGGCAGGGCCATGGATGAGGTAGGAGGAGGCCCCGGGGTTTCCGCTGACATCACGGCCAGCTCAGGGTGAGCCAGGGCCGCTGGGTGCCTGCCCACTGAAGGGAAAGGGAAAGTGCACACCCGGCGGCCTCCCCCCCCCCCCCCCCCGGCCGCCTGCCCTCCGTGGCCCCTGCACATCCCCACAGGGGGAGAGGCTGATCCCCGGGCCTGGCAGGCCCTAGCAGCCCAGGCGGACTCAAGTCTGCCCAGCCGCCCCACTTGGCAGCCTGTGGTCAGGGCCCGGGAACCCAGGGAGTCCTGGCACGGGTGGCTCGTGGCTGCCTGACTCCCAGCGCGGCGCTCACCCACCATCCAAACTCCGGCCCGGAGTCAACAGTTGTAGCTGGGGGCGCCCTGAGCGGGCCCAGGGTGAAGGGCAGCTGCGACTGCGGTGCCTGCCCAGCCTCACACAGGGCCTGTCTGTGGTGGGGGTGGGTGGCAGGCAGGAGGGCCCAGCTCCCCTGCCCCGGGCACACGGGGACTCTCATGTGACACCAGCGGCCTTCCTTAGAGTCCTGAGGAAACTGGGGAGTTCGAAAGCTCAGAGCCAGGCGCTCGGCACGTCCTACTGTCTTGAGAGGCTCTCAGCACCTGGCCTCTCCCCATTTCGAGAGTCTCGGGCCCAGAGGTTGCCCCCGGATCTGCGCCCCACGGTGCAGTTGAAAGGTGCTGGAGGCAGGTGGGCCTGGGGCCCAGTTCTGGTTCAACCACTTGTTGGACCTTAGACAGGTGACTTCGCCTTACCAAGCCTCGGTTTCCTAAGGTATAAAATGGGGAACGAACAGCTCTTATCTCGTGGTGTTATTGTAAGAATGAAATGGAGCCGCTCATGCAGGGCCTCGGCGCGCCGCTGACGCCTGGGAGAGCACAGCGCGCTGAGGCCATGGTTCCGTGCGAAGGAGCGATGCGTCACGGCCCTGCCCTCCTGCCCGCACACAGGTCAGCCTCCAGCCTCGACCCGGGGCCCCTCGGGCGCCTGGCACGCAGCAGGCGCTCAGAGAACGCTGGGCGAATGAGTGAAGGAATTAGGGAAGGTTCCCCTCGGGCCTCTCCAACCCCAGGCCCCTGCCCAGCCATCAGGAGAGGCCCCTAATTCAGGCCCCCGGGACACCTGGGGGCCGGGACACCTTCCGTACCGGATTCTGCAGCTGCGTGGGACATGGTGCTTTTGGGCATCTGGAGAGCCTGCCCTAAGGATGCCAGTGATGAGGTGGGTGGGTGGGTGGGACCCTGGCCCGTCCCTGAGCCCACACTGACTCACCTCCACCCTCCTTGGAGGGTAGCTCAGTCATCACCTGGTGCCAGCCCTGCCCCCACCCAGCCACACCCTTGGGGCCTAACCGGATGGATGGTAAAGCAGAGAGCGGTGTCCTCCCCTGCCCGCGCGTGGTCCTCCCCCTCCTGGGGGAAGGGGACATGGCCTACTCTCTAGAAAGAAGAAGGGCCTCTCCCCAGGCCACCCTGGCTAACTGGGAGCCTGGTGTCCTCATCCCCAGTCTGGCCCCATCCAGTCGGCTTCCACTGGAAGCTCTACCGCACCCCCCCAGAGCTCCTTCTCTCACCATCCTCTCAGGTCAGATGAGGTAATGAGTGTCCCTTGTCGTGGGCTGACATCTTGAAGGCAGGAGGGAGTGCCCGTCAACCTCTCTGTCCTTCCCAGGGCCTAGCTCCCAGCAGGCCTCAGGAAATGCCTGCACCACACAATACGGGACAGATGGATCTAGAGCTCAAGGGGCAGGTACCCCTCTAACCTCTGCACTGCCCCCACCGCCATCCCAGACTGCTGGAGCTGGAAGAGGACCCCTTTCTGAGAGTTCCAGGGAAGCAGGGACTTTGCTGGGTCCCCAGCAGATCAGAGGTCAGTCACCTGTCCCAAGACACCCCAAGAAGCCCTGCAGGGCTGAACCTGCTCTGCCTCACCTTTCTCTGTCCCCCACCCCAACTCCAGCAGCCCACCCCCATTTGGGACTTGGCAGAATACAGACACAGTCTTTATTCCAGCCCCCACCCCAACCCAACTGGCAGCTCCTAGCCTGCTGCCTTTGCCCAGACATGGCAGAGGGGCACTGGCAGCTTGGAGATGGAGTTGATTTTCCCTTTGGCAGTGGGGCAGAGGGGGGAGGGGAGAGGCTTGGCCCCCACTGGGTGAGGGGAGAGGGCAGGGATGCAAGTCCAGACAAGAGGCAGAGGGAGAACATGATTACACGACTTTCCCAGCTCCTGGGGTCATGACATTATGGCTGGGGGCGTGGGGGGGGGCAGTCCTGGGTTCCCACTTTAGAGCTGCAGCCCTGGATCCCAGCAAATCTATGCTTTCTAGGCTCCCAGGTGAGCGTCTGCCGGGTGTGGGGGACACGGTGGGCTTCCCTCCGGCCCCTCCCTCCCTCCCCCAGCTGAGCTCTTTCCCTCGCCCACTCCCACCCATTTCTCCACCGCTCTGTGCTGCGTCTCCTCTTTCCTGCCCAGCCCTTCTCTTTCCCCCTCCTCTCCCCTCGGCCCCCACCCTCTTCCTCCGGCTCCCTCTCCCTCTTTCCCCTGGCCCCCTCCTCCTCCCTCGGTGGGGCTGCTTTCTCCCTGACTCAGCAAGGTGCTTTATAAGGTGCTGAGGGGGCTCCGCCAAATCCAAACCACATTGCCTGAGCAGGCTCTCCAGCAGGCGCCGGCTGGAGCGGGGAGCAACCAGGCCGCTCCCCCGGCCTCCCCTCCTGACTCCCTCCGGCTGAAGGGGTGGCTGCTAGGAGGCCTCCAGGCCGGCCTCAGTGCCAGTCACACTCTGGGCATCTGCCTTCTTGACCTTGGCATGGGCATCAAAAGGTCTAGGGCTCATCCGCCAAGAATGTCATTGAAACTCCAGTTCTGGCGGGGGTGGGGGGTGGGGGGGGCGTGGGGGTGGGGGTGGAGGGGCCCCGGCACTTTCCAGAAGGGCCTTCCGAGGCAGGTTTTCTCAGAACCGCCACTGATGGCCCAGAAAGTCCCCGGCCCCCAGCCCGGGCCAGCTCTCCTGCCCAGCTCTTTTCTCCTTGTTTAGGAAAGAAAGAAAGAAAGAAAGAAAAAGAAAGAAAGAGAAAAAAAACCAAACCCAACAACAAAGTCTGTCCCACTCCAGTGAGGTAATTGGAAACAAACTTCTCCCCCACCCCCTTGCCCCCCACCCCATCCTCACAGCACAGGGAAGGGGAGAGCTGCCCGGGACGGCGCTGGGCAGGACCAGGCCGCCCGCTCTGACCCGCAGGAGGGACGCTGGCAGGGTGCCCTCCTGTCTGTGCCGCCGAGGGGCAGCGGGGGTACAGACCAGCCCAAGTGCGGGGTCACCTTCCCCGGCTGGCCCAGCCCTTTGAGGCAACGCATCCACGGCAACAAAAGCAACTGATCACCAAGGGATGGGGTTGGGGGTCTGGTTCCAGGGCGCTGGGGCCCTGGAGCCCAAATGACTGTCCCCCAAGAGAACCACCCGGCGGGGCGGCCGCGCTCCGGGAGGTGTTTTCTTGGGTCTCCTGCACCGCAGTAGCCAGAGGAAAGGGAGACCCTCGGGGGGCTCTGGGCTTGGGGTCCTCCAGGAAGCCAGAACAGCAGCTCCCGCCCCGGGCCCTTGGGGAGGCCGCAGGGAGAGACACCCGGGCCCAGCGGCCCCCGCCCGGGAACACGGCCTCCCCCAACCCCAAAGGCAGGCGCAGCCACCACGCCTCTGTCGGGGCGCTTTCCACAAAGGGGTCGCGGCCCGTGGGTCGCCTCGAAGGGGACTCAGCGCTGGGCCGAGTCACCCCCAAGCCTCTGGTGTGGACGCTGGTCGGCGCCGGGCCGCGTGCGAATTAATGAATGGCCAGGCCCCCCGCCCCCGCCCCCGCCCCGCGGGTTAGAGCCGGGAACCCCGTGACCTCGGGGAAGCGGCCGGCCCGGGCCGCGGAGCCCTCGCCTCCCCGGCGGGCGCGGGCCCGGTTAGTCACCTGCCCGGGCCGCGGAGCCGGCCGGCGGGACAATGGGCAGGGGCGGCCGGCCAGACAAAGGGCAGCAGGAAAAACACCATCACCCGCCGGCCGGCGCTGGCACGCGGGGGGATGGATGTGTCACCGCGGCGCGGGGGGCCGGCGGCGAGGTGGGCGCGGGCGGGCGGGCGGGCGGGCGCGCGCGGGGGCCGCTCGCTCGCGGGGCGCCGCCGGCCGGTGCCCCCGCCCCGCCCCGGGCCCCGGGGGTGCCGCCGCGGCCCCGCCGCACCTCGCCCCCCCTCGGGGCCGGGGGAGGGAGCGAGCCCCGCCGCCTCCCTCCGCCGCCCCGCCTCCCCCACCTCGGGGAGGGCCGCTACAATTTGTGGTTACAGCTTTACACGTCAGAAAAAAAAAAGTTTGCAGAATGTCCCACACCGAAAAAAAAAATCCGAAACCGAGCGAAAAAAACCTGCGAGTGGGCCTGGCGGATGGGGTTATTCGAGCCTCGCCCGCCGCGGCTCGCGCTCCCGCTCCGCCGCCTCCGCGAGAGGAGCCGCCGGCGGCCCCATGGACCTCCGGGCAGGTAGGCGCCGGCCGCCCGCCCCGCCGCCCGCAGACCCGGCCCCGCGCGCCCCGGCGGCCCCGGCGGGCGGGGGCTCGGGCCGGGCGCCCGCGAGGGGCCGGCGGGACGCGGCGCGCCCGGAGGCGGCGGGGCCGGGCCGGGGAGCCGGGGAGCGGGGGAGCCGGGGGAGCCGGGGGCCGGGGGTGCCGGGGGGCCGGGGGTGCCGGGGGAGCCGGGGGGGCCGGGGGTGCAGGGGTGCGGGGGGAGCCGGGGAGCCGGGGGAGCCGGGGGTGCCGGGGGCCAGGGCCGCGCGCCGACCTGGGAGGCGCCACCTGGAGCCCCGCGAGGCGGCGTCCGACGCCCCCGGCGGGGAGAGCGGCGCGGGCCGGGCCGGGCCGGTCCGGGCCGGGCCGGGGAGGCGGGCGCGGCCGGGGGCGCCGGGCCGGCGGCGGGGAGAGGCCGACACCTCGGGCCGCGCCGCGCTCCCCCCGCGGCCCGCCGGGAGGGGCGGCGGGCGGAGGGCAGAGCCGCCGGGCCGGGCCGGGCCGGGCCGGGCCGGGCCGGGCCGCGGGTCTCGGGGCGCCGGGCCGCGCGGGCGGCAGGTAGGGGCGGCGGGCGGCGGCGGCGACCCCCGGCGCGGCCCGGGGCCTGGGAGTGATTAGCGCGGGGGGCGGGCGCCGCCCGGCCGGACCGAGCAGGAAAAAGTCCGTCACCGGCCGGGCAGCGGCGGGCGGGCGGGGAGTGGACGCGCGGGAAAGGGCAGCGGCCCGGCCGAGCCCCGAGCCCGGCGCCCCGGACCCCGCCCCCGCCGCCGGGCGGGGAGCCCCGGGCGGGAGCGGGCCGGGGGCGGGGCCGGGGCCGGGGCCGGGGCCACACAGCGGGAAGGCGCCGCCGCGGGAGGGCACCGGGCCGAGGTCAGCGCCGGGGGCGGGGGCCCGCGGCCGCCGCCGGCTTCTGGGGCCGAGCCCGGGGAGCCCGCGCCCGCGTCCCCGCGCTGCCGCCCTCCGCCCGCTGCGCCCCGGGAGCCCGCCCCGCCGGGCGGCCGCGGGAGGGGCGGCCGGGAGGGGAGGGGGCCGCGGGCCGGCTGGGGGCGCGGACACCACCTCTGGGGCGCTCCAGCCCGGGCCCTGCCCTCCCGACCTCCGCGGCCAGGGCCCCGGGGCCCCGTCCCCCCGCGCCCGCTCGCGGCCCTGGAACCGCGCGCTCCGCCAGCGCCGCCCGAGGTGGCAGCGCCGGGCAGCGGGGCGGGCAGCCCCCCGCGCGGGACCCTGTAATGGCTCCCGCGCCCCTCCCGCGCCGCCCGGCTCAGGCTCACACTGAGCGCGCCCGCCGCCAGCCTCCAGCGACACTTCACATTCCTCCGCACAATCCCACCTGCTTGTTCACACCCCGGCCCGCAGCCCCTCCCCTGCCGCGCTGCGCACCCTTTCAAGCTGCCCCCACGCTGGCCTGGCCGGCGGGGCTGTTTCCTGCACGAGGGCCCTGGCCTCGGCCCTCAGCCGGCGGCTGCCTGCGCCAGCCTGGGCCACCGCGCCGCCCGCCGCACACCGGGGCCTCTGCCTGCCACACCATCCAGAACCCGCTCCAGAAGACCAGCTCCTGTGCCCCTGCTGGCCTCAGGAGGCCGGGAGGCCGGCTTCTTGCCCGACCCTCAGCTGCTTCTCTCATGGAGATTGGAGGAGAAGGGCAGGGAGAGGGCAGCAGAGGGGATGCCCCCCCGGCCCGGTGGAGACCCTTAGCGCAGAGCAGCCCTCCAGCTCCGTCCGGGGATGGGCTGGGGCACAGCAGGGGCGCCTGACTTCTGGGCCCACATGTGCCCACTCACTAAGCCACTTCTCCAAGTCTGGGACACAGAGCGCCAAGGGGCTGGGAGGGCGAGAGAAGAGGGCCGAGTCTGTGGGCCTTTCCCTGGAAGGGCAGCCTGGGACCCGTCCCAAGGAGGGTTCCTATGGTCTCAATACCTGGATCTCACACCACAGTGGACACCGCACCCTGAAACCACTTCCATTCCCCCAGTTCCTCAACAGACTCTTGACGGGATGCAGGTCCTGGTATGGTCTGAAGGCAGGGCCTTGCCTTCTGGCGTTAGCACCTCTGAAGCTGCAAGCCTCCTGCTCTTCGGTCCTCAGCTTTGACCTCTGAGCCCCACCCATGGCAGCATCTCCCTGCTGGCTCGATTACCCAACCTGCCCAGCTCATCTGCACACCGGGCACCCCCTCCTGAGTGAGCTCAGCTGGGGGTACAAGCCTGGCCCTGAGGGGCAGCTGGCTAAAGCCACAGGGCTACGGGTGTGCCTGCCTGTGCAATGGGTCAGGGTGGCCCTGTGCCTGCGTGAGTGGAGGCTGTGTGTACACACACACACACACACGCACACACACACACACACACACACACACACACGGGTGTTCCTGAGGGGGCCTCGGTTCCCAGGGCCCAGGGATCTGGATGGAATTAGGGGCTGGCCCGGGTGGGGGCCAGGATGGGGTGGGGCGCAGCAGGAAACGTGAGCTGTGCTCATTAGCTCCTCGTGCTCAGCGGATTTATAAACACAGGGGAAGACGGGATGTAAACAATCAGTGGGCAGCAGCCAGAGGCAGAGCTGGGCTGGGGGCCGGGCTGGGGGCCGGGGAGGGGAACAGAGCAGAGCAGGAGCAGCCCCCTGGGCCGGTCCACCTGCACACCAGGGCCTGGAGGAGGCTGGAGGCTGTGTGGGGCTCAGATGCCCACCACACACTCCGTCCTAGGGAGCTGCTGGGAGGTTCCAGCGCTTCCCACTGAGCCACAGGTGTCCTGCCCCCCACCACTTCCAGTTTTGCTGAGAGGGGGATCCTGGCCCAGAGTGGCGGCTCTCCTACCGGAGGACAGTGCCTGTCCCCTGGCCTCCTCTTCCTCCTCTCCATGCCTCCCTCTGGATCTCTCAGACTCCGTTCCTCTTTCTGGTTCTACTCATGGGTGGGTCAGTGGGCGCTTCTGCTCTCCCCCTACACCCCCCCAGCCTGCAGCGACACAGTTACCTCAGAACTGAAATATTCCTGGGAACACCGGCCTGGTCTGGTTAATTTCACGAGCCGTTTTTCTGCCCAGATGACTTAGCTCTTGTTTATCCAAAGGCTTCTCCCCCTGCAGTCCCTGTGCAGGGAGCCAGTCTTCCCCAGGGATATCCCAGAGGGTCCAGAGGCCAGGGAAAACCTCACCCCACCCCCACCCTGCCACGCACAGGCAGGCAGAGCCCAGTTCCAGAATCTAGGGAAGCAGGGGTGGGGGAAAGGCCAGCCCAGCTGCAGCCAGGACCCTGGGCCTTGCCATGAGCTGCGAGCCAGGCCAAGCTTCATTCTGAAAGCTGCCTCGAGGCTGGAAGGGCTGCTGCCCCTCGGCCTCCAGCCTCCCCAACTCACCCTGCGTGGTGCCCATAGGGCCCTGGCGGTGACTCGGCCGGATATCCAGGCTGAGGGTGGCCTAGGCCCATGCAGAGAAGGGCCTGGAGTTGCCTTGGGAATGTGACGAATAAGGAAGGAGACGCGAGTCACCGAGAGCTCCGGGTGGAAAGGAAGTGGGAAGAAAGGGGGTGCAGGAGAGAAAATGCAGGGGCTGATGGGGAATGGGAGGAGGGCTGCCTGCCTCCCCAGAGTGGCAGCGTGCCTGCTCCTTCTCTCTTCCCTGAACACACTCCCTCAAACCAGGAGACGTCTTTTCACTCGAGAAGGCTGAGACCAGTGACCCTCCCATGTCCCCCACTCGCCAGTGAGGTCAGCCGGCCAAGCTGACCAGCAGTCAAAAGTGACCAGTCGGGCCCCTGTGCAAGCCCTACCTGATCCCCACTCCTGGTCAGGGGGTCAGGGACATTTTCACAAGTTAATCCTAAACGCCTCCCCATGGGAAACCCTCTCTGAAGCCCTGACCCAGGGTTGTGATGGACACCAAGCCTGCCCTCACCTCAGGTCTTCACTGCCAAACCTCCCCTCTAGTGCACTCACAGGCGAACCCCACGGCCGACTTATTTCTAATGATCAAAGCGAAATGTCACTGCGGAAAATCTGAAAATATAAAATACAAACCACTTGCCCTCTCACACCTACCGAGTTCAAAACCCAGACTGGCCGCGCCCTCAGTGACACACCATGCATCACGCGCCTGACAGCTCCGTCCGCAAATTCGCCAGCCTGAGCCCCAGCCAGGCCCCGCCTGCCCACTCCTGACCACGGCCCCGGCCGCGGCCAGCCAGCCAGTCCCGACTCTGCACCAACCTGGAGCTTTCGAGTAACAGTCTTTTAGCTCACTGACGATCAGTCCTCACCCGACTCGAGCCCTGATTGACTTGACTGGTCTCAGTGCCCACTGGATCCTGGCCTAGTCCTCTTGACCTTGGCCCTCACCGAAAGTGGGGACGATCATGTTTCCCAGGGGCCTGTGTCCAACCTCACAGCACTGAGCCCTGGCCCCAGGCAGCCCGGGATGCCCAAACTGTTCAGTGTCAAAAGGTGACAATCTCAACACATTAAACACCCCCCCAACCCCAAAAGCTAATCAAAAGACCTCATCCTGGTCAAATTCATCCAACACCATAGACGAACGAGGCAGACTTCCACCCTGTGGCCAATCCCTGAGTGTGAAGCGAAATCTCCTTCCATCTAACCCCTTCCTGCGTCCCCACACCCAGGGGTGATACCCACCGCGACTCCAAGCACCGCTCCTGCCTCCTTTAGCCTGACCTCGGGGGTCTGCCCCTCTACCTTGCTTCTGCCCTGTCGGGCACCTTGCCTCAGTGGCTCCTCTCAGACTCTGGGGCGGCCTCTCTCACCACCCCACCAGCTCTGGCACTGCTGCTCCTCACCCCTTGGCGCCCCCGCCCCCCCCCCCAGGCTGCAGTGGGACTGGAAGGCGGGGTGAGGAGTCTGAGGTCGGACTGGAACTGTGGGATATGGGCTTGCAGTCCCCAGGCCTGCCCCCTCCCCGCCCCGCACCCTGTGCCGGTACACACGCTGCAACCCTCTTAGGGGGCGCACGCTCACATGTGTTCCGGTAGCAACTGCAGACACTCACGCAGGCCGGGCCCGTGCCTCTCTCCTCGGCCCCCGCCTCCCATCTGGTGTCCTCCGCCAGCCCAAGGTGGGGACAGGCACCTAAGGGGCAACCAGCCGCTTCCTCAGACCAGGCGGGCCCGCCCTCACCCTCTCGCCCGTCCTGCCCACAGGGGACTCGTGGGGGATGCTAGCTTGTCTGTGCACCGTGCTCTGGCACCTCCCTGCAGTGCCAGCCCTCAACCGCACAGGGGACCCGGGGCCTGGCCCCTCCATCCAGAAAACCTATGACCTCACCCGCTACCTGGAGCACCAGCTCCGCAGCTTGGCTGGGACCTACGTGAGTATCCGGGGCAGCTCGGGGCTGGGAGCGGGTGGAGCGCCAGAGGAGCTGGGGGCGAGGGACTCGAGGGTGGAGAAGTCCCGGTGAATGGCCGGGTGATAAGGAGGGGCGCTTTGGCCCCAAGCGGTCTCGGAGTCTAGCCTACCTCCTGCCCTTCCCTCTTAGGTACTCCCCTGCTCCCCGTGCCTGGCCCCAGGACTAGGCATGTGGGCAGGCCTCGCACCCGCCTTGGCCCGCTGCCCCATTGGCTGCCGGCCCAGCCGCCCGCCTCCCCCCGGGGGCCGGGGAAGTCTCCTCTGTTTACACCGTGTTGTGGTGTCTCTTGCCCGGGTGGGGCTGGGTGGGGTGGTGGGGCCCCACCTCCCGTGCCTGTGTTCCAGCTCTCCTCTGCCCCAGACCTGGGGCCCTGCAGCTCCGGACCCACGGGCCTCCCTTCCGTCTGTCTCGCCCGTCCTGGCTGGGCCTCCTAGGGGGGACTTGAGGGAAGGGGGCTGCAGGGAACCCAGGCCAGTCGTGATGGGGGGGCCGGGGTGTGGACGGAAGTTGTGCCGTAAGGACTTGGGGGCAGTCCAGAGGTGTCCAGGGAGCCCAGGAGAGAAGGAAGGAGGGTCGGAGTTGCCGAGGACCGTGGGGAACCGGCCCCCTCTTCCCGTGTTCCTCTTCCACATCCCAGACCCTACTCTGGAGCCAGGGAACGAAAGGGGAGGAGGGTGGCGGGGGAGCTGGCTCCAGCCCCAGGATACACCGAGGAAATTAGTTTGTCTCTGTGCTTGTCAGCGTGTGAACCTCCCCCTGGGCCCTGGCCTATCCCAGGCCTCGCCCCTCTCCTCCCTGTTTCTCCAGGCTGCGCTGTCTCCCTCAGCCCTTTCCCTGGGCCCCAGGCCTCTCCCCCGAGGGTTGGCAAGGCTCTGTCCTCTTCCCCAGCCTGTCTTCCAGACCCTTCCTCTAGCCCCGCTCAGGAGACTGCCTCAGTCTCTTCCTGCGACTGTGAACCCCTCCAGGGGCAGTCGGTGAGCACAGCCACCAGGGTGGGACGGGGCCTGTGAAAGAGGCAAGTGGACCCCGAGGCCCGCAGGCCTCCGGGCCTCAACACCCGAGTCTTTGCTCACTCGGGTCTCCCCTCCTGAAGGCCTGGACTTGACTGCTGCCCCTCTAGTTCCTGACCCTCTTCCTCCTGGCTTTTCCTGCCAAAGTTCTCGAAGGAGTGGTCTACACCCTCTGTCTCCACTTCCTCTCCACCCACTCACTCCTTAACCCCCTGCGATCTGGCTTCCAGGCCACTGCATCGGTTCTCTCCGAGGCCGCCAGGCACCTCCTGCTGCCGAGCCCGAGTCCTCTCTGAGGCTGTTCCTCTCTGTTTTGCAGCCTCGCTGTCGAGCACTGCTGCCTCCTTGGCTCCTCTCCTTGGCTCTGCACTCTCCTGGTCCACTTCTGCTCTGCAGCCTGGCCGCCTGGCTCCTCACGCTCCTCTTCCTCTCTGCCCCGCCCCGTGGGCGCCCTCCCAAGATCCGCACCTGTCAGCTCGTCCTTCCTGGTACCTCCTGTGGGTCTTCTCTTTCTGCGCCTCTCCATGGGCGAGCTCACCGCCCCCATTACGTCAGCGGTCGCCTCCACGCAAATGACATCCTCGGAGAACTGTCGGGAAGGCCGGGCCCAGAGAAGCCTGTAGCTTGGAGATGGGGCCGGTGTCGGGGGACATGCAGTGGAAGCTCGGGCACAGGTGTCTCCGGGGCCCAGCCAGCTGCTCTGCCCTTCTCCTCCCATCACCCTCTCCTTTTCACAGCTGAACTACCTGGGCCCTCCCTTCAACGAGCCTGACTTCAACCCACCTCGGCTGGGAGCGGAGACGCTGCCCAGGGCCACGGTCAACTTGGATGTGTGGCGAAGCCTCAACGACAAACTGCGCCTGACCCAGAACTACGAGGCCTACAGTCACCTTCTCTGTTACCTGCGTGGCCTCAACCGCCAGGCGGCCACGGCCGAGCTGCGCCGCAGCCTGGGCCACTTCTGCACCAGCCTCCAGGGCCTGCTGGGCAGCATCGCGGGCGTCATGGCAGCTCTGGGCTACCCGCTGCCCCAGCCCCAGCCTGGGACTGAGCCCACCTGGGCCCCCGGCCCTGCCCACAGCGACTTCCTCCAGAAGATGGACGACTTCTGGCTGCTGAAGGAACTGCAGACCTGGCTGTGGCGCTCGGCCAAGGACTTCAACCGGCTCAAGAAGAAGATGCAGCCTCCAGCAGCTGCGGTCACCCTGCGGCTGGAGGCCCATGGCTTCTGATCCCCGACCTTTGCCACCCCCCCTGCTCCCACACTGGGAGGGGGAATGGAGTGCCAACTCCTGTTGAGCCAGGACACAGAACCAGTGACCCGCCGGTCTCCTGAGGACTTGGATGAGGCCCGATGCCATGGGGCGGCCCTCCCCGCTCCCCGAAGCCCTGCAGGTCTGGGGAAGAGGGGCCATTTCCATGGGAAGTAACATCCCAGGGAGCCTCCTGTGTCCCAGGCCCACCCCGGCCCTCGAGTGGCAATTCCTGGAGGACTGCCGCAGCGCATGAGTCTTGCTGGGGTGGAGCCCTCTGGCTGCCCTGCTCCTGGGTGGGAGTCACCCCTTGCCCCCAAAATAACCTGTCCTGTTTAGGAAACAAACACGGTGGCGAGTCCCAGCAGGAAGAGCCTCCCACCAGGGTCACCGATGGGAGAGATGGGGTCTGCAGGGGCTTAGAAAGCAGAAGAGACCACCCTAAAAGCAGAGGGCCAGGGCCAGCGCACCCGGCAGCCACCGAGCCCGCTGGTGGCACAGGGGGCAGCCAAAGGGCTCTCGCCCGCCTCGCAGTGTCTTGCCGGCATCACGGTGCCTCCTCGCCGCCCCATTCCCAGGTGTCTGTGGGTTGCCTAGGCTGGGGGGGCAACTGGAGCCACAGGATTTCCTGAAAGTTTACATTGCAGTAGCATTTCGGGGGGTGGGGGCAGCTCCCCCAGGCCCTGCTCCCCAGCCCCACCACTCATGACTCTAAGTTTGTTGTATTAATATTTATTTATTTGGAGATGTTATTTATTAGATGATATTTATTGCAGAATTTCTATTCTTGTATTAACAAATAAAATGCTTGCCCCAGATCGCCATCTCCTTGTTGGCCAGGCCCCGCCCAGCCCCCTCGTTCTCCCTGCCTTGCCCTCCCCTGGTGCCCGTGGCCGGCGGTGGAGAGCGGGGGGCTCCAGGGGCCTCTCAGAAAAGGCAAAAGCTTGGGGAAGAGGCTTCCCTGCTCATCCACCAGGAAGACGTGCCCACAGCAGAGGCCTGCATCGGCTCTGCCCCGGTGCCGCTCGCCCTCAGCCCTCCCAACACCTCCCTGTCCTCAGCCGGCTTCCTTCCCCGGCCTTTACTCACCTCTCCGGTCTACCTCACCTCTCTAGATTGCTTCCCGGGCTGTACGGGTCTCCCCAAAAGCTCACCAAGTGCCCTCAGCGCTGGGCAGGCAGCTCACAGCTTCCCCAGGGCCCCCACCTGTCCACTCGCCGAGCGCCCACCCCCTCCCCCGCCCGCGGGACCCGCCCCTTCTCAACTCCCAGGGAGAGAGATGGCTGCCGCCAGGGACGGGCCTCCGGCTGAGGCGCCCTCCGCTCCTTTCTCTACCACGAGAGGCCGTGGACTGAGGGAGGAGACGAGCAACCACCGATGGCAACACCCCCCCACCCCCCGCACACACACACAGATGCGACCAGGAGGAGGCCCAAGCTCAGGTCTACCTGCTGGTGACCTGGGAGCCGCTGGTCCAAGCCCTCTCCGCTCCAGGCTCCCCAGCTGCAAAGTGGGGACAATTTAATCCTCTCCTGGGCTTGCTGGCGAGGATGACTAAACCGGGCTCGGCGGTGAGGAGTAGTCCCAGCCTCCTGGACAGGCCAGCCGGCTCGCGTGCGCGCGGCGAGGAGTCGCTGGGTAAAAGGACAGGCTAGCTGTTCGCACGTTACATGGCTAGTTTTCCGTGGGGCTGCTGGAGACGGCGCCTCAGCGAGGAAGTAACAGATGGCAGTAAAGGCCTGGTGACCAGCCCACGGTGGCACTGACTGGTGCCAGAAAGCCCAAACACGTCCCCAGCCCAACCTGACTCTTGCCGCATGCAGCCCGCCATGTGTGGGGGGAGAAGACCGGCCTGTCTGAGTGATGAGGGCGGGGGCGCGCAGGTGGGCCCTGGCTGGGAGGTGCAGTGTGGAGTGCCGCAAAGGGGGAGGCGGGCGGAGGCACGAGCTGAGTCTCTGGGCCCGGGTAGAGGCCCATGCCTGCCCCGAGGGGCTGAGAGGTGTTAGTCCAGGCGTGGCCAGGGCCACCTGCAGGCTGCCACCCACCTGACGGGAGGAGAGACCACTGGCCGTCTCCATGAGGGGGGGCGGAACACGAGCCGCTGCCTGTCCTGTGCTCAGCACCAACCGAAGGTGAGGCGGATACAGGGACAGGAAGGCCGCCACGGCGCTACTCCGTGAGCTTCCTGGGGCAGACGCCGAGTCTCCCTCGCCTCTGTCCCAGCCCCAGTTCGACTCCAGCCCAGAGAATAGAGGTATTGAATAAATGACCCAGAAGACTGGGATCCCTGCCCCCACCCCCAATTCTACAAGGCCAGGTAGAACCCAACCAAGTGCAGAAGGACCGCGGCAGAGGAGGAAGGCAGCCAGGATGAGTGGCCCTGGGGCCTAAGGCCCGGGCGCCTTCCGGGGTCTTGTACCCCGGCGCTTCTGTGGAAGGGCATGAGGAGGGGTCTGCTGCGTCGTGGGAGGACGGGCCAGTTACAGTGTGTCTTCCTCTCAGCGGGTAGCATCTTGAGGGCAGGCGCCACCACTCCCTCATGTTTGCACCCCTACAGCACCTCAGCACACGCTGGGCCCAGACTCCAGTGCTCGGTGGTTCCCTTGAAAGTGATTCAAAGAACGTCAAGAGGAGTGTACCAGAGTCACGGGGAGACTGTTAAGAAGGCAGCTGATCAACAGGGTGCCCGGTAGAACTGAGAGAAAGAAACGGGGAGCACCTGCTGGCCTCGGTGGTCAGGGAGGTGAACAGTTGAGAGGCAGACACCAGACGGGGAGGTTAATGGCTCAGCAGAGCGGAGGGTGAATGGGTTACCCAGAGTGGACGGCAGCCCGAGGGGTCAGCTAGAGGGAGTAGTGGCCCCACCGAGGGGAGCTTCGTTTGCCTGGTTGGTTTGCTGCTGTGGGGTTTAAACAGAAGAGGCCTAAACTTGTCATTGCTGGCTGAGGGGGTGGCGCAGGACAGGAACGGAGAGACCGGGGGTGGAATTGGGACAAACAAGGAGCCAAAGGGTGCTGGCAGCCCCTGGACCCAGGGGACATCAGCAAACACTGGGTGCCAGGAAACACCCGCCTGTCCAGGCTCTCCTGACGAGTCTCTGTCCGAACTGCGCTGCCTGGGTCGTGGTGTCCTCGGCAGCCAGAGGACAGGGCAGAGTGGAGAGGGGGCCCTTCCGAGGCGGGGGGCAGCAAGGCAGGACGACGGCCGGTCACGGTGCCACAGGCTCCAGAGGACCAGACTGTGCAGCAGCGGGGACTGGGGGTGACTGGGAGAGGTGGGGAGCTGGAGTTCACTCCCACTAAGGACACAGAGGATACATTCTGAGGAGGAAGGTGGGGTAGGTGGTGACAGGGGAGAGCAGTCACAGAGGCATTTCAGAGCGAGTTCTTGAACTCTCCCCCGAGGAGCTCCCCACTGATGGCTGGGTCTTGCCGCTGTGGCCTGTGGGGCAGGGAGCCCTGCCAATGAGGGGTCGGCAGTCGTCTCTGTGAGTCTGTCATGGGTTCTCCACCCATAGCTGCTTCAGGAGAGCTCTGAGTTTGGGGTGGTTGCCTCAGGCTTCCCGCCTTCGTTATGGTCTCAGTCAGGGGCTCAGGTGTCAGAGGTCAACTTGAGAACCTGGAACACCTGGGTCCTGCAGAGCCGTGAGGGGGAGGGGGGCGGCGGTCATTCTAGCCCCTTGCTGTTACCAGGAAGGCAAGAGGCACCTCAGGAGAGAGGAGCGGGTCAGGCTGTCACCAGCTAGGGAGCCTGGAGAGCGCCTGGGAGAGAAGAGCTGACTCCCGGGAGGCAACTTGGGGGGCGGGGAGTAGGTCTTGAGGAGGCTGTGGTGGGGGTGGCAGAGGCTAGTCATGTCTTGCCACCTCTCTGCAAAGACTAAATGAATATCCAGGACTTAGGGGCCCTCTTAGCACGTGGAGAGACTCATTCACTCATCACACACACACACACACACACACACACACACACAAGCACGCATACACACACACTCCATTCAGCACCCCCACCAGAGGGGAAGGGTCCAGGGCCTCCCTTCCACGATAACCTAGAGGGCAAGGGCCAGCGTGCCAGGCCTGGCAGCACACTCTGGGGGAGGCTCCATTTCAGCTCCCCCTTCTTCACTGGCGCCACAACTGTCCCTGCCTTTGTCCCTTCAACTGCGGAGCTCCCTGACTCAGCCTGGTTCCCCAATTTCCCAGCAGTGGACAAAGCCCTTGTCAGTGGGTGCGTGGGGGTAGCGAGGGGGTAACGGTGGCTTTAGAACCAGAGCCTGAGCTCTTTCCTCCTCTCAGCCTTCAGGGTGCCTCACCCAGCCAGTCCAGAGGTCATGCTAGGCCCTTCCCCGACTTGCCCCCATCTCCCAGGTCTGGCTGAGGGTGGAAAGGAACCAGGGCCTCCTCCCAGCCGGACAAAGTCTGACACCTGGTGGCCAAGGTCAGAATGGCGCGTCTCAGCTTCCCGGAGCCAGGATGGTCAAGGTGAACCCGGAGGCCGTGGCAGGAGGGTGGGACTGGGCAGAAGCCACATCCAGTGACAGGCGATCCAGACCCAGGGGAACCTCGCCTTCCACCAGGCTCCTGCCCCTTAAGCCCACTAAGCACGAGACCCTGGAGTTGGGGGAGATGGGGTGTCTGGGAGGGTCGTGAGGGACTAGGAGGAGGTGCCTGAAAGAATTTTGGCCCACAGGGTGAGAATGGGGCCCAGGGTGTGTGAGTAGGTGGGGGCTGGGGTGTGAGTCTGGCTGCCCAGAATCTCCAGCTCAGGGTGGGTGGCAGGGCCTGAGGGATGAGGAGGGGGGTGTGGGGGAGAGGGAAGGAGAGCGGGCTACGCCCCACAGCCCGCTGGGGCCCAGGCAGCTGCTTCCCTCCCTCTACCTGCCCCCACCTTCCGAGCTCAAGCTGGTTCTCCCCACAAGCCCCATCGTGAGCTGGGGGAGGGGAATGGGCTCTTAGGGAGCATGCGCAGAGCTGAGGCCCCCCCATCCTGCCACTTTGTCTGAGCTAAGCCAGGCCTAATCCCCCTTCCCCTTAGAGCCGTTGGTGGTGGGCCTCTGCTCTCAGGAAGGTGCTGGGCTCCTGTCCCAGTTCTTTTTTCTTGGTTCTGACAATAATTTGGTCTTGGCCATGAAGTGAAGGCCTGAGTGTCACCAGGTCAAGGCGTAAAGGCCACTCCTGCTAGTTCCATCACCAGCCTCTTAGGATCAGGCTAACTCGGGAACCCGGGTCTCAGGAAATAGCCTGAAGGAGAGAAAACTTAGGCCCAACTCAGAGTTCAGTGTGCGGCCTGAACTGGGCTGGACCCAGGGACAGTAGTTGGGGGGACAGGGCAGGAGGCTGCCTGAGCGGGAACAAAATTTCAGGAAGGAAGGTGAGAGGGGCCAGACAGGGTTGGGGGAGCAAAAAAGGAAAAGACCGGAGGACAGGGGGACCAAAGACCAGGCAGGTACTCAGGAGACAGGAACGGGTCCCGAACCCCTGGGGCCCAAGGAGGAGGTCAAGGCTGCCTGGGGAGAGTACCCTCAATTCCAGACCAGGGATCCAGTCCCGGCACTGGAGCTGCCACCCTGACTCTCTTCCTTGGGGCTGGGGCGGCTTAAGGCCACAGAGACATTTCCCAGGTTGGGTGGGAGAGGCTAGCAGGGCTTGGGCCAGCCAGAGCTGGGGTGGCTGGCAGGGGCGGCCCAGACAGTGCCCACAGAGCAAGCCAGAGTGTCAGAGGAAAGGAAGGACTAGGCCCGGTGGCAGCAGGAGCTGCTGTGGCTGCCCGGCGGCACACCCCATTTCACGCTCCCTGGGCGGTGGCAGGGCCCCACGGCTATCAGCTTTCAGGGGTGGGAGGAACCAGGAATGAGGAGGGGTCTGCCCCACCCATGGCTCCCTACTCCCTCAGGCTTTGTGGGCCCAGTTGCTGGTGGCCACACACCTCCGGAACACCCAAGAGGAGGGGTGGTCGGCCCCGCAGAGCCTGGACACCATCCCCTTCCCCAGAGTGCCTGGGGTCTGCCAGGCACTGGTGGAGAGAGCCTTCCTGCGTCCCTCCCCACCACAGCAGACCCCCCCCTTCACCCGCGCCCCCCAACCATGGTAGCGGACTCTCCAGGGCTTTCTCCCCTTCAGGGACGCCTCCTAACTCTGTGCCCCAGACCCCTGAGCCGTGGGAGAGGCAGAAGGCAGAGGCCTCTGAGCAGGCCCTCGCGCCCTGGAAGGAAGACTAGCAGGCTTCAGGAGAGGGCGATTCTCTGGGCCTGTCCTGCCTCTGATTCCCAGACTCCCACTGGCCAGTACTTTCCCCTGCTGCCAGGAAGTTGGTGCGGGAGGGGGGAGTAGGGGTGAGTCAGCGATGACCGGAGCCCAGGGACAAAGGTCATGGGTGGAGAATTGAGAGACACTGTTTACAATAGCCTGCCTCCTCCAGGAGGTCTTCCAGGGCTGAGCCGGTCCTGTGGTCCTGCCCATCTGGGGCCCACCCCCGCCCCCTCTCCTGTTTGTTAGGACTTTATCCTCTTGCTGACAACTTGTCCCCGTCTGCCCCATGAGCTCTTGGGGGGCACGGAGGGGCCCCGCAGTGTGTTGTGACCGGCACCTGATGAACTGCAGAATGCTTCACCACCATCGCAGTCCAGTGCCCCCGCGGACGGTGCTCGGGAGGGCCTGGGCAGCCGTAAGGCCACGCCAGCGTCAGGGTCACTTTCTGCACGTACTTGCACAGGGGAGAGAGGCCGACTCTACCCGAAGAGCAGGAGTCCACGCACACGCTGGCCTCCCGCGCAGGAGGGAACCTTCCTGACCAGTAGGATGGGCAGGCGCGGGCTGCGAGACCCAGGGAGCCCACAAGGCAAATGCCCACCGAAGCGCGGGCAGTGTTTGGGGGGCAGGCTCAGAGGAGCTTTGGGAACCTCCAGACAGGTCTCCTGGGTCGCTCCCCGGAAAGGGGGATGGATTAGCCCAGCCGGCTCCGGACCTCCAGACCTGCCCCCACAAGGCTCGCGGGCCAAGGGGGGGGGTGGGGGGTTAGGGGGGAGGCTCCAGCTGGACTCTGGGGAGCCACTAACCGGCCACGGGGATTAGTGAGGCTGAAAGAACATTTGCCTAGGCAGGGAAAACGGGAAGTGAGAGGCCGAGGCGAAGCGTCTCCGAGTCCCCAGAGACCCGCCGCAGACCAATGAAGGGCAGCCGGAGGTGGTGCCGCCGGGGCGTCCCGACAGGTCCCCGCCCGGCCTCGCCCCCTCTTCCCCTCGCCCCCAGAGCACAGCTGCGCCGCGGCCCCGCCCCCCCGGCCGCGCCGCCCGCCATTGGCTGGGGCCAGGCCCCGCCCCGCAGAGGCGGCCTGCCATTGGCTGGGCCTCGCGCCGGCGAGCCGGCGGGGGTGGGGGGCGTTGGCGGCCTGGAGGCCGCGCGCTTCCCCCGGCCCGTCTGGTCAGCGCGTCGGCCCGTCGCTGGCCCCGCGCGCTCGCTGGCCCCAGCCCTCGCCCGCGCTCAGCAGCTGTCTCCCGTGCCCACTGGCCCGTCTCCTGTCCCGCGTCGCCTCCTTCGCCTGCCTGGGTGGCCGCCATGGGCCGGAAGCGGCTCATCACTGACTCCTACCCTGTAGTGAAGAGGAGGGAGGACCCCGCCGGGCGCAGCAAGGGGGAGCTGGCGCCGGAGCTAGGTCTCGAGGGGGGTGCGGGAGCCGTGGCCGCCGAGGGCCATGAGAGGGCATGGGCGGAGGTGGGCCGCACCAGGGGAAGTGAGGCCTGGCTCTGCTTCCTGGCAGGGCGGGCAGAGGGCCGGGCCCGGGGACAGCTGTGAGGCAGGCGGGGCAGGGGACCGGCCCGCGGGGCCCAGGCCCGGGCAGGCCTGAGGAGCTGCGTGTCATTGCAGGGGAAGAGCCCCAGCCCCTGAGCGTGGATGTGGACCAGACGGAGCTGGAGCTGCTGAGGCAGTTCGACCTGGCCGGGCAGTACGGCCCCTGCACAGGTGAGAGGCCCCGCCGCCGGGGCAGACCCGGAGCCCGCCCTGTCATCTTCTTGAAGCAAGCCAAGCGCCTGCCTGCCCCTCGGGCACTGTCTCCTGAGACCGAGGGGCGTGGAGGTTCCAAGACACCCCACCACACACATTCTCTGCTTGGGACTCTCCCCTGCCCCTCCACGAAGCCGCAGAGTCTTCTTCTCACCCTGGCAGGGATCACGCGGCTGCAACGCTGGCATCGGGCACAGCAGATGGGCTTGGGGCCTCCCCTGGAGGTGCATCAGCTGCTGCAGACCCACCTCGGAGACCCCCGCTACCAGCACAGGTCAGAGACAGCTGGGAGGCGCTCAGGGGCACCTCCTGGCCTGGGAGAGGGCTTCTCTGACCTCAGGGAGAAATGGCTGCAGGCTGAGCAGGCAGGAAAGTTCCATCCTCTGGCTCCAAGGCAGAGGGTCGCTTTAATATTTGCATCTCTCTGAGCTGAGGTGAGAGGAGGGTGTACCCAGGCCCAAGGGACTATTTACTTAGTAACAAGGGGGTGCCAGGGACTAGAGGCCACGACCAAGAGCTGCAGCTGATGAAATCACATCAAGGGACTTGACTTCCGCTTTGGTTTCTCCCACCTGCCCTGCCACAGCCTCTGGCACCTCTATCCCCTTTGAGGCACCACCGAAGACCTGCCCGCCTCCTGAGATCCTCAGCAGAAGCAAGAGGTGGATGCTGCCCCTCGGCTCAGCTCTGCTATGGAGCACATTCGGCGGGACGGTCTCAGAGGGAGGGGAAAAGGCTGAACCTGGAGGCTGCAAGACTCAACAGCGCTCCCCCGGGGCGCTGCAAGAGCCTTCCCAGCTGAAGCCCGCTCCTCCCAGACGGAGGGTGGTCTCTGAGGACAAGGGCGTGGCCCCAGTGCCCACCGTGCAGCCCCTGGCTCCAGGGATGGTGTGGCAGATTAGGATGGCCGTTGGCAGAGCCACACTGGACAGACGATCTAAGGGGCCAAGACGCACCTCCCCCCCTCCCCCCCACAGCTGGGAGTCTGAGGGCAGAACTAGCTGAACTCAGGGTAAGGGGTTCACACTGCTTATCAATAAAGAACAAGGAGCCTGGAAGCTTGCTCTCCAGTCCTTAACGTGGCCCTGATTTGGCTGGTAGCACCTGCCAGCTGACAAGTGGGAGAGCCTCACCCTGCCTCCTCTTGCCCCCTTTACCCGGCAAGGTACCCGGAGGCCAGCAGCAGCCTCCTCACCTTATGTCTATCTGAAGGGAAGAAAAAGCTAAGAGACCACAGTCCTCACAGGAGCAGGGCGGCCTCTGGCGCCCCCTGGTGGTGCACAGGGAACTTGCTCTTTAATTTCGTTCCTGGGCAGCCAGGGAAAAACACACCTGACCTGCAGCCTCCTGCCCACGGTGCCCATCTCACGAAAATAGGTCCTTTGTTGAAAGTAGGTCCAGGGGACCCATGGTGTATAAAGTCAGACAGACCTACCCATTCCCAGCAAGCACCTCTGCTCCCCACGTTGGGGGCCACCTGTATCCAAAATAGAAAGGGAAGGTCTTAACTGCAGAAACTCCTTCAAGATGGCCACCCTCTGTGGGGCGTGGACACACACACACACACACACACACACACACACAGAGTATGTGTTGAGAAGGGTGGGGTGGTCTCCTTATGCAGCAGCCAGTGCATTCATCCGGGGGCAGAGGAAGGCGGCTCCATGAACTCCCTGGCCTAAGCACCACTGATCCTATCAGCCCCCACTTTGTTGAGTACTGACCAGGCCTCAAGTATGTCAGATGTGTTCCCCCAATGTCCTAATGAGCCATCAGGCAGATTTTACTGACAGGGACCTCGTGCCCAGAGGCCCCGCAAGTACATGTGGCCCAGAGACCAGGTGCAGCATATTAGCTCTTCCCACCAGCAGCAGCCCTGCCCACGAGTGCCCACTAGGTTCGGGTGTCAGAGATCCTCCTGGGGTGTCATTAGTAGTGAGGAGATGGACAAAAACCAACATGTAAATACTGTATCGGGATGGCTGGTGGTAAGTGAAATTGGGGTCAGAGCCCAGAGGATGTCTGAGGCCCCAGAGGGGTGGGCTGGGGAGCCTCTCCAACCTGGTGGCGCTGGACAGATGCTGGTGGGTTTTAAGTCAATAAATGACATAATCTGATCTGTGTTTTTAAAACATTCGTCTGGGGCCTCCCTGGTGGCACAAGGGATTGAGTCTCAGTACTATCAAGCTATCAGCAGCCACTGCAGCACAAGTTTGATCCCCGGCCAGGGAGCTGACCCACATGGCACGGCAGACCTTGCCTCTCTCCTGCTGCTCCCCTCAGCAGTAGATTTCAGTCGATCTGCCTGTTCTGTTCCCCACTCTGTCTCTGGTGAATCCTATCACCCACCCCCACACCTGTGGCCTGCACCCTAGTTCTTGTATGCATAAATAAATAAAAATAATCTTTAAATAAATGAATAAAACATTCCTCTGGCCGGTGGAACGCAGCATGGGTTGGGGGCAGACACGGGCAGAAAGCCAGTTGGGGGCTTGGGGGGCTCGGGGGAGTGGTGGTGGCTTGGAGCAGGGAGGGAGACAGCAGTGGTGAGCAGTCCGTCTTCGTCTGTTTTGAAGGGAGGACTGGCTCGCGAAGAGCTGGCTGTGGGGGAGGGGAGGGGAGCCCAGCATGACTTGGTTTCGGCTGCAGGGCTGGAAGGACAGCGTTCCCATTCCTAAGATGGGAGATACTGCGGGGAGGGCAGGGGTGGGGGCTCAGGGGCACAGCTTGAGACACGTAGGGTGTGAAGTCCGTGGAGTGCAGGCGGGGAGCAGACAGCGGTGCTGCAAGTCTGGAATTCTGGGGAGAGCTCTGGGCCCAAGATCCCAGTGCAGTGGCGCAGTGGCTCAGTGGCGTGAAAGCTGCGAAGCGTGGAGATGACTGAGTGGGTGGAGGGGAGCAAGGGCACCCTGGACAGCGTGGGCCTGGCACACTGGTGGCAGACAGGCAGGCATGCAGCAAAGGAGGCAGGACTGGCCTGCAGGACTGGAGGGAAATCAGGGGGCCTGGGAGGAGAATGTTCAAGCTCTCAGGGCATCTGAGGCCTGTAAGTAGAAGCCTGGGAATAGCGCACACTGGCCTAGGGGGAGGGCACCTTGACCAGAGCCGTTTCCACGAAGGGACATGCTCCGAGTGGGCCTTGTCAGGTGAGTCCCTCTGTTAGGGGGAGAGGATGTCCTGAGCTAATCCCATGCAGGCTTTGTGGACCCCACCCCCACTCCAGACCAAAGCCATCAGGACATTGGGAAAGACAAATCCCGTCACCACCAAAGGGAGGGTGGCTGGGACCTGAGGGTGGAGTTGGGCAGCCAGGTTGGGTATAAAAACCAAACACGTGGGCCTTGGGGGTCTGGCTGTCGCTCGCCTCCTGGCTTCACGGCTCCTGGCTCGCGGCAGCTCTCAGAGTGCCATTTGGGATTCCTGATCGGCGGATCGGGTAGGACGCATTTAAAACTTTGTCTCCCGCTTTTCTCCCTGAGCGGTACATTTCCTCCTTTCTCCTTCCCTTGTGAATAAACCTTTTATGAACCTTTCACGTGTGCCTGCAGTAGAGTATTGATAAGTCCTTTTAAGCGCGGGTGAGGACCCACAGTCAGGCACCCCGTTTTGTATCGGGGCTGCCCTATAACAGTTTGGCGCCCAGCGTGGTTTCCAAGTTACACCCGCGGTGGACCAGCCCAAAGCAACATTCCTTGCGTTGGTCACCATAAGCGCACTAGTTCTGCAGGACTCACAGTGTAATATTTGTCTCAAGACCCACAGTCAGGCACCCTGTTTTGTCTCGGGGCTGCCCTGTAACACCTCCGCTGCTACAGGGAAGGCCGAGCTCAGTCCTACAGGGACAGTGCCCACACCAGGCCTCCCACCAACGGCGGCGCCCGAGGTGTTGAAAGCTTCCGACCCACCTGAGCTCAGTCAGCACAACTGGTACAGGCAGTGACGCAATCACTGCCTCGGGCAACTAGGAGGGGGACCCGGGAGCCAAGCTCTGAGGCAGGCAGCGCCTTCTACTCACCATGACTTTCTCGCCGCAGAATGAGTGCAGACTCTGGGGGGCTGAGGGCACCCTACTCTGGGTATTCTTAGCAGCTTTGTGTTTCACCTTCAAATCTTCCATCAGTGTTGCATCCTACTCCGGGAGGAGTGGCTGTGACATAAAAAGGGATAAACTTACTTGTCAGGTAGAATGAGCCCTCTAAAGGATGACATAATCTGATCTGTGTTTTAAAAACATTCCTCTGGGGCCTCCCCGGCGGCGCAGCGGTTGAGCGCTGGGTTGCAAAGCTGCCCACAGCCTCTGCAGCGCCGGTTCGATCCCCGGCTGCTCCCCGGCCACCAGAGGAGGGTCCCACATGGCGCGCAGACCTCTCCTGCCGCCCGCTGCTCCCCTCAGCAGTGTACTTCGGTCCTTCTGCCTGCTCTGCTCCCTGCTCTGGCTCTGGTGAATTCTCTCACCCTCCAGCGCTTCTCAGTGCTTGTATAAATAAATAAATAAATCTTAAAAAAAAAAAAAAAAAAAAAAACATTCCTCTGGGGCCTTGTGCCCTGGGCTGGGGTCACAGACCAGACCCCAACTCGGGTTACGCAGCCATGCAAAGGCGCCAACAAGCATTTCTTGGAAGGAACTGGGAGGGAAGCAGCCCTTGCCAGGCTGAGGAAAGAAACAAGGAGGGTGGACGTGAGTGCCCAGGGAAGAGGTGTGCAGATGGCACTGCTGTGAAAATAAGCACAAGTTTAGTGTGAACTGTATTTGGCACTGCACTAAGCACCCCCTGTCCTCACAGCAATCCAAGATTATAAAGCTCTTTATATATATTTTATTTTTTATTTTATATATATAAATATTTATGCATACAAGAGCTGGGGTACAGGCCAGAGATGTGGGGGGTGAGAGGATTCACCAGAGACAGAGTGGGGAACAGAACAGGCAGACTGACTGAAATGCACTGCAGAGGGGAGCAGCAGGCGAGACAGGAGAGGTCTGCTGCGCCATGTGGGTTGCTCCCTGGCTGGCTGGGGATCGAACTCGTGCTGCAGAGGCTGCAGATTGCTTCATAGTGCGGTGCTTAACCCCTTGCGCCACCAGGGAGGCCCTAATTTTGATTTTTACTTTATTATAATTACTCTTTTTCTTGAAGAGGAAATTCTGGCACAGAGGTTTCTCATATCAGGGGGGTGATGCCAGAGGGTGGCCTGGGACCAAACACCAGTCTTGAGCCTGGGGCAGGAGAGTCTGGACTTATCTGTGGTGATGAGAGCCTCAAAGGCTTCCAAGCAAGGAGGAGACAGAATAAAAACCATCATTCTGGAGACTGTCTGGTCAGGTGGGAAAGAAAGACTGGAGAGGGGGGAAGCTACAGGGAAGACAGGGTGCAAAGGAAGCTGGTGAGACCTGTGTTTGGAAGGGAAGGATGGCCTGGGGCGCTCACGTTTGGCTGGGAGAGAGGCCACAGGCAGTGAGGGGAAAACAGGAGGGAAGACAGGCTCGATGCTTGAGCTTGGGAGGATGACAAGATGTGCAGATGCACACTTGGAAACCTGGCAGTGGAAACCTGGAGGCCAAGCCCCCCGGAGGGGAAGGGAGGCCATGGTACCTGGCGGGCGCAGGACTGACTGACACTGGAGCCTAGAGCAGAGAGGAGCTCTCCGAGAGAAGAGACAGGAAGCGGGGAGGGGTGGGGAAGACAGGAGCGAAGATGGTGCTTGAGAAAGTTTTCTCTAGAAGGGAAAAGAGGCGCAGCAGGGAGCTGGGCACACGGGGCGGCGGGGTCTGGGGGTGGGTAGTCAGCAGTGTGCAGGAAGAAGCCTTTGGGAGGGACGGCGAGGCTGCAGGGCGCTTGTCCAGATTCTGCCCCCACATTTCCTGTGTCCTGCCCTCTGGACTTCTCTAGCACCCCCTGCTGTCCAAGCAGCTCCTAGCTGCACCCCAGTCCATGAGGGACACATTGATTCACTCCGACTCAGGTGTGGCCACATTTATCCACCCTCAAACCCACGCGAACATACTAGTAGCGTCAAGGCTTAAGCAGCTAATTTACCAAGACACCCCAGTAAACAAGGGAAAGGAACATGCTACTTTCATCCACTAACATGGATTAGTCTAGAAGCAGAGGGAAACCCCAAAGCGCCCGCTGGTGGTGGACCTGGGCTTGCCGCACGCTGGACTTAAGGGCTCCGCCACAGGAGCGCGGCTTTCTCTGCGGCAGGTCCCCAGGTCAGCCACCAGGCTCGAAACTGGAAACACCTCTGCTGGGCGCGAAGAATTTGGAGTGAGAACGAGGATAGATAAGCAGGTGATTTCCAGCCACTGCAGCCGGACAGGCATGAACTTGACCCTGTGGGGACACAGACAGCCTGAAGACGGCCCTCGGCCACGCTCGTGAGGGTGAGCGGGGTCCCCACGGGCAGACATGGTCCGACTCCTTCTCGAACCCGACTTCGGTCCTTGGTCTCGAAGGAAAAGGAGAAGGTGTTTCCTAGAAGCCTCCTTGGGGTGGATGCCTCCTCCTTGGCATGGGGAGGTGCCTCGGCTCTGGTCCTGCCAGCCCCACCCTTGCCGGCCTACTGGCTCCTCCCACAGCCTCCCTGAGAGGCTGAGCACTCCTGCCCTGCCCAGCACTCGCTCCCGCGTGGGTACAGCCCATCAGGAACATGCCCCTGGATTATTCTGCGCGGCTCACCGTCTGCTGCAGGTGCTTCATCCTGGCCGCGTGGACCTCACACAGACCAAGCACTGAAGGCCGACAGAGCTGCCGCCTTCACTCACCCCTACCGCTGGGGCTATGGGTACTGTCCAGCTTTGACCATCATTTCCCAGCCTGCTGTCAAAGCGCTAACTCAGCCAGCGAAATCCAGGTCCTATTAAGTCAGTTCTCCTGGGAGTGTGCGGTCTCGATGGCAGGGGCCCTCTGCTGGCGCCTCCTTCTGAAGCCCCCCTCTTGGCCGCCGCCCCCAGGCCCGCACTGGGCCAGCCCACTGGCCTAGCTGAGGAGCTCGCAGCATCAGACAGTCCCCGCAGCTGAGAGCACGATTCACCTTACATCGTCCTGTAACTTCCTTGTTGTATATCAAAATTACATGTCTTTTACATATTAGATGGTTGGGTATTGGTTTTTTTATTCTGTCTAACTGTCTTTTATTTATTTATTAAAAGATTTTTATTTACTTATACAAGCACTGGGTACAGTCAGAAGCACGGGAGGGTGAGAGGATTCACCAGAGACAGAGTGGGGAGCAGAGCAGGCAGACTGACGAAGTACACTGCTGAGGGGAGCAGCGGGCGGCAGGAGAGGTCTGCGCGCCATGCGGGACCCTCGCCGGTGGCCGGGGATTGAAGCGGCGCTGCAGAGGCTGCGGGCACCTTCGCAACCCAGCGCTCAACCACTGCGCCACCAGGGAGGCCCTGACAAACTGTCTTTTAATTGGAGTGTTTGGGGCCTCCCTGATGGCACTGGGGGTTAGGACACAACCTATGAGGCTGTCTGCAGCCTCTGCAGCACGAGTCCGATCCCCTGGGCCAGCCAGGGAGCAACCCACATGGCGCAGCAGACCTCTCCTGTCTCCCTGCTGCTCCCCTCAGCAGTGTACTTTGGTCAGTCTGCCTGTTCTGCTCCCCACTCTGTCTCTGGTGGGGGGTATGACCTCTCTGGTGTCTCACCCCAATACCCAGGGTATTAATGAAGTATCTCCCCCTTGGGTAGGCCAGAACTCAAATTCTCCAGCAGGCGTGATCTCTAGCATTTCCACCCCTGTCCTAGCCCCAGAGCACAGCTCTGCCAGCACCCACAAAGGCTCACCCTTCACATTTGCAGCCCAGCCCTCAGCCGGGGGCCCATCAGGAAACCACATATGGGCTTCTGGGCACCCTCCCCCTGCATAGCTGCCACCTCTCCAGCACCCTGCCCTACAATTTCCAGATGCCACAGCAGCTCCCAATACAACCCCTGTCTTACCAGCACGGCAGAACTGTCATGCTCTGCTTGGGCTCTACCTCCGTGCTGTGCTCAGCACAACTGTCCCCAGGCAGAGCTCAGGGGCCAGGGTTAATGTGGGGTTTGACTCGTGTGCTTTCCTCCGCTCAGTACTCGCAGTCCTGCTTACTGCTCAAAGCCTAATAATAGCTGCCCTATATAGATTTCCCAGTTTGACTGTTGTTTACAATGGGAGGCCTCTGACTGGGTCAGAAGCAGAAGTCCTGGAACTCACTCATTAAAGCAATTTTGTGTTCTCTGTCTTGAAAAGGTCTAGAAGCAATGAAACCCGAGCAGCAATGAGCATACCCAGAATCGAGATCTGAGTTTCCTAAGATCTTCCTCCATTTAGAGAGAAAGTTTGAGATCTTTAGACAAGTGTCCAGTCCCATATCTGGGGCAGAGAAGATACAGGGTGCAACTGGACACAGTTTTGTGCTGGCAAGCAATGAAGTACTCAAAGACGATTGGGAGCACCCCAAAAGGACCAGGAGCAGGCTAGCGGGAGCACTCACCGGCCCAAAGAAGATTGGAAACTTTCAGCATCTGAGAGAATGGGGTCTCTGCTTATCAGCTGTGCTAATCAGTTCAGGCATCACACTCGCCCCAAAATAACTCCACCTGTTGCCCCTACACCACTTACTCTACCCCCGTGGCACTCGGCCTCTCTCTTCTGGTTGCCCACGCGTGCAGGCAGCCGGGCGTCCTGCTGAGGTCAAGAGCAGCCACGCTGGAGCTTTGGACCCGAGACAACTAGACTAGCTGAGCCTCGCAGGGTGGAGCCTGCTCAGAGGGTCTCTTGAGGCCTTCAGCAGATGGGGTCAGTCTGCCCAGCACCATTTGAAGACACAGCCAGCTGCCGGGAGTGCCAAGTCTTCCTGCCAGGCCCGGCAGCATGGAGAAGAGGGTGCAGATGGCCTTCTCCCCACTTCCCCCAGACTCCAGGCACCCTCCCTCACCCTACCTGTTGCCTACCCCAATGATTAGGTCTGGCTTGAGTTAGGCCAGCACGTGGGGCCTTGTTTCAGTCTGGGCTTGCTCTGGGTGCCCCTCCCTGCCACACCCACCTCCCCATCTTTCCCTGCCAAGCTCACTGGGCCCCGGCCAGGAGCGCTAGTGGGGTGGGGTGGGGTGCAGTGTTGCTCCCAAGACCTGGGAATCCCAGGACAAACCAGCCAACTTGCTTCTCCACCCAGTGGGGGGAGAGCTCTCGTATTCTTGGTCCACTCGCCCAGAGGAAGAATCCCCTAAAGTGTGCCAACTCTCCAGGGTGGCATAACCTGGCAGAGTCAGGGAGCAGCACTAGCTCCAACGTGACCAGCCACCTGGGAACCAGTCGGTGTCTAGCGAGGGCGTGCAAGGAGGAGCGTTTGGACAAGCGTGTCTGATGACAGAGGAGCTGGGTGAGCCTGGCAGATGGGGAAGAGTGGGCAAGAAATTGTGGCTGACATGGAAGGTCAGGTTAGCCCGGGACGCTGGCCTCACCGCAGGCAGGTGACACCCTCAGCGACAGGCCGCCAGGGGAAAGATCTCTGGCTGGAGGGCCACCACCTGGTTCTTGCAACCTAAAAACTCAGATCCCCAGATGGAAAAGTGTAAGTCATGACACAAGACTTCCCAGAGGCTGTACCCCAGGAAGCATCACCACACCCTGAAGAGGGCCGCTGTCACCCCCTCTCCAACACCAGATCTGAGTTATTGAGGCTTCACGTGGCCTTAGTTGCACGGGAGTCCTGGCACGTGGAGCCTGCACTTACCTGCAGCTGGTGGATCCATGGCAAGCCGAGGAGGCCAGATGAGAGGTGAGCAGCCCCTGGGAAGCACGGCCGCAGGAAGATGGCTCACTGTATGTTGAGCCCCAGGAAAAGGAGCAGTGGTCGCCCCAGAAGTCCCAGGCCATCCCACGTCTAGGGACAAAACAGGCAGTCAGTGGCGCCCCGTCCCTTTGGCTGGACCCACATCTCCTTTCTGTGAGCAAAGGACAATCCTTTCCATCTTCTCTGCGTTGCTCTCCCCCAGGGACACCGCCTTCCCAGGTCCTAAGGCCCATCTCTGATCCTGTCACCCCCCTGCCTGGAGGGGTCTGCGTCATTACTAGCTCCTGGCCCAGGGTGGGGCCCCAGAAGTCAGCCTGAAGATGATGACAGCATCTGTTGGCACAGGGTGGACATGGGAAACATATGGGGACAAATGTCTCTGGAGAGGAGTGGGTCACAGAAGAGGGAGCTCCAAGAACAGACATAAACACCACAAGGGCCAAGGGAGGATCCCCTGCTGGTCTCCAAACCGTGGCACCGTCCTGTGCCCTATGGTTCTTCCGCTCACCTCCGGGGAAGGAGGCTCGCAGACCTGCCCACCCACGAGCCCCCATGCCCTGGGCCAGTCCTGCACAAAATATGCCAGTCCTCCGGCCTGGACACCTCGTCGTCTGTGCACCTTCCTCCCTAGAGGAGCGGCCTGAAGAGGGCCTGCTGGCCCTTCACGTGGCCCAGGATTACATTCCTCTCTGCAGGAAACGCACAGCCCCTGTTCCCTCACTAATTTTTCCTGGATGCCACCATGTGCCATGCTAGAAATAAAACATTGACCAAAACCAGGGCCCTGGGCCTCCCTGGTGGCTCAAGGGGTTAAGCGCCACACTATGAAGCAATCTGCGGCCTCTGCAGCACGAATTCGATTCCTGGCCAGCCAGGGAGAAACCCACATGGCCCAGCAGACCTCTCCTGTCTCACCCGCTGCTCCCCTCAGCAGTGTGTTTCAGTCAGTCTGCCTGTTCTGTTCCCCACTCTGTCTCTGGTGAATCCTGTCACCCCCACATCTCTGGCCTGTACCCCAGCTCTTGTATGCATAAATAAGTAAATCTAAAAAAAAACCAACCCAGGCCCTGCCTTCTAGTGGCTCACCCTGCAGTCGGGGCTACAGACATCTCGCCACTCCGTGTCTCATGGCCTAGGGGAGGTGCATGTCCAGGCTTATGTAAATAATAGAACACCCCACTTACTGCATAGCCACTTTCTCCACACCCTCCAAGGCCCAGCTCAAACACTGTCTCCTTGAGCCCCACTCCACAGCTGCTGGGGCGCGGCCTCTCCCGCCTCTGCATGTTCGCGCAGTGACCAGTGCTCTCCTGCACACCGTCAGGCTCCACACAGGCCAGCACAGCCACCAGCTCCTAGCCTGTCATAGCCTCAGAGTGCCCCACATGGCACTGTGCACAGAGCAGGTGCTCCAAAAACACTCATGGAATTTGAGCCTATTGGCTGAGTGAAGCTACTGAGAGGTCTGGGTGTCAAAAAACATTTTTATGATGACTTGAAAACCCCTTGCTGGGATTTTCCCACTTAACACAGCTTGAACTGGATGCAAATAACCCCAGTGCCTTTCTTATAACTGCGTGTCTAGGCTTCGGTAAATGTTTTATTATGTAAATATGATTTGATAATCAGTAGTCTCCTCTATGATTCTGAAGGAAGGGGAAGTATCTTCTGTGCTACCCATGGTGGGTTGTGCACCTTGCCTAGGGGCTGTGTGGCAAGCAGGGAATGCAGACTACAGCTGAAGGGAGGAGATGCCAGCAGGCGCCAGCCTGGAATTAAGAAGACACAGGCCTCCCCACCCGAGCCTCCTGCCTAGGAGAAGGGATCTGCTCAGTGTCAGAGGAGGTGACTCAAGCAATTAGGAATAGGTGTCACCGTAGCTAAGGAATGTTTTAAAAAGTATCAGAAATGATGGCAGGGTCTTGACATGGAGCTTCCTATGAGCAGGCTGCCGGGCTTACAAGTTTTCATGCATCATCTCATGTAATCTTCTAAAACCAGAAGTGGTGCTCTCATCATGCCCGGTTTTGCAAATGAGGAAACTAAGGCTTAAGAGATGTAAACACGTCACCCAAAGTCACACCCCGAGGTTCCGCTGGCTCTGCTGAGGCTCAGGCCACCCGGGTTCCCTCCTCCTTGCGCTGCCAACAGTTCCCACGTGCACGGGCTCATCTTAGTTCTCGGAGAATGAAACTTGGACTCGGAGAGAGAAAGAGAACTGCCCCGGGTCACACAGACCCGGCTGCTCTGGCGCGGATTGGCAAAGGGCATTCGAATCCCGGCCCAAGCCCGGTCGTACCCAGGCGGGAACCGGAGCCCCGGGGAGCTGAGCTCAGGGTCGCGGCCCCCTCAGAGGCAGGGCCGGATCCGACCCCGGCGCTCCAGTTCCCTGCCCCGCGCGGCCTGCTCTTGCACCGCGCCCGGGGAGTACCTGTCGGCGGTGCGCCGCCCTCGGCGGGGACCACCCGGCGCGGGCGCGGGGGCCACGGCAGGCCCCTGGTCTCGCCACCCCTGGGCCCCTCCGCCCCAGACCGCCGAGGCCCGGGGCGCGCGCGGACGCCGAAGAGAAGCGGAGGCACTGGTCCGGGGAGCCGGCGCGCCGGCGTCTTCTCCTCAAGCCCCCTGTCTCGCCGGGTCGACGGCGGGCGCACCCCTCCACGCGCCGGGGTGTGGGGGCAGGGTCCAGCCGCCCGGGCTAGCGGTCGTGCTGGTGGGTGTTCCCATGGAAACCAGAGAAGGCACGTTGCGCACGCGCGGTGGCGCTAGGCATTCTGGGAAATGTGGTTTCCGGCCCACCGGCCGCCGGCCAGCGAAGTGGACGCAAGATGGCGCCCGAGTGGCGCGGTCTGTGGGCTCCGCCGGCGGCCGGGCTCTCCGCGCTGCCGGCGTGGGAGAGGCCGTGGAGGCCCGAAAGGTAGTTTCTGGAGGCAGGTCGGCTCTGAGGCGGCTGGGCTGCCGCGTGACGGCGCGGGGGCGCCGACTCTTCGGCTCGGTCAGTGTGGCCCGGGCCACCCCGGGCCGAGCCGGGCCCGACTGAGCGAGAGCGTCCGGAGGCGGGAGGCGGCCCAGGCGGGACCGCTGCCCCGTGCCTGGCGCCTCGTCGCACGGTGTCTCGTCGCGGCGGGCCTGGGCGCCGCTCCGGCTCCTGAGAGGCCACGTGTTGGTGGAAGGGCCCGGGCAGAGCCGTGGGGTCAGTGCCTCCTGCCGGGCGCCTTCGCCCCGCGATCCGCCCCCGGGCTGAGAACCTGGACGCCTCCGCCCGAATTCAGGCTCCCCCAGAGACTCGGCTACTCCCCTGCGCCCCGGTTCCTTATTTCCACAGCCCTGGGACTGTGGCGCCTGCTCTCGCCCTCGCTGGCTGTCGCGGGGTGCCTGGCGGGCGGAGGATCGTGGGGTGCGGGGCCGGGCCCTGGGAGCTTCTCGGGAGGACTCGAGGCAGTGCCTGTCAGAAGTGAAGGCGCCGTCTGCTGCAGCAATTCCAGAAATGTGTCCTGGAGGGTGAGTGGCCAGGGAGTGCCCCAGAGAGTATACACAGTGTGCTTACTTGCAAGGGAAAAGATAAACAACCTTATGTTCACGGGTGGAGGCTATTAAAAAAGATTTTAAAATAAGAGCGGTTCTGTGTTGATGTGCAAGTCTGTGATGTGAAATGGTTTGCAAAGTGCAGAGTAGTATGTCACTATGCTACGATTTCTATTTTACGCGAATACACCTCCTGTTTCATTACATCAGCTTGGGATGTCCTCGGAGGGGCTCAGGGAGCAGGTAAGGAAGGTTGCCGTGGAGGAGGGGCGCGGCAGGATGGGAGGGAGACATGCCTTTTATATCTTTCAAGGTTTGGGATGTGTTTTGTTTTTTTTTACCGCCCTTTTACCAATTTGTGTGAGTTTTGTATTCAAAAAGTCGTTCTTAGTAGTGTGTCTGCCTTTTTGCTGTAAATAGTTTCACCACCAATATCTGTCCCCCAGCCACTCTCCCCGGAAATGAATTCTTTTCAGGTCCCACTAAACCCCCAGCTCTGAGCTCATGATTGCACCCTTCCTGCCCAGCTGCACCCGCTGCAGGAGGGCAGGCCCTGGCCTTGGCTTCCCTTCTGCACCGTCACCCACGAGCCCCTGGTCCCAGCCTGACTCTCCTCAGGGCTGTCTGGTGGGGCTCCTGGCTGTAGGATGGCAGCAGCCCCCCGGGCTTACTCAGCAGAACGGACCAGCCAAGTGGCTCCACAGCAGTACCCGACGCTGTGACTCTAGGCATATCACCCACGGACAGGAGTGTTTCCTAGGGAGCATGGACAGGCTGAATTCTTGCAATGTATGAGTGACATGTGTTGTTAAAACATCAAAGGGGGATGCTTAGGGATTTCTTGGTCTAATCCCTTTGTGCTACAGAAAGAAACAAAGATTCAGGGTGAAGGAATTTGTAGGTGCTTAAGCCTGGGCTGCAAGCCAAGTCTCCTGCCATGGGCACTCCTTGGGCTGTGCTGGCACCCCCACCAGGTGTCCGTGAGAGCTGTTCTTCAAAAACTGGGCAGAGGGCCTCCCCGGTGGCGCAGCGGTTGAGCGCTGGGTTGCGAAGCTGCCCGCAGCCTCTGCAGCGCCGGTTCGATCCCCGGCTGCTCCCCGGACACCGGAGGAGGGTCCCGCATGGCGCACAGACCTCTCCTGCCGCCCGCTGCTCCCCTCAGCAGTGTCCTTCGGTCCTTCTGCCTGCTCTGCTCCCCGCTCTGGCTCTGGTGAATTCTCTCAGCCTCCCGCACTTCTGACTGTACCCAGTGCGTGTATAAATAAATAAATAAATATTAAAAAAAAAACAAAAAAAAACTGGGCAGAACATTCGAGGCCAGCTTTGGGGGAAGGGGTTGGGCCCCTCCCCCAACCTCAACAGTGTCATGTGTTTGGATCCAGAGGATATGATCTTGGGAACAGGGGACAGATGTGGAAAAGATGGCGCTACCTGCTCAGCTGAGCACTCAGATGGAGTGGAAAGGACCTGAGGCCGGCGGGCGGGTGCTGAGGGCCTTCCTCTGTGCCATCCCGGGCTGGCTCGGGCAGTCAGGCTCTCTTGAATCATGGCAGGAAGAAAAGTGCTGAAGGACCAGCATCGAGTGTCCCCAAGGTGCCCTAGCTCCAGGGGCAGGTTTGGTCCGGTCTAGGTAGGTGTCGGCTGCTGCCCCTTCCTCCTGGGGAACCCCCTCCGGCTGCCCCTGCAGCGCCAGGCACCTGCCCTAGGAGATGGGGGAAGAGGGAGCCTCCCCTCTTCCCCGCTCTCCCGCCGCACCCCAAACACTCCACTCCTTCAAACACGCCTGTCACGAGGCTCCTGGGAATGGTGAGGAGCCGGGGAGGGGTGGAGAGGCCACGCTTGTGTAACCAGAGACAGAGTGATGGGCAGATAGCTTTACCACAGAACTGGAAACAATACGAAATGTTTTTATTCCCAAGAACAAAGCCAGAAACTGCTAAGACTGAAAAACTGGCCGGTGCGAGGCGTAGAAGGGTGCGAGGAAGACTCCCCGCGCGGCCGTGAGCAGTGCAGGGACCCGGGCACAGGGCCCAGGCAGACTCGTGCCCTTTGGGGAGTGCTTGAGAGGGGCAGCCCTGCCAGCCCCTCAGCGCCCCAGAGAGCCGAGCCGAAGACTGAGCACTGGGGTTCCCTCCTTCTGCCTTGGGGGCCACTGGTCTTTGGCCTGCAGGGCAGGAGTAAGTGGGGGAGGGAGCGTGAGCCTTTCTCTCAGGGACACTTTCCTTTAGCATCTGGGAGGGAGTGTCTCCGGCCATAGCTGAGCATGACGCTAGGGTGCTGCCGCCCCCAAAGACATCTCCAGTGTCCCTACCCCATTTACAGAGAAGGTGTTGAGCCCTTGCACAGGGGGACACGGGCCCGAGGCTGGAGGAGATGAGGCTGTAGGGTTGCGGGGGCGGGGGTTGTGCTTCCTGGGGAGCAGTGGGGTGTCGGCAGGCTGGCGGAGTGAGGGGCTGACCCAGAAGCGTGGTTCCGGCACCTCTATCTGGTGTCTGGGGTGGGGGGGTGCGGGCTCAGGCCTCACCCTCCTCCCCCCTGCCACGGATGCTGGCCTGCCTCACCACCTTCCGGGTCCTGGGCGTGGGGGAAGAGGCCGCCGGCTCCCTCTGCTTCTGCTCCGGCTCCGGCTCCTGCTCCTGCTCCTGGAAGGCCTTGGTCCGGCAGGCCACCAGGGCGGCGCTGTTGAGGGCAACCACTGACTGGCGGGACTTGAGGGCAGGCCAAGGCCCCTTTTGGACCTTCCTTCGGCCCTTGGCCTTTGAGAGCTGAGGACAGGGCTGTGGGGGGGTTTCTCCTGGAGACTCGCTCGAAGAGAAAACCTGGTGATGAGCATCGAGACAGGGAGTCAGGGCACGTCCTTGCAGGGCGGGGGGGTGGAGCACGAGCCTAGAAAAGGCCAGTGCGGGGCGTCTGTGGGGTGACTACAGAAAAGCCCAGCTGTTCCAGAGGCACCTCCCCCAGGAGGGAAGGCAGCGCCTCAGCCCTGTGCCCCTGCTCCTCGGCCCTCACCTGCCTGCAGCCTCCTGAGCACCCCTGCACCGGCTGCACCCTTGAGGCCCTCTCCTTGTCCTCCCGCCCCCTTGCCTTGTACCCTCGGTCCCAGAGCCACAGCGGGGAGGCTGTCCGGGTGCCCAGTGAGGACACCCCACCTCAGGAAGGCCCACCCACCACCGTCCACTCCTCCCGTCCTCTGCGCCCAGCGCCGCCTGCAGAAAGCCTCTCCCTCCGCACGGTGCTCGCCCTCCTCCAGGTCAGCGCCGCGGCCTGGCGTCCTGAGGGCCTGGCTTCCTAAGCAAGGGCCGGCGTCCAGTCCTCCCGCATGCTGCCCGCTCGGCTGGTACCGTGGCCCCCACCCCTCCCGGGAAGCATTGCCCCGCAGAGAGCTTATCCACCCCAACTCAGGTTGGGGCTCCGGCTGCAGGCCTGGGGAGGATGCTCGCTCCAGGCTGGGCCGCGAACCCTTCCTTCAGGCCCAGCGCTGCCAGCGCCCTCAGCCTGCAGCCCGTGAAGACGCCTCGGGCCCAGCGCTGCTCTCCCACACCCGAGGCCCCCGCCTGCCCTCCTGGGCTACTCCGAGGGGCCGAAGGGGGCTGCCCAGGCGAGGTGCCCCCTGCTCAGGACTGAAGGTGGAGCACCAGTCCTGGCGTCTCTCTGTCCCTCCCGCCCCCCCGCCCCCGCCTCCACTTGGGTCCCGTCCTGAGTATGGCCCTCACCTCTGGCAGGTCACTGGCCCCTGGGGCACCTTCCAGCCCCATGGGGGGCTCCAGGAGGCTGATGGATCTCATGACCCCACGCAGGTTGATGCGGGGCCGCGGCCCAGGCTCTTCCTTGGGGGCTGCCTGGCTCTCCTCCGGTCCCGTGACCTCCACCGCCTCACTGTCCCCTGGCTCCGGCAGAAGAGGCAGCAACAGCGTCGAGGCCTCGAGGGCCAGGGGTTCCTCTGGGGAGGTCCCCCCTGCTTTCTGCTCCCAGACCTGGCTCTGCCGGCTGTGAAGAGGTGGGCTGAGTCAGCCTGAGTATCCCGCAGGCCACCCCCACGCCCGCCCGCCCCCGCTCGCTCGCCGCCTTGCCTGGCCGTCAGGATGCCCTGGTAGGTCTGCAGCTGGCGCAGGAAGCCGGGGTTGGGGCGGGCGATGGGCCGCAGCTCCTGCACATGGCGCAGCGCCTGCTCCAGGCCCCAGCCGTACTGCTTCATGGAGTAGGCCACCACCGTGGCCGCCGAGCGGCTGACGCCCATCTTGCAGTGCACCAGCACCCGCGTGCCCTGCGCTCTGTGGAGGCACAGCCGGTCAGCTCCCCCTCCCCGGGGCCCCTGCAGTATAGGGGGAGCTACCCAGAGCCAAGGGGGAGGGCCAGGGCCCCAGAGCCAGAAGAGGTCCCGGAGCTCCGGGCAGAGGGCTGGGAGGCGCGGGGCCGCTGGGAGCGGTGGGGCGGGCGCTGGACCTGGCCGCCTCCACGAAGCGGTGTGTCTCCTTCCAGTGGGGCAGCAGCTGGGCCGACTCCTCATCCCAGAGGCGCACGTTGTGGTAGGTGAAGTGCTCGGGGTAAAAGTTGTCGATCTCCCGGGCCATGTTCAAGATGTGGCTGACCCTGCGGCAGAAGGGAAGGCCCGGCTGCGTGGCTGGGGTGCCGCCCCGGCTCCAGCAGCCCTGGCCACCTGGGGGTCCTGTTCCTCTGCGAGTCAGGTGGGGGCAGCACGGTGGCAGATGCCTGTCCTGTGGCCCTGAGTGGATCATGTCACCTGTGGGGCTCGAGGCCCCCCCGCAGCTGCCGGGGTGACTGCAACCCCAACCCTCTGCTGTCTCGCAAGTTAGGGAGAGAGCAGCTTCTGAGCTGCGCTGAGCTTGGAGGCCCTGCAGCAGCCAGGTGAGGGCCAGAGCAGGTTTCCCAGAAGCCCACGGTGGGCGATCCGCAGCCACGGGTGTGGGCATAGTCCCTCTCTGGAGAGGGCACTTCCTTCTCCCCGGGTTATAGCCAGGAGGAGAGGAGCTTGGCTGCCAGGGCAGACCTGCAGGGTTCGCCCACTGCAGCAGGTGAAGGGCCTGATTTGAGGTTCACGGTAGGGGGGAAGCTGGGCCAGGGCGCCCCAGCAGGCCAGCCAGGTTGGGCTCACCTGAGACCCATGAGGGGAGCAGCCCCGGCTGAGCCGGAAGCAAGGCCGTGCCAGGCGCCAGGTGCATGGTGTTTCTGGCGTTTCTGGCCAGGTTGTCCCTGGCGGGGGGAGGGGGAGCTCAGAGAAAGGGCTGCTGGGAAGCCTACCCGTTTCTCTGCAGCTCCTCCAGGTTCGCTGCGTTCCACTCCGAGCCCTGTGGACGGGGAAGCATCAGCGCCTGCCCTGCTGGCAGCGGTGCCCACCCGCCGGCCCGCGCTCACCAGGTAGAGGTGCGGGAAGATGAGGGAGGCCCGGTCTCGCTGGGCCATGAGCAGCAGCATCTGGTTGTCGATGAAGTCGCGGTACTGCTGGAGGGGGCACGCCAGGCGCAGCTCCAGGGCCTGGCGGATCTGCAGGTGGGCGGCACTGAGAGGCTCAGGGGCGGCTCCTAAGGCCCCACACCCACCCTTCCCTCTGGGGCCAGTGGGGCCAGTGCCCTTCCCACCCCCGCTGAGGCGGGGCATCCAGGAGGAAAGCCAGGTGGGAAGGCTCCGGGAGAGGAAACCGCCAGCCCCCAGCGGGGTGGCCCCCACCCGGCTCCCTCCCAGCCCTCGCCCCCTGCCCACCTCTTTGGAAGTGACGGTCTCCAGGTCACTGGTGTCCAGCACCTCCCACAGCCCATCCCGGATTGCCTGCTCCATCTGCTCCTGTTCTGAGGGTCTGGGGGCCAAGTCCGTGAGCCCAGGGGCCCCTTCCCTGTTCCACCACGACCTCCCGCTTCCTCCCCCGCTGCACTGACCGGTCGGGCTCGGGGCTGGGAGGCCGCAGAGACTCCAGGTCAGCCATGGCCATCCACTCGCTGAGGCAGCTCTGGTCAGAGCTCAGTCTGCCCTGGTAGTGGCCGGCCCAGGTGAGGGCACTGCCCCCAGGCACGAGGCCGCTGCCCAGGGCCGCCTCACATGCCTGGTGCAACACCTGGAGCGTGGCCCTGGGGGAGAATGGCAGCTGAGTCACACTGTCCTCCCCGCTGCCCCCACCCAGACCCCAGGCCACCTGACAGGGCCCCCCTGGTCCTTACCACATGCTCTGGATGGAGATGGGCTTGAAGATGCGGCTCTGCCCCCCGGACGTCACACTGAAGCCCCTGCAGAGGACCGGTGCAGTGGAGCCCAACTCCAGCCTCTGCGACAGAGCCCACCCACCAGCCCCTCCTGAGGCCGCACCTCAGAATGTGCACCTATCACCTGAGCTCCAAATAAGTCCTGTTTGCTAGATATGGGGGGGACTGAGGTCCAGAGAAGTTAGGACACTCGCCCAGGATCACACAGCAAACCTGAGGTGGAGCTGAATAAACCCAGGCCCCAGCCTGAGTTCTGCTGCCTTCCAGGGCCTGCCCCGGTGCCCATACATCACGCTGGTATTCCAGCCTCCTGCCCGCCACTGCTTACCCATCGCCATCGAGGTACACCTGAGTGTCGCTCCAGAGAGGCAAGACCAGGCCCAGGGTGCAGCTGGGAGAGCTGGCAGAAGACAGGAGAGTCATTGTCCCCCCCGGACCTCCCTTCCTTGCCCCTTCCCTTCCTCTCCCTCTGCCTCCTCGTCCCACCTGCTATCAGGGAAATCTACCCCCAGGAGGACGGTCTCCTGGCTCAGCAGGTCTCTTGTGGAAACCACCAGCAGGTAGCGGAGCCGGGGGGGCCGTGCTGCCTCCAGCTGGGCTGCCTGGGGAAGAGGCAGGGGAGAAGCCCAGGTCACCGTGGCCCAGAAGACCCCGCTCCCCACACCCCTCGAGCACACACCCCGGCCCAGATCAGACCCCACCACTGCTCACTCCTCCGCCCCAGCCCCTCCCCCGAGTACCAGACCAGCGCTCGCAGGCTGGTGGCTGCCCGCTTTGGGATTCAGGATCCCACAAGGTGTTTCCAGAGCATTTTCTGAAAGGGCACATGAGTGGGTGAAAGGGGGAAGGGGCCCGACGTACACAACCCATGTTGTATTTCTGCCTAGGAAGGAGTTCTTAAAAGACCCTTCCTCCTGTCACCGCCAAAAGCGTCTCTCACCAAAGAAGCCTGAGGGGCACAATCTCACCACAAAGACGTTGCTTCCAGAGGGCAAGTTCCGCCTTATGAAAGACCCTCATCTTGTTAGCCCCTTTTTTGCTACAGAAGTGGCGATGTCTCCACAGCCTCTGGGCCCTCCTGCAGCACCCACCCAGGCACCAGTCCACGCCAGAACCACGTGCCTGGCAGGGCAGGTTGACCAGAAAGCTGTGTCGTGTCACGCCTCAGCTGGGGGCCTCATCTGACCCCATGGGCCCCGTCCTCCCCAGCCCTCTAGAGACCTGAAGACGTCCTCGCCCTGGCCACACAGCTCTAGCTGAAACATCCCCCAGGCCCCCACTGCTCCCAAACACACACATGCACACTCACACGCACTAGTGCCTTTGCTCCACCCTCCAGCTCCACTCACCAGGCGGATGTCGTCCTGCGGCCTCAACAGCTCCACCATGACCTGCAGGTGGCGCTTCTGCTCCTCTTTACTCTGCGGCCCATTATCTGTCCTGTTCTCACCGGGCGGCTGCTCACCCGGAGGCTCCTCACCGGGCGGCTCCTCACCGGGCGGCTCCTCCTCCAGCTCTGAGCCGGCCTCAGCTGCATCTCCATTGTCCCCTCCGTCCTGAAGCCCCAGGACAGCCCCACGGAGCACTGCGAAGCTCTGCCTGGGGTGGGGGGATGGTTAAGACCCCTCCCGGGCCCTGGGACCCGGCTGAGTCAGGGTGACCAGGAGGGGTGACTGAAACAGGTTCCCTCCTTGGAGAGTCGGCGGAGGGCATCACCTGACAGAGGGCATTTCTAACCCATTCCCAGGGATACTGCCGCCATACTTGAGAACCCCTGCTTCAGAGTCTCCAAGGCCCCATTCTTGCCCGAGGGGGGCAGACCCTGCTCCTTTCCCATTCACCTGCCTAACTCAGGAGAGGCAGTAGATTTGATGGGAATCCTGGAGTCATCAGGCTCTGTCACCCCATCCTGTCCTTTGGCTTGAGACCCCTGGCTGAGCCAGACTCCAGGGGAGTGAGTGGAGGGGTGCAGCTCATGGGGGGCCGGGGGGCAGGACAGGAAAAGAAAAGGTCTGGGCAACCGGCCAGCCAGCCATGCCCATGAGCATATTCAGTAGCTGGCCTAGCGGGGTACGACCAACGCCGGGTCAGGCCCAGCAGCAGGTGGGGTGTCTTGTCCAGCCTGGCGCTCACCTTCGCTGGAGTTGGCCTCTCTGCTTGGACGCCTGATCCTGCCGAAAAAGTGGCCCCAGGGGCAGTGAGATAGGACATCCAGGCCAGGGTGACTGGGGGCGCGGCAGGTGTCCGGAGGGTTGCCCCAGATTTGGGCTGGAAAGGGGGTGGGGCCTCCACAGACTGGACAGTCCAGCCGGGGCTCTTGTCTTGGTCCCAGTTCCCGGGAGCCTCAAGATCTCCCCGCCCTGGGGTTCGGCCCCCCACACCCCGGGGCCTGAGGGGAGGCTGCCCGTGGGCAGGACTGGCACCCCAGACCCAGCTGGCAGCTAGCTGCGTGGTCAGGACACAGCAAAGCGGGACTCACCGAGGGCCCCATCGGCGTGGCTGCTGCTGGGGGCGAGCGACTGACGGTGACCAGGGCCATGGGGCCAGGCGGGGCCACCAGGGTTGGCACCGGATGCGACGCCCGCCCCAGCCTCACGGACGACGGCGGCGGCTGCCCGCCTGCCCGCCGGCCCGCCAGACCAGGAAGGAGAAACTCGGGGACCCGGGCGCCCGCCGCCAGGCACCTCCTCGCGGGCGGCCCTTAAAGGGCCAGGCGCGGCCAGCCCGGCCTGCGGAGCCGGCTCCCCGCGGCCGCCCCCCGCCCTTCGCGTCCCCGCGCCGCGCCCCGCCTCCGAGCGCGCGGGGGGCGGGGCGGGCCGCAGGTGGGGCGGCCGCGGGGCACGCGCCGGGTTCGGTCGCCGAGGTGGTCGTCGCAGCGCGGGCGGTCTGGCTGCCGGCCCCCCCGCCCCCCCCGGGCAGCGCCCGCCCCCCCGCAGGCCGCCCGGGCTCGACTTTGGGCTTCAACCCGCGTCGGGGCGGACTCGGGGCGCGGGGAGGCGGGGCCGGAGACGGGGTTGGAGACGGGGTTGGAGAGGTGCCGCCGCCGTGGGCCTTAGGTCGGGGGAGGGCGGCCCCGAACTTCTCTGTCCCTGCGAGTCCACCTCGCCCCAGCAGCCCCCGGGAAGCCGGGAACCGCCAGGGGAGCCAGGCGGTGAGACCAGCCCGCGGCCCCGGGGATCCCGGCTCACCCTGCAGCGAGGGCAGGGCCGAGGCGGCGGCAGTTGTGGCACCGGGAAGTGAGTTGGCGGGGTCAAGGCTGAACCCAGACCTGGGGGTGCGGCTCGGGGCTCCTCCCAGCCGCCTGGGAGTGGTCTGGGGGCCTGGACTCTCCTCCCAACAGGTGCAGGGGTGGTTCCCCAAAACCAGCCGCAGGGCCAGGAGAAAGGCGGTCTCCTGTAGGCCAGACGGGCCCGTCTGGGCAGAGCACCGCCCTGTGCGCCCGCTCGGAGAGCCCAGCTCTCCTGTCCCAGCGGAGGACCCGGCTGAGGGGCCATGGCCCAGATTCCAACCCAGGTCTGGGGTCACGGCCGACAGCCCCGGCCACCCCCGCTCACTGCGCAGAGCAAGCTTGCTGCCGAAGGTCTCTTTATTGCCATCCTGGTCTGCGTCATAAGCCCCCCCACCCAGAGCTCCAGGCCCCCAGCTCAGCAGCAGACAGTTTATAAATAAATAAGTTACAAAAGTGGGTGCGGGGTGGCCCCCTCCCAGCCCGCCAGGGCCGCTCAGTGCTCTGTGAGCGACAGGCGCAGGATCCGCTGGAAGTCCTCCTCCTCCTGCTGCCCCCGCCGCTCCAGCTCCTCCTGTTCCCGTGAAGACAACTCCAGGGCCAGGCGAAGCTGCTCCTCAAAGCTTGTGGGGGCCGGGGCCGGGGGAGTCCTCTGAGGGGATCCTGGGCCCCCAGGCTCTGTGGATATTCGCAGGCTTTCCTGGAGGGCCCTTCCAGGCACAGCGTGAGAGGGGAGAGCACAGCGGTGAGGAGCCGGCTGGGGCCTGGCTTCAGGGGCGAGGACAGACAGGGCAGGTGGGCCTGGGAGACCTGAGAGAAGCAGCAAGGCCCCGCCCCCACCCCCCATGCCTCCTGCGGTGGTGGGCGGTGACAAAGGGCAGCCCTCGGAGGGTCTGGGCCTGGGACCAGCGCCTGCCCACCCACACCAGCCCGGGGGCCTCACCGCTCCAGCTGAAGCTGCTCCTCGTAAGCCACGGCCTGCGGAGGAGGGTGGGTGCCGGGCCGGGAGTTGGTCAGAGCTTCCCAGACAGTCACCTGTGGCAGGCAGAGTTGAGGCCTGTCACCTCCACTGTCCGATGGCAGCAGGGGCCAGCACCCGCCCCTGCACCCCACCTGCTCGGCCTCCGTGCCCGCCTCCAGCAGGCTCTGCTGGATGGCAAACTGCAGCAGGTCGTCGTCCTCGTCACGAAGGGGCTCGCTGCGCTCCGCACCCAGCACGCTGTACCCCTCAGGCACCTCAAACACAGCGGGGTCCACCTCACAGGGGAAAGGGCTGCCCCCGGCGGGGGTACCCGGAGCCGTGACGGCAGAGCCGGGGGCCGGCACCCACACGGAGCTCAGGGGCTCATCACAGCCACACAGGTTGCTGAAGGTGATGCGGGCGTTGAGCACGTGGAAAAGGGGGATCTCTGCGCGGAGACAGCTGAGCCTGAGTACCCCAGCGAGACCCACCTGTGCGCGGCCCCCACACCTGCGCCGTCCCGGGGGCTGCCGGAGGCCCCTCTGCCGCCCGGTCCACCCTCTCACCGATCTTGACCGGGAAGCCGGGCGGGAGGCGCAGGGTGATGAAGTCTCGCAGCTTGGCGAAGTGCGCGTTGCTGATGGCCATGAGGTCGATGATGGGCGTCACCTGGTCGCCCAGGGAGAGCGGGTGCTCCTCGCTCAGCCACAGCGTCGCCTTGAACCTGCCGGGCCAAGCGCAGCGTGTGGGTGAAGGACGCAGCCCCTGCTGGCCCCGCCATCCGAGCCGCCCCCAGACCGTGGGCCCAGGCTGGCTTGGGCGGGCTGCTGGCTTCCGCCCGGGCCTCCTCCGCAGCCCACCGCGGCCGGCGCCCCCCACTCCACCGTGCTTCCGTGTCCGGTGCGGCCGGGGTGTGCCGGGTCCCGCTCCCAGCCCCCACACCGGGTGGCTCCGTGTCCATGAGGAGCCTCGTGGGCAGGCACCAAGTGTGACCGAGGAGACCAGACGCCGGAGGGGAAGGCCGTGCCCCATCACCGCGCCAGCGCTTCGGACTCTGCCCACTTGCGACAAGCCAGCCCCACGGCCCAGCGGGTACCCGTTCGGTCTCCTAGAAAGCCACGTGCGTGTGGTGCTGCCCCGCCAGCCGTCTCCCACCCACCGTTCACCCCGGGAGAGTGCCCAGCCCCAGGTACTGGGGGCTGAGGACTATGGTTCAGACCCGGCTCCTGGCCCCAGGGGCGGCGTCCAGAGGGACTCCACTGGGTGAGTGGGTTCCCCCTCCCTAGGAGAGCCCCCCGCCGACCCCCAGACCTCACCTCTGTACTTTACTGGACATCTCGATGGGACGGCCGATGTTGCGGGACTCCAGGCTGAAGTTGGGGTCGAAGTACTCGTCAGGGGAGATGGCCATGGGGTTGGCGGGGCTGGCTGCCGGCTGTGCAGGCCCCTGGGTGGGCCGCAGGACTGGGCTTAGTGCTCAGGACGCTGCCTACCTGGCCCAGGGTCCCCTGCAGCCAGCTGCCGCCCCGAGCCCAGCCCCGCTTACCCCGTTGTGGGAGGAGTGCTGCTGGGCCATTCCGAGGAAGGACTGGAATGGAGTCTTCCCCCCTGAGGAAAAGGGTGGGAGCCATGAGGGGCCTACCCCAGACAGCCCCCAGAATGCCCCCCCCCCAACCGCGAGCCTCCGGTCAGACGTGGGCCCCCAGCCGGTCCAGGACACTCTGGCCCAACCCCAGACCAGGGACCCCGCGAGGTGTGACTAGGCAGCAGGCAGGCGCACCTGGGTTTACCTTTGCTCCTCGACTTGTCCTGATCAGAGAGGTGCTCCGTGCGTGTGCGTGTCACCAGCTCCACGTTGGTGGCACTGTACACCTGGGGAGCAGGGGGAGATAGGGGGAGCTGGGGGCTCAGAGCCTGTTCCCCATACTTAGCCTCACTGGCACAGGCCCCAAGTCCTCCGACCGCTGGGACAGGGGAGGCTGTGTTTCCCAGAGTGCAGGAGTGGCGGGGTCTGAACCCCAGGGAGTCGCTAGTGAGGGGGAAGTGCTCCTCGTGCCTTCTTGGTACCTGGGTGGGGATTCATGCTGTGGGTGATCCCCATGTGCTCGGCAGGGGCTGGGTGCTCGGGCCCCCCGGGTTCCCATGGCCGCGGTGCCTCTGGAGCTCACAGGCTACTGTCTCGAGGTGGGGTGGGTGAGGGGGGTACAGTCCTGGGCCTCGTCTCCTTCCCCCACCCCCACCACTAGCCTCTCCTGCCTTGGCCTCGTAGCCGCTAACGGTTTCCATCTTCTCAGACCGCCAGCCCCAGATACCACATTTGTTCCTGAAACAGATCAAAGAGGAGCTGGTGAGAACCTTGGCCAAAGACCTCCCTTCCAAGGACCCCTCCCCTGCTGGAGAGGACGCCCGCACAGCTGGGGACACTGGGACGAGACCAGGGACCAGGAGGCACTGAGGAACTGTCACTAATGCTGTTAGGTGTGAGAATGGTGTTTGGCCTGAGTTTAAAACATGTTTGCTGTGGGGATGATACGGTGTCTGCCTAGTCCAGGGAAAAAGCAAAAGGACAAAGGCTGAGGAAGGACAGTCCCAATGAGAAGGAAAATGTGGGGCCTGCTGGAGCTGGGTGATCAGCTCTCTGCCTGTTCTCTCTTCTGCCAGGTTTGACATTTTCCATAATAAAAGGTTGAAAACAAAAGTATGTCTGATTCGATAGCTGGAAACGTCCATATTCCACTTTCCAGTAGTGGAGAGAAAGAATATGTAGAGATCAACGAGGAAGGCGGGAACCTGAACAACATTATGAACTGGGTTAACAGACATCCTCAGAACACTCCACCCAACAGGATGCACGTTCTTCTCAAGTGCACACGGACATTCTTCCAGACAGACTGTATTCTAGGCCATAAAAGTAACCTCACGCAAAGCGAAAGGACAGAAATTGCATCAAGTGTGTTGTCCAGCCACAATGGAATGAAATGATTGATCAGTAACAGAAAAAGGATTTGGGAAACTCACAAATCTGTAAAGTCAACCACTCTTCTGAAGACACAATCATCCAAGAATAAAGCAAAAGAAGCCAGGAAGTACTTGAGATGAATGGGGATGAGCAACACTATATCAAAACATACACGTATATATCAAAATATATCAATATTGAGCAATATATAAAGCAGTGTGCAGAGGGAATTTAATAGGTGTTAATATTAAGAAAAGAAATACCGGGCCCTCCCTGGTGGCGCAAGGGGTTAAGCACCACGCTATGAAGCAACCCGCAGACTCTGCAGCATGAGTTCGATCCCTGGCCGGCCAGGGAGCAACCCACATAGCGCAGCCGACCTCTCCTGTCTTGCCCGCTGCTCCCCTCAGCAGTGTGTTTCAGTCAATCTGCCTGTTCTGTTCCCCACTCTGTCTCTGGTGAATCCTCTCACCCCCCATGCCTCTGGCCTGTACCCCAGCTCTTGTATGAATGAATAAATGAAGCTTTAAAAAAAAATTGCATAGTAAATTAAAACAAAAATCACTTTAAAAAAAAAGGAAAGCGGGGCCTCCCCGGTGGCGCAGCGGTTGAGCGCTGGGTTGTGAAGCTGCCGGCGACCTCTGCGGCGCCGGTTCGATCCCCGGCTGCTCCCCGGCCACCAGAGGAGGGTCCCACATGGCGCGCAGACCTCTCCTGCCGCCCGCTGCTCCCCTCAGCAGTGTGCTTCGGTCTTTCTGCCTGCTCTGCTCCCCGCTCTGGCTCTGGTGAATTCTCTCGCCCTCCCGCGCTTCTGACTGTACCCAGTGCTTGTATAAACAAAACAAACAAACAAATAAATAAATAAAACATGCCTCTATTAAAAAAAAAAACATAAAAAAAAAAAAGAAAGCTGTTTCTTTGGGAAAAAATCAACAACATTGACAAACCTTCGGAAAGGCTAGCAAGAAAATAGAGAAGGTTCAAATTACTAGAATCAAAAATGAAAGAGGGGGTATTATTACTGATATTACACAAATGAAAAGGATTATAAAGGACTTTAATAAATGATTGTATCACAACAAATTAGATCACTAGATGAAACAGAAAAATCCCAGAGGGACAAACTACCAAAACAAACTCAAGAAGTAACCAATAATTTGAATAGACCTGTAACAAATGTAGAGACTAAATTAGTAATTTTTTAAAAAGATTTATTTATTTTTCTATAAGAAGTGGGGTACAGGCCAGAGATGCGGGGGATGAGAGGATTCACCAGAGACAGAGTGGGGAACAGAACAGGCAGACAGACCAAAGTACACCGCTGAGGGGAGCAGCGGGCGAGACAGGAGAGATCTGTCCCGTTATGTGGGTTTCTCCCTGGTCGGCTGGGAATCGAACTCGTGCTGCAGTGGTTGCGGATTGCTTCATAGGTTGCATCTTAACCCCTGCGCCACCAGGGAGGCCCTAAATTTTTAATTTAAAAAAAACACAAAGAAATACCCAGGTCCAGGTGGCTTTACCAATGAATCCAGCCAAACATTAATAGAAATCACAGCAATCATTCACAAGCTCTTGCAAAACTCAGTCAAGGAAATGACACTGCCTTGTTTTATTCTACAAAGGACTGGCCAGGTACTAAAACTAGACAAAGAAATCACAGGAAGGGCCTCCCCGGTGGCGCAGCGGTTGAGCGCTGGGTTGCGAAGCTGCCCGCGGCCTCTGCGGTGCAGGTTCGATCCCCGGCTGCTCCCCGGCCACCGGAGGAGGGTCCCACATGGCGTGCAGACCTCTCCTGCCGCCCGCTGCTCCCCTCAGCAGTGTCCTTCGGTCCTTCTGCCTGCTCTGCTCCCCGCTCTGGCTCTGGTGAATTCTCTCACCCTCCCGCGCTTCTGACTGTACCCAGTGCTTGTATAAACAAACAAACAAACAAACAAATAAATAAAATACGTGCCTCTTTAAAAAAAAAAAAAAAGAAATCACAGGAAAAGAAAATTACAGGCTGATATATCTTATGAATATGGACACAAAATCCTCAAAAAAAACACAAGCCAACCAGATCTAGCAGCATGTAAAGAAAACTATACATCACGATCCAGTGAAATTTATCCCATGAATGCACAGTTGGTTCAACATTTGAAAATCAGTTGATACAATACACATCAAGAGACTAAAGGGCCTCCCCAGTGGCACAGCGGGTTGAGCGCAGCGCTGTGAAGCTGTCTGCAGCCTCTGCAGCGTGGGTTCGATCCCTGGCCAGACAGGGAGATTCCCACATGGCGCGGCAGACCTCTCCCGTCTCACCCGCTGCTCCCCTCAGCAGTGTATTTCAGTCAGTCTGCCTGTTCTGCTCCCCACTCTGTCTCTGGTGAATTCTCTCACCCTCCTGTGCCTCTGGCCTTCTGACTTTGCCCCCAAAGGTCAGAAACAAGATAAAAATGACTATGTGCACCACTGCTATCACCATTCCACTGGGAGGTTCTAGTTGAGCAATTGGTCAAGAAAAGGAAAGAAAAGGTGTCCAGATTGGAAAAGGAAAAGTAAAACTATCTCTATTAACAAGTGACAGATGTTGTTACCTAGGAAAAAAATCACAAGGAATCCACTAAAATCAATTAGAACTGAAAAAAATATATTTAGCAGGGATACAGCTCTAAGTTCAATACACAAAAATCAATTGAATTTTTAGAGATTTGCAATGAACAATTAAAAAGTATAAATAGAAAGTAATTATATTCGTAATACCATCACAGATAACACTTAGAATGAACTTAGAAGTACTACCAACCTTGTACTCTGAAAACTACAACCATCATTGAAAGAAATGAAAAGTCTAAGTAAATATGCCCTGCCCGCAGATCGGAGGAGTCGGCACTGTGAAGATGCCAGTACGTCCCAACTGATTTACTGAGTCAGTGAATCCCCCTCCTGACTTCTTTGTGGAAACTGATAAACTGAACCTGGAGTTCCTATGAAATCACAAGGGACCTGGCATAATCCTGAGAAGAACAAAGTAGGAAGACTCAGACTTTCTGATTGTAAATTTTACTACAAAGCAACAGTGATCAGGAGTGGAGTGCTGGCTCCAAAACAGACATACAAATCAATGCCATCGAATGGAGAGCCCAGAAATAAACCCATACACCTATGGCCAACTGACTGTCCACAGGGGAGCTAAGCCCATTCAACAGGCAAAGAACAGTCTTCTCAATGAATGGTGCTGGGCAGCTAGACAGTCACATGCTGAAGGATGAAGCTGGAGTCCTGTCTCTCTCCATTAACTCAAAAGGGATCAAAGACCAACATATAGGTGCTAAAACTATGAAACTTCCCCGGGAAAACTACTAATGATCTTGGATTTAGCAAAGTATTATTAGCTATGATAATCACATCATGAAAGTATGAGTGGGGTTAAGTCTCAGGGCTATCACCTCTATGGCCTGGGTTCGAACCCCGGCCAGGGAGTTACCCACATGGTGCAGCAGACCTCTCCTGTCTCCCCGCTGCTCCCCTCAGCAGTGGATTTCAGTCCGTCTGCCTGTTCTGCTCCCCCACTCTGTCTCTGGTGAATCCTCTCACGGCCCCTACCTCTGGCCTGTATCCTGGTTCTTGTATCATAAATAAATAAATCCTTAAAAAAAAAAAAAAAAGAAAGTGAAAGCTAACCTACACGGCAGGAGAAAGTATTTGCAAATCACTGCTCTGATAAGGGGCTTATATCTAAAAAAATATAAAGAGCTATCACAACTCAATAATAAAAAGCAATCCCAACTTTTTAAATGAACAGACATTTCTTCAAAGGATACCCACAGCGGCCAAGGAGCAATGACAAGACACTGTCAGCCCTGAGGGAAACGCAAACCCAGCTACAGCGGGGCGCCCCTGCACACCCGCGAGGGCGGCCGGGAAGGGCTCCCGGGCAGGCGCTGGGCAGGGTGGAGAGGCTGAGCCTCCGTCACCACCAGTGAGAACGGAAGACGCTGCATCTGGTGCTGCCCAGCCTGGGAGGCCTTCAGATAGCCCCACCCAGGGACCAGAGCCGGTCAGTCCACTTCCGGGCACGGACATGTCCACACACCACAGCCCACCGGCTGTATGGCAACAAACACTGCACAACTCGTCAAAGGGTGGAAACGCCTCAAATGCCCACTAGTGGACACGTGAACATCCAGCCTCGGCTGGCGCGAGGGAGGCGGTCCTGCCCGGGCCCTGAGCACGCTGCTCGGAGGGCGCCGAGAACAGACGCCCACGGGCTGTAGCAGGTGGTTCACGGGAAAGCCCAGAGGAGGGAAATCTAGAGACAGAAAGCATGTTAGGGCTGCTCAGGGCAGGGGCACCCGGGATGGGGGGCGAGATTGTTCCACAGTGGCTGGAGCGCCGCGATCCGTGGCCGCGGGCCTGTGCAGCGGGCTGAACCATACCTCAGTTAAAGCTGTTTCCGTGCTCTGGAAGTCGATTGTTGGGGCTGGGTGTGTTATCTGAGAAACAGCACCCCAGCCCACAGGGTCAGGCTCCCAGGGCACCCCTAAAGGACTCTGAGAAGCCAGCACAATGCAAACAGCTGCCCTGACTACAGCCTAAATCCTGGTTTCTATGGGCAAGCGTTCGGCGTCAGCAGTCAAGAAACGGGACACCTGGCCCAGCCCCTCCCCAGGGAGACGGCTGCCGGGACAGATGGGCGCAGGAGGCTCGGAGGTTACGCGGGGACACCGCCCTCACGCAGTGGCCCTGCTGAGACACTGGGCCTGCAGCCGGCCGCCCTTCTGCACACCAGCGCAGGGGCCGGCCCCGGGGGCGGAACCAGGAGCCGCAAGGGCCCTCAGGGCCAGGCCCCAACTGACCTCTCGAAGGCGACGTTGCGAGTGTCCAGGTGGGTGGAGACAATAGGAGAGGTGAGGCGGCTGGCCACGTGCTCCTCACTGGGCCGCATGGCGGCCAGCAGCGCCTCCGGCTCGTGCAGGGCAAGCCCCAGCGTCTCCGTGTGCACCACCTGCCGGTCGTGATCCACCTCCATGACCAGGGCGCCTTCCTCTGCCGGCGGGGAGGAAGGGGGACGAGTGGGTGCCCGGCCCAGGCAGCAGGGACGGGGCCATCAAGGCGTCCTCGGCCTCCGTGGCCAAGTGGGTGTGGCCTCAGCCCGGGGTGCCCCTCCGTCCTCACCACCAGCTGCGTGTCTGGAGCGAGAATGGCCCAGTCGGGCCTGAGGGCCGCGGCTGTCCCCCAGCACTCACCCTGGCCCTTGAAGATGAAGCTCCGCCGGCCACGCTGCCAGGTCATGTGCTCAAAGCCCAGGAGGCTGGTGTCTACCCGCAGGCTCTCGCCCCGCTTCCACACGCGGTACACATCACTCGGGCACATCTTGGACACGAGGGGCACTGCAGGGGCGCCAGGTCATGGGGGCTCTGCCCCAAGGCCCCGCCTACAGACCCCACCCTACAGACGTGGGAGCCGGGGGTCCACACTCACCCCAGCTGGTGAACTCCCACTTCATCTCCACATAGAAATCGGGGGCCTGAGAGAGACCAGAGTGCCCATCAGGGACAGGCCTGCAGCTGGGGGCCAGTGGGCCAGGAGCTCCTGTCTGCAGCCCACTCCTGGGCCCCAGCCCTTCAGCAAGTCCCAATGCTGCTGGGGCCCACGATACCCCTACCCCAGCCACCCTGCCCAGGAGAGAGTAGGCCCAGTGGGTCCTAAAATGGTCCACCTGACGGGGTTACAAGCCCAAGGCCTGGGGGCCAGTCTCAGCCTGTCCCCCTTCAGGTCCCAGAGTCCTCATCTGCCAAGGGGACAAGTGGCCAGGGTAGGGGACACAAGGTCGTGTGCTCTCCCAGCAGGTGCCCTTGTGTGCTTTGAGAAGGGTGGACAGGAATTCCTGGGGCCCGGGCCACATGCACCCAGTAGGGTGAAATCCTCCCTTCAGGCAATCTGCACTCCCTAGGAGGCCCATGGCCAAAAGCTCTGCTGGGAATTCTGGGACTGGGGGAACCTCAATGCTGGCAAAGTCTTTCCTCTCAAAGGACCCGATCGACCCAACGTCATCCACGAGGGCCTGGGTGCCTCTTCCATGGCCAGACTGGGCCAGGAGAGCCAGACCTCACCGACGTGTGGGAGAAGCAGGCTGCACGGGCCGAGGGGGCCTTCTGAGGCCAGTCCTGGCATGGCTGACCAGGGAGACCCCGCACAGTTCGCCACAGCCCCCTCAAGGCACCACCCACCCGCCGCGGCCGGCCATCCCTCTGCGCCCTGCTATACCTGACGGAGCTTGTCCAGCAGTTCCGGAATGCCAGCCAGCCTCTGGGTGGCCCTCTGGTAGTCTCGGTACTGCAGCACCAGCTGCACCATCTCAGGGTCCCCGGTGCTGACTGCCTCCTGCAGGACTGGGGGACACCAGGCTGCTGCGGGGCCCTCTCTTGATGGCCCCGGGCCTGGCTGCTTACTCCCACCCACCCAGCCCGCTGCCAGCCCCAGGGGAGCCCCTGGTGTGCCGTACCTGCCCAGCCCTGGCAGCTCTCTTTGCCCACATTGGCATTGTGTCGAAGGAGGACTCTCACAGACTCCAGGTTCCCCAGGGACACTGCCAGCTCCAGGGGGGTGCGCCCCCGGGGGTCCTCCTGTTCAATATCGTGCTGAGGGAGATGGGACTCTCAGCACAGGACGAGGAAGGAGAGGAGAGGCAGGAAGGCCGCTGGGTGGAACAGGGCCGGGAGTCCCTGCGGGGAGTCAGGAGGGCGGACAGGCCGGGCCGCAGAGGGTGGCCGCGAGCCCCAGCAGGGGTGGGGTCCGGTGGGAAGGGCCCGGCCGCCTTTCCTGCCTCTGCCAGGGGCTGAGCAGGGGCCTGGGAGGAGGGGGCTGGTCAGGCAAGGTGCAGGGAGGAAGGGGGGCGGTCAGGCCGGGGTGCAGCGCTACGTGTCGAGAGTTGGGGGCCCAGGACCGGGCTCGCTCGGCTCAGCGGTGCTGAGACGCGAGCCCCGCGACTGCATGGCCGGGGCGCGGCCGGCGCAGGGGGCCCAGGCCGGGGGTCCGCGAGCTGCAGGGGACCCGGGCTCCGGGTCGGAGGCGGGCCGGGGCGCGCGGCCTCCGGGACGGGCACCGCAGCTCCGGGAGGAGGCCCGAGCGCGCCCGGGGGCCCGGCGGGCCCTACCTGGTGGCTGTGCAGCGCGGCCTCCAGTTCGCGGTGCCGGTTCGCCCAGACGAGCCGGTGCAGCGGGAAGGTGGGGCCCGGGCCGGCCATGCTGGGCCTCAGCGCCGCATCCCGGGCGGGCGGGCGGGCGGCGGGCGGGCGGGGGCGGCCCGGCCCGCCTGGGCCTGGGCCTGGCGCAGCCCCCTCGGCTCCGGTCCGCCCGCGCCGGCGCTGCGCCCCCCGCAGCCCCCGGTCCCCGCGGCGGCGGCTGCAGTGGCGGCGGCGCGGGCGGCGAGGGGGGCCGGCGAGGGGGGCCGGCGGAGGGCGGGGCGGCGCGGGGCGGGGCGTCGGGCGCGCCCCCCCCGCCTCCCGCAGCCATGGCAACCGCCGCGGGCCCGCGCGCGCCGGGCCCGGCTGCAGCTCCGCCAGCGGCCTGCAGGGGGCGCGCCAGGCCAGGGGACCCCCTCCGGCGGCCCGGAAGCGGCGGGAGGGGCTCCCTCGGGGCGGGGCCGCTCGGCGAGGGGCGGGGGCTGGGCCCGGGGGTGCGCGAGCGGGCGCCCCGCGTTCTCCCGCAGCCCTGCCCTTCCCGCCCCGCGCCCCCCGCGCCGCTGTGTGCGGGCGAGACGGGAGGTGCTGGCGGCCCGCCGGGCCGTCTCGGAGAGGCCGCTGAAGGCTGCGCCCCCCGGGACCTGGGCCGGACTGGCCCCGCCCCGGCGACTCGGGGAAGCAGCCCCCCCAAGTACTGGAGTCAGGAATGGGGTTGGGGGAGCCGCCGTCAGCCCCAGCCCCTCTCTGCCTCCATCCACTGGGGCTTCACTGCAGAGGCTGCTCTTAGTGTCAGGATCGGCTGAGGAAGGAGCCTGGAAGTCAGGGCCGGGCCCCCACCCACACCGGAACCGGAACCGGTGCAGGCCTCAGTGGGCTGAGCTCTGCCGTTGTCACCCCAACTGGAACCCGGGCTCAGTCCTGGTGTTTTGGTGTGAGGCAACCGCTAGGCGCAGAGGCGGCCGGCTGGGCCCGCTGTGCTGCTTGGAAAATGAGTTTGATCTGCCTCTGGCTGGGAGGCCCTGGTTGCCACTCTTACCCGGTGCTGTCAGTGTAGGCAGTGGCTCCTGTGCTATCTGGGGTCACTCTGCTCCCCCATGCTATGGTGGGTGGCACCAGGTCATTGTCACGCCCTCAGATCTACAGCAACTCAAAGGCCTCTGAATGCCCGGAACTCAAGCACACCCCGCCCCACGGCTGCGCCCCCTCCAGCCTCCACCAGCCCCCTTCGCCGCCTTCGCCGCACATCCCAAGACTCTCCCGGGCCAGCCTGTCCCGATTCCTGCCCCTGGCCCTTCATTCCTACTTCCATTGTCTCCGCAGCCCGTTTTTCTCTTGGAGAAAAAAGGGCCTCTAAAGGGCCTCTTGGAGTGAAAGCCTGACCCTGTTTCAGCTCCCTCTGGGTCATCTCCGGCAGCTGTTCTGTCACAGAGAACGGCCTCTGCAGAGCCGGCCGCGTCGGCTCCCTTCCCCTCGGCCAGCTCCGCTCCCTGGCGCGCGTCACCTGAGGGGACACCATCATTGGGACTTTTCCTTTCTTCTCCCACCACCATCGCTAGGGCTGTTCTCCCAGGGTAGAAGCAGTGGCCCCAAACTTGTCCCCTGCCTCCTGTCCACCTCCCTCCACACGTTAGTCCTGCAACCCATCGTCAGAGGCTGGTTCTACGGTAGCCCTCGCCTCCCGGCCTGGTCCCGAGCCTTCAGGGGCTCTATGTCCATTCCCAGCTTTGTCCTGACAGGCTGCCGGCCAGGTTCTCTGGTGTCTGGGGTCCCAGCCTGTGCCCTGCTTGCCTACCTGGCCCAGCCCGGCCTCCCCACCCCATGCCAGAGGTCCAAAGTTCATTTCCTCCAAGGCTCTGTGGTCTCCCCAGGACATCCCATTACCACAGCCTTCCTGGCTCACCTGCCATGCTGGTGGGGCTGCAAGCCCCTCAGCTTTGCCCAGCAGAGCCCCACAGGGAGTGGGCATCGCTGCAGGGCCTATGGGTGGGGACATGGGGGAGAGAAGTAAACCAGAAGCCTCTGGGTACACCAGGGGCCTGGTGCTAAGGGTCCCACAGCTTCCGGTCCCCTAGTGGGGCTGCACAGCGGGGCCAAAGGGAAGGCCAAAGCCGGAGAGGGCCCAGGGCCCACAGTGCAGGGCGGCGTCCGGCTGTCATGAGGGCACACAGGGCCTGGCGAGCCGGCAACACCAGCCACTGAATTGCAGGACCCGCACTGGCTTCCCAGGAGGGTGGGCACCGAACACTCCTCTCTCCTGGGGGCCAGACAAAGCTTCTGAGTGTGTGAGTGGGTGGGAGACCCCTGACCCGCCATTCCCGGATGACTGCCCTGGGGTACGGGGGGCCTGGTGCCACCCAGACCCTCGCCCTACGGTGGCCGCCCAGTGGAGGCTGCGAAGCGTCACCAGGCAGAAAAGAGTGGCACGCGAAGGAGTCAGGCACCATTTTTTATAAAAATGCAATCTCATTTTCCACTCTGTAAAATCACATTCAGATATCGGCAAAGTAACGCCCCGAGGTGAGTGGAGGGGAGGGAGGGCTCGCCCACCGGCCGGGAGAGGGCGGACACCACACACGCAGCGACTGGCACGAGGGGCATGCGCGGGTGGGGCGGCGCCCTGCGGGCAGGGGCGCCACAGGGCGTGGGCTGTGGGGCAGCCGGACACACTGGCTGGCCTGGGGCGGGTCCTGTGGCCCAGGGCAGAGGAGGCCTCACCCCCCGGGGAGGCCTGGGGACCTCAGACCCGGGAGGCCAGTGTGGCGTCCCCCGTCTCCTCTCCGTGGGCCCTGAACCCGGTACTGGGAGGAGGGGCGACAGCGAGGGCAGCAGCACCCGCCACTGAGCCGCCTTCCCTGTGGAGCCCGTGGCGTCAGGGCAGGTGGGAAGGGAGATGGCCAGTGACCCGGGAGACAGCGGCTCCCTCCACCCCACTGGCGGGGGCGGGACAGTGCAGGGCTGGTCCCTGTGGCAGGTGGGCCGCGGTGGGGAAATTCAAGTGGTCTCCCTGGGCTGCGGCCTCCCCTGGGGCAGGGGACGCTGGTGGCCGGCGGCGCCGTGGGCAGGGACGCCGCCCACGCAGCCTGAGGTGGCACAGCTGGGGCAGCATCCCCCGGGCGGGGCGGAGGGCGGCCGGGGCTGCTGCTCCTCCACAGGAAGACGCTGGGAGCGGCCGGCTCCCGGGGTCGGGGCTGAGGGTGCTGGGTGGTGGCTGGGGGGGCGGCAGCGGGAGCCAAGGCAAGCGGACCCCTCCCTTGGGGCTGGGCCAGGCTGGGGCCACAGGAGATCACAATAATTACAAAATAAAACTTTTTCCGCTTGGCGGGAAAACAAATAATAAAAATCCGACAAAATAAATTAGAGGTTTATAAAAGGCGGCGGTGGGCGGCGGCGGGCGGGGTCAGAGGCCGTTGGCACTGCCTCGCTGGATCAGCGGCACCTTGCTCAGTTCCACCACGGGCGAGCGGGGCTTGTTCTTCATCTTGGGCACCCTCTGCACCAGCTGCTGGGCCTCCCGGTAGGCGTCGCGCAGCTCCTTCTTCCACTGCACCAGCTCGGGGTCGCTCTGCGCACGCCCCGGGGCGGTCAGTCGGCCGCTGTGGCCAGCCCACCCCGACCAGCGGGCCCCCGCCCCAACTCACGTCGCACTGCAGGACGAACTGCTTCCCGCCGCGGATCTTGAGCAGGAGGCACTTGCGCTCCTTGATCTGCGTCTCCTCCACTGACTGGATCTCCTCCATGGTCAGCAGGCTCTGCTGCGGGCGGGAGGGGAGGGGGGCCGTGAGCCACGGGAGGGCGGCTGCCCGGCCCCCACGCCTGGCCCCAGCAACACTCCTTACCGGGGCCTCGCCCTCGCCCCGCCACTCCAGCCGGTTGGGGAACAGGTAGAAGTAGCGCCGCTGCCACTGCGTCAGGAAGGGGTTGCCCATCTTGGACATGTAGCCGTGCATGATGCAGTCCTTGCCCAGGGCATAGTCTGCGGCGAGAGAGCGGAGGGGGGCTTAGCGCCCGCCGCCCCCCAAGCTGGGGTCCGGGCTCCGCACCGTCATCTGGGGCGGGGTCCTGAAACCCCCGTTTCTCGTCTCTAAAGCAGGCGGCACCTGCCCCGCAGCCCGGACGCCTCACCTTCCTCGTGGCCCAGCTGCTTATTTTTGGTTTTCTTTCGCGTCTCTAGCCGGTCCGTCTCGGTGTTGATGGCGTCGAACACGGTCTCGGCCACCTCCTGCTGCCACCGCTCCGAGATGGTGAGGGGGAAGTTGCGGTAGAGCTCCTGGTCACTGTCCAGTAACTGCCGAGTGGACGGGGCAGCGATGTCCATCAGCCCCGGGCAGGCCCAGCCAGAGGAGGCCCGGGGCAGGGCAGGGCAGGCCCACCCCCCACCTCCTGGGGGTACAGAGGAGCCGCCTAAGGCCCAACAGGCTGGCGCACAGGGCTGGGGGTGGTCCCGGAGGCTGAGGAGGCCGCAGGGCAGAGCTCGGGGCTCTGGTGCAAGAGGCCAGGCGGGTCCAGTACCTTGATTCCTTTGGTGTCCTCCTCATCAAAGGAGCCGATGTCGAAGGCGTCGGCCGCATTCACCTCCCCTCGTGGGGGGATGAGCGGGGGAGGGTACTGCAGCAGAGTGGGGACTGGGCATCAGCACGGGGCCGCCTACAGGCCACACCCTCACCCCCAGCCCTGACCCCAGCTTTTACCTTCTGCAAGAAAACCATCTGCCAGTCCAGGGAGCGGAAGAAGGGGCTCTCCTTCACCTCCTGAGCCCTGTGGGGAGAGCGGGTCACTGGGGCTCACAGCACCCAGCCAGCTGGGGCCAGGCCCGGGGGCAGGTGGCCCAAGGCGAACTCTTGGCTCAGCCACTCTCTGGCTCTGTGACCTTGGGCAAGTTCCTTAAACCCGGGCCTGTTTCCTCATCTCTGAACGGGGAGCAGCAGTCCCACAACGGCCCAGTGCCACCGGGGCTCTGCTAGCTGTGAATCCTGCGGCCTCACGCCCAGCACCCGCTGGACCTTTAATAAACATCAGAAGCTGCCGTCATCGTCCTTCTCTGACATCACCACCTTTGGCCCAAGGCCCCTCGGCAGCCGCACCCCCAAACAGCCCCCCAGCTGGAGAACACTGGATGGGACAGGGGGCTCTTGACGAGACACAGCCCCTGGTCTCAAGGGCGCCCCGGAGGCGGCCAGGTACTGGAGGATGACCCGACGCTCGCCTGAGCACCCAGGCCCGGCTGGGAGGCGGGACCTGGATCTGGACACTCACCCTTGGCCCCGGCAGCCCAGTCTCCGGTTCACATCCCTCTGCAGAAGCCCCTCCAGCAAAGAGCGGAGCTCGGGGGAGAAGGAGTCAGGCAGCTCCACAGCCTACAGGGAGGACCAGACGTTGATGGAGGGAGAGACAGGGCCCCCTTCCTGATGGCCCCCCGCAGTCATGTTGGCTCTGACCACTTTGGGGGCGGGGTGGGGAGGAGCCTATGGGGCAGGAGGTCAGAGTAGGGCAGGGTCACACGAGATCTCTATGGAGAACCAAGAGCCCTGACCTCAACCCCCACTGCGCCCCCATCCCACCCCAGCCCCAGCATCCTCACCATTGTCAGCGTCATGCGGTCGATCTCATGCTTGTCTTTGGTCTTGTGCTGCCGGAAGGGGCTGTGCCTGGACAAAGAGGCCAAAGTTCAAGGTCAGAGGAAGAGGAAAAGTGGCAGCGCACAACCCATGCTTGTCCAGAGTCAAGATGGTGCCGCCTGAAGCCCAGGCGTGGCCTCCTCCCGCCCAGCTCCTCGCGGGGGGCAGGGAACGGCCCACTCACCCCCGCAGCAACTTGAAGAGCATGCAGCCCAGCGAGAACCAGTCGGCGCTGCTGTCATAGGCCACGCCCTTCTGCAGGACCTCGGGGGCCATGTACCCGTGGGTGCCCCTGTGGAAGAGAGGCCGTGAGCACTTGGCGGAGGGCACGGGAAGGGAGGGTGGGGCCGGGCACTCACACGCTGGCGTGGGGCTTCTTCTTGGAGAAGTCGCAGGCCAGGCCCAGGTCTGAGATGCGCACATGGCCGTGCTCGTCCAGGAGGATGTTGGCCGGCTGCGGAGGAAGCCCAGTGAGCCACCGGGGGCTCAGTCTGGCCAGGCCAGGTGACAGCTGGACCCCACTTTCCTCTAGAGGATGATGGTGTCCAGGACAGGCCCTGGGGGGGTCCTTCTCCCCCCAGACACAACCGGAGTCCAGAAATGGCTCAGTGGGAGGGAGGGCCCCTCGGCAGGCAGCAGGAGGGGGGCTTCACCTTCAGGTCCCGGTAGACAACGAAGCGGTTGTGCATGTGCTCCAGGCCCAGGATGATCTCCGCGGCATAGAAGCGCATGTCCGCCTCGGAGAAGACCCCGTGCTGGGAAAGGTGGTAGTGCAGGTCCCCGCCTGGGGAGGCAGCCCAAGTCAGGGCGCTGGCCTCAGAGATGGGCTCCGCCCCCCAGCCCCCCCAGGCTCCGCCCCCCAGGCTCTGCCCCCAGCCCCCCAGGCTCCGCCCCCAGCCCCTACAAGCTCCGCCCCAGCCCCACAGGCTCCACCCCAGCCCCAGAGACAGGAGCCAGCAGACAATCAACTCACCGTTCATGAGATCCAGGATGAAGCTGAGCTTGTCTGGCGTGTGGAATGCATAGGACATGCAGACGATGAAGGGGCAGTCCTGGGAGGGAAAGGATGGGCAGGCAGGTCAATGGTGGGTGCCCAGGTTCCGGGACGAATCCTACTCCGCCCGCCCTGGCTGCAGCTCACCCCTGTGCTGACGAGGGACAGCATGATGCGCTCGTTCAGGGCCAGGGTCTCCCCCTGCTTCATCTTGATGCGCTTCTTGTCCAGGCACTTCATGGCGTACCTGGGGGCGGGAGCTGGTCAGTGGGCACACCCCCACACAGAGCCTCGCAGTGCAGGGAGAGGGAGGGGTAGTCCTCAGGAATGGACCAGACCCCAGGACAGCATGTGGTCCTCATCAGAGACAGACAGAAGGCAGGAGGGCGTGCTGGTGGGCCAGGGGCTCCGTGGGCCTGCCTTCGTCGGCGGGTGACCGCACAGAGACAGGAAGGCGGGGGCAGGTGGTGTGGAGAGAACAGCACTGGCCCTCTGCCGAGGCCTGCCAGTCAGGGCTCGCCCCTGCCCTCGGCTCCCAGGGTCCCCTGCCCAGGGCATGGATCCCCCACCGCTGTTTCAGGCCCCAGGGGCTCTCCCGCCCCGCAGCATCCCACCAGATGCCAGGGCTTACATCTTGCCTGTGTCGGCCTTCCGGCACCCATACACCTCACCAAAGCCCCCTCGCCCGATGATGCGGTGCACGCTGAAGTCGTTCATGGTCAGCTGCAGGGGCGGCAAGAGTCGGAGTTGGGGACGGTGGCCTGGGCTTGGTCCCCGGGCAGAGGTGCCTGGGCAGCCAGGGCTGGTCCATGTGGAGGCCCCGGACCCAGGCTGCCTTCACCATTGCTTCTCTGCCTTGAGTTGTCCCGCTGAGATCCTGGCACCAACCCCACGGCCACCACCCTGGGGCTGAAGGGCAGACCTCCTTCCCGCCCTACCAGGCCATATGCCCAGTCCCCCAGGTATATGGCCGCAGCCGCGGCCCCCCCCCACGCCCACCCAGCCCACTCACATGGATGTTGAGCTCCACGTTCTTCCACTGGCAAAAGCGTGTGAATTTATCACTGCAAGAGAAGAAGCGGGGGCTCAGACGAGCCTCACAAAGTGGGGAATGACGCTGATGGAGCCCGTCCCACTGCACCACCGTCTTCAGGGGCCCCGAGCCTCAGCATCCTCTGGGCGGCCCAGGAAGAGCAGTGGCCCAGGCTGGCCACCTTGGAACCACCTGGGGCCCACACAGGGCCAAGCCGCCTGTCTCTGAGTTCTTGCAGGGACTGTACAGGCTTGGAGAGGGGCCCAGTGTGCCCCCAGCTGCTGGCGCCTGTGACCTTGATACTGCTGCCTGCTCGCACGCCTCTGGGGACACGGTACCCACTCCATGGTTGGGCAGCCGGGACCCTTGGGCAGCTGTTCCTTACCTACAAATCCCACCCACCAGACGAGGCCTGGCCGTGAGGGCCCTGGGGCCGTGTGCCCTCTCATGCCTGGCCCCACCCTGTGGTCTCAGCCCAGGCGGGCCCAGCCAGGTGCTGGGAGGAACGATGCCAGGTGGCCGATGGGCTTTGAGATGCCTGGTAGGGCAGGCAGAGGTGGAGGAGGTGAGGATGGGAGCCGTCTGACCTCGCAGCACCCCTGCCCGGGGCTTCTGGCTTCCGGCCCCCGCAGCATCTACACCACTTCCCAGAGCAGCCTCTTCCCCTTCCTCTCCCGCCTGCGCCCGCCTCACCTCTCGATGAATTTCTGGAACACATCCCCTCGGAGGTTCTGACAAATCTCTTCAATGTATGGCTAAGGGAAGAAGCTGGAGGTTGGTGACCGAGCCCCGAGTGGGAGCCGACAGGCCCCTGAGCTGGGCCGCCCGAGGGGACCCCGGCCGGGCTGGGAGGCCGCGGGAGCAGGCCAAGCACGCACCTGGAAGAGATCCGGAGGCACCTGCTTCTTCACCAGGTGGCCCTGAACGTGCTCAGTGGCGCTTTTCGAGAAGGGCTGGGGAAGACAGAGGCAGCGTGACCTGGCGTCCCTGCCCCAGCCCAGCGCAGAGCGCCCGGGGGGCCAGCGCGGGCACTCACGTGCGAGCAGGCCAGCAACTCCTTCATGATGTAGGTGTCGAAGATCTCCCGGCTGCGGGTCAGGCGCTCCTCCTCAGTCTCGAGCTTCTCGTATTTCTTGATCTAGAGCCACGACCCCACAGGCGACATGTGGCACCACGGCCAGGCGTCTTGGGTCAGCAGGGCCCCCAAGCCCCTCCCCTCTGCAGAGCGCCCGCCTCACCTCCTCATAGAACTCCACCAACGGCCTGGCCTCCTCCAGGTGCTTCAGGCAGAAGTCGCGGAAAAGCATGTACCCTGAAAGCAGTGAGCCCCTCAGTCTTCCTATCACGGCGGGTGGTGGGGGTTGGTCCCAGACAGGGCCCAGCAAGGGGGCCTCCACGGGCTGCCAACCGAGGACTAAGCTTTGGGGTCGGGGTGCCCATGTTTCTCCCCCTCCCAGAACCTGTTTCCTTGGTTGGTGGCTGGAAAGTGACAGGTGGTGGCGAGGCAGGGGCAGGCCTGGCTGGGGCCTAGACCCACACACTGCGGCCCAGTACTGCACCACCTCTGTGAGGGCGACACCCCCACTTGGTGGTCTGCGCAAGGGAGGGAGGTCCAGCGGGCAGTCGGAGCTGTAGCCCGGAGCAGCAGGGCAGCCCTGAGAGAGGACCAGGTAAGTCCCTCTGCCTGGACCTTGCACCACTCCATCATCTGGCTGATGATGAGACTGGGCAGCCTGGGCGAGTGGGTCCAGTTGGGGAAACTGAGGCTTGGAGAGGCCTGTCAGACAGGCAGACATGAGAACTCAGGTCCCCTCTACCCTGCTATGGGTTCTGGGAAGAACAGCCCCGGGGGAGGGCTCACAGAAGACCCCAGGAAGTAGAGGCCAGAGGCAGGGCAAAGCAGGAGGAAGGGCAGCCCTGCTTCCTCCTCGGGCCTCTGGCTTAACATGGGTGACTGGGCTCTTGCTGGGTGGCCTCCCACGCTGCCCTCACTTTCTGGGCAGCTCTGCCAGAGCTCACAGCTCTCAGACACCACCTCACTAGGCCTCCCGCAGTCCCGGGCAGCGGGGCTCCTGAGCCCGAGTCCCCAGCCGAGGACACCAGCAGGCTGAGAGAGGGGCGGCAATGTGCCCAGGGTCACATGGCACAGGCAGGGGACCCGAAATGCCTGCTTCCCGATGCTCTGGCCAGAGCCCGCCAGGCCCCTCCCCTCTCAGAGTGAGACCCAGTTCTCCAGAGGCCTAATCGGAGCCTGGTGTCACTGGAGCCTGCCTCCACCCTGCTGGCGGCCCGGTCCAGACGGCGGGCCCAGGGCCTTCCACGAGCGGACAGGAGGAGGAGGCAGGTCCCTCACAAAGAGGCCGTGGGGGCGGGTGCAACCACAGCGGGCGCCACAGGAAGGGCCCCGCCCCTTCCTGTCAGTTCCACCACCGCTGCCGGCAGCTGCCTGCGCCAAGGGGAAGCTGCAACTCTCAAAAACAAAAAACCCAAAGGAGGAACTTCCCCTGTGGCCCTGGAAGGCGCTGGGCCCCCACCCCCTCTGCAGGCTCCCTGGGCCCACACTGGGTCACAGCCCTGCTGCCCGGGCCAGGGGCTGCTTGTCCCGCCTGGAGTGGATGGGACTGGGGTGGATGGGAGGCCGACCTCCGACCTGGGGGGAGTGGAGGGCCAGCCTGGCCCCTGAGGCAGGGGCAGGGCAGAAGGGAGGCTGGGTCCTCCCCCACCACACTTACCCAGCTTCTGGGAGAAGATCTTCTCAAAGGTCACCTCGCCCCGGTCCTCCAGGTACTTCTGCATGACACTGCGGATGCTGAATGACAGAGGTGCCTCGGTGACCCCCAGCTCCCGGGACCCCCAGGGCTCCCTCAGGACTCGGCCCCTCTCTGGCCCAGCCCTCCTGGAAGGTGGCTCCTCTCTGGAATCAGGAGTGGGGGGCACTGTGGTGGCTGCCACCCACGGGGGCTGGGGACTGAGCCTGCCCAGCGTGGTTCTGTGCTCAGCAGGGAGGGGCCAGCAGGTGGCTGCTCAGAAGTGGGGTCCCAGCACTGCTTCGTGTGGCTTTGGGAACCTGGCCAAACCCCAAAAGCCAGGCCTCCACCACCAGCGGATGATGGATAGCCAACCTGTGACCATCCTGCCTGCGGGACCCCCCAGCCTGCCTTGGAAAGGCACCAGGCCTGGCCACACGGGTAGGCCACAGTACGGTTGGCCTGGCTCGCGGCCGGCAGGGGAGTCAAGCCAGTCAGAGGCCGCGGTGCCGGCGCCCATCCCGTCAAACTTCCAGAAGAGGCCAATCTAAACAGCAGACGCGGGTACCAGGGGGAGGGGGCAGGGCACGACTGCCAGTGGACTGGGGTTTCTTTTGGGGATGGTAGGATTATTCTGGAATTAGAATGAAGGTTGCACAATACAGAGAATGTTCTGAAACCAACGGCTGCACATGTTAAGGGTGATCTGAGCATGGGAACTGTATCTCCACTTCAAGAAACAGTAAATAAAAGAAGCCTCCACCCCCCGTGTCCCTAGTCCTGACTGACATATGCCCTGACCCTGGGTTACTTGGAGGGTCGCAGGGGCAGGGGCTGGGCCTTGCAACCTCAGGCCAGACCCCAGCTCCCCATTAGCTCAGCCACCCACTGGACACCGCCTGGAGCAGCACCATGTTCCACCCAGGCCTCAGAGCACCTGCTGTCCCCGCATCCCTGCTCCTGGGCCCCTTCAGTCCACCCTGCTGGCCTAGCCCTCTGGCAGCCAGCTGCAGTCACATCTGGACTCCTGAGGGATGTTCTGAGCTGCCCAATTGAGGGCCATGCTGGGCAGTCACATCTGAGCCCATGAAAGGCTCACACACCTGCAGGAACTGAGGTCACCAGGAGGCTGTGGGGAGACCACAGCTGGCGAGGAGAAGGTCGGGTGGGGCTGTGTGTGCCCCCGCCTCTGTCCTGGAGCCCAGCTTGGAGCCTGGCCATTCCCTGTGAACCTCCTACTGGAAGATCATGCCCTCCTGGCAGGACCTTCTAGGGCACAGGTCTGTGACCCAGACAGCCTGACAAAGCCCCAGGAGGACACGGTCAGCGCGAGAAGGGAGGGGAGACCTGTTCTGGGTACTTGGGGAGGCTGAGAGAAGGTGGGACAGCCCCCCCCCCCACGCCGGGGCTCCGCAGTGCAAACAGGATGCTGTAAGGTGTGAAGCCAGCGCCAGTGTGAAGGGCCCTGCGAGGATGAGCAGCAGGCTGAGGCGGGGAGGGGGCTCAGGCCAGGGCGGGGAGGGGACAGACTGTTGGACAAACCCATGGGAGGTGACCCGGGTGGATGGAGCCCCTGGGCCAGGAAAGAAATGGGTGGAGAAGGCTCTGGCCTTGAGACAGGCAGGAGAGCTTATGAGCCGGCTGGAAGGCAGGCCAAGTCTGCAAGGCCTCGAGGCTGTGGGCCAGGGGTCTGCGTGAGGCAGTCATGGAGGGCGGGCTGCAGCCCCAGGACCTGGGCTTCAGGGCTGGGGCCTCCTGCCCTGTCCCTCAGTACATATCCAAGCCCAGGCCAAGGCCCAGGTTTGAGCCACCCGAGGAAAGGCCATGCAAGATACAGCAGTGACACGGAGCTATCAGGGCACCCTCCCGAGGCGGGACCCCCTCCTACCTCCCTGCCTGGGAGACCAGGAGACCCGGCCTGTGGAGCAGGGGCCCCAAACCGTTCCTCACAGAACCAGGGGCCTCAGGAGCTCGGTGCAGATACCCCGACCTTCTCGGAAAGCTGCCACCAATAGTAAGAAGGAGCCGGTGACCAGGATAGCCCTTCTGTGACCCCCATCCCGAGACTCCGGTCAGGAGAGGGGCCGCTGCCGGCCAGGCTGCCAGCACCCCCCAACTGGCAAGGGTGCCGAGACCTGGATATGGCCCTTACACCGCCACACGCTATCCTGGGGGCCGCACCCCAGTTCAGGCCCATGGGCCACCATCAAGGACATGCACCCCAGCCCATGGGTCTCATCACAGCAAGGCCTTGGAAAGTCTGGGAAACCAAGAAAGACACAGCCCAGGCCCGAGCCTGCAAAGATCAGAGGCCCAGGTGGTGAGGGGTGTCTGCACTGAGCTCCTGAGTCCCCTGGTTCGGTGAGGAACGGCTTGGGGCCCCTGCTCCACAGGCCAGGTGTGGGGGCCTGGGTGCAACAGAATGGCCAGGTAGCCGAGTCACGGTGCAGTGGCCGGGTGCCCGCGTTCCACCTGTGAGCCAGGGGACCAGGAAGGCTGGCCCCTCACACCCCCGGCTCAGCGCTCCATGCCCCACACCTGCAGCAGATTCCTGAGCTTCGGGACATCTTCGGGCTACTGGGAGAGGATGAGAAAAAGCAATAAAGAAGGGAAATAACACAAAATGCCCCCTGGAGGTGATGGTAGGTGTGGTCGGGGGGAGGTACAGACAGGTGAGCACATGGGGCAGGCACGGCAGCTCCAGCCCATCGGGTGACCACAGTGGACAACGGGCATAAGCAATAGGTACCAGGAAGCTCTCAGAGCTCCAAACTTGCTTCCTGGGAACTGGCAAGACTGGCAGCAGCTTAGCAAAGGGGATGCATGAGAACGCCCACCCAGGAGCCCGGGTGCAGCCGCTGCCACCACTGCCCCCACCGTGGGCCTCGGCCCTCAAAGCGGCCGCAGCTGGACACGCCAAGGCCCCCCCCTGGGGAAAGGGTCTGTCTCCTGGGACTGGGGGCCACCAGGGACGCCCCTTCTGGGGCTGGGGTGGCACTTGGTGGCCCATGCCTTCTCCCTTTCCTGCTCTGCTGTGGACTCGGCACGGGGGTGTGGAGCAGCCAGGCCCGCCCTGCCTGTAGCCGCCTGGTGGGGCAGCCACTGCTTCTTCCCAGCCTGTGGCCCTTCACTCTCTTCCTTAAAAAGAAAACATTATTTTCTACATAAAACAAACCACCCCCCAAACCAAACACGAGGTGCGGTCAGACAGGAGCAGGGTTCTCAGAGGGAAGGTCCCCAAAATGGCAACATTGGGGCTTCCTGTCTATTCCCACGGGGCAGGCAGGCGAGGGAGCTGACAGGTCAGAAAAACCGTGTCACAGGGGACACCCCCGCCAGGGCGGCAAGTACTTGCTCGCTGGGCGGCCTCCTGGACCAGGTCACCTGCGTCTCCAACACCGGCTCCCTGAGACTGGCAGAGTCTGGGCGGCAAAGAGCCCCAGGCGGCACTCCTGCCCCCCAAGTCAATCGCCCTGAGCAGGAGCATGTGGCTCCTGGACCAGCTCTGGTCCAGGACGAGAGCCAAAGGCCTGCACCTGCCCCAGCCAGGGGGCCCTGGGCTACACAGAAGGACCTCGGAGCTGCCTGCATTCCCGCTGTGCAGTGACATCCAGGCCCGGCTTCCACCTGGCTCTACCCCCCAGGAAGCGAGGCCAAGCCACAGACTTTCAACCTGCACCTTCCCCATTTGTAAAATGAGGATGTCCACAAAACGCTGAATTGCCACCTCCGCGCTGGCCATTTAAGAAGCCTGAGTGGGGTCCTCCGCTGGTGGTGCAACAGTTGAGCACTGGGCTGTGAAGCTGCCCGCAGCCTCTGCAGCGCCGGTTCGATCCCCGGCTGCTCCCCGGCCCCCGGAGGAGGGTCCCACATGGCGTGCAGACCTCTCCTGCCGCCCGCTGCTCCCCTCAGCAGTGTACCTCGGTCCTTCTGCCTGCTCTGCTCCCCGCTCTGGCTCTGGTGAATTCTCTCAGCCTCCCGTGCTTCTGACTGTACCCAGTGCTTGTATAAATAAATAAATAAATCTTAAAAAAAAAAAAAAAAAAGGCTGAGTGGAAGCCGGGGAGCTGTCCCCAGATGCCAGCCTCGCTAGGAGGGCTGCAGAGGGCCCTCCTGCTGGGCTCCGGCAGCTGTGCCTCCTCGAATGCGGTCCTAAGCTGCACAGTCCTGAGGGGGTCTCTGTCCCAGAGGGCAGGGTCTGTGGCCAGCTGAGCCCTGCTGGGTGGGCCCATGGGCACCACCCTGCGCCAGGAGTGACTGCAGCCCCACTCTGCCCCCAGACCAGCCTGCACACTCCCACTCCTGCTGCTCAGCTGGGGGCCTGGCAAACTACTGAGGGCCCCTGAGCAGGAGGCCACCCGCTGTGGCAGAGAGCAGCCCAGCTGCTCTGAGGAGCAGACCCGGCCTAACAGCAGCAGGGAGCACGGCCTGGGATGGCAGTGGTGCCGCAGGTGGGTAAGGGGAGAACTTCCGGTACTTTCTGGCTCTGCCTGGCTCAGGGGCTTGGCAGGTCACCACAGGGGCCCTCCCCTCCATCATGGGACCTCAGGGATCCAAGGCAGCACTGGTCTTGCTGGGGGGAAATCTAGGCTGAAAGCACAAGCAGCTGCCCACAGTGCCTCAGAGAGCCACTGGCAAGAAAATATCCCCATCTCCCTGAGAACAGGCCTCCTCGCTAGGCTGGGGCCTCCTGTGGCAGGGCCTGGGGGAGGGCTGGTGGAAGGGGTCTCACAGGACCCTGCACAATGGGCCTGAATGCCCCCCTTTGCCAGAGGCGCAGGCAGTGGCCTTCCTGGGAGCTGATGTGCCAGGCTGGGTGCCAGTGCCCGGTGTGACGGAGACGCCGGCAGCCCCAGGACAGGTGAGCTCCGCACGGCGCGCTAGATGGCAGTTAACAAGGCCGCAGAGGGGAGGCTGTGGCCGCAGCTGCAACACTCCTCTGTGGCATTTCCAGACCTGGCACCAAGGTGGCAGCGGCAGGAGGAAGTACCCTGGGCTTATTAGCATTTCTCCATGACTCTCCCTGGGGCTGACAGCACCCTCCGTGCACCCAGCCACGCGGGGTGGGAGGCCAACCCAGAAGGTCGCCCCCTGAGCGAGCCCCGGTGCGGAAGAGAAAATGACGCCTGACCTGGCACACAGAGCCCCCCTGGAATGTCTGCCACCCCCTAGGGCCCCCATGAAAAAGTGGCTCCTTTCAGGGGTGTTGGGAAGTGGCACTCTGGAGGGTTTGTCACAACCGCCACTGCGTGAGAACAACTGCCGTTCCCAGAGGCGGCTGCCCTGCACCCCAGCCCGGTGGCTTCCCCAGCCAGAGGACAGAGCCGCTGCTGCGTGCACACCAGAAACCCCCGGAGAAACCTCCTGCAGCCCCGCCTTCCCGCAGCCCTCCCGCAGCCCCTGGGGGGGACGGTTACTGTTTCCGCACAGGCTGCAGCCACTTAGAAGCGCCACCTGGGCTTACGAGGGCAGCAGGGGGCTGGGCCCAGCTCAGCTGTGCTCCTGCTCTCCGGAGCTGGGGCGCCAGCTATCTGCTGGAGGCGGGAGCAGACCCGGGCGCCCCAGCGGGCGGCGGGGGGCCGCCGGTGCACGCTGCCTCCACCTGACGTCACTGCGAGTTTACTACGGGTTGGATCGTGCCTTAGTAGGACACGTTCTCCCTTCTCCGCGGGCTGACGAGCCCAGATCCCGCTGCAGGATTCCACCTGCAGCCTCGCGCTCCCTTCAAATCCGTTCTCCAAGGGAGCGGGGCGGGCGGCGAGCAACTTAATGGGAAAAATGTGCAACCCCACGCTCTGGCGAGAACAGATGGGAACAGACGTCCCAGAGACCCATTCCCGGGGAAAGTGGGGCTTCACAGGCCCAGCGGGAGAGACGCGAAGAGATAATGGTGCGGGCAGGAGGGAGCGCCTGCTGCCAGGCAGAAAGCTCCCCGCGCGGGATAGAGGCTGGTAGCAGCAGGCTTCTGCTGGTGACGGGGGAGTGCAGGGAAGGAAAGCCCTGCCCAGTGCCCCTGCCCCCCCAAATCGCGGGCAGGAAGTCCTGGATACAAAGAGTTAATAGGAATGAAGAAGCAGCAGAGGAAGAGCGGCGGGTCTGGAGACAGGGAAGCCGGCGAAGGGCAGGAAGGAGGAAATCCACGGTGGGGGAGGGACCGGGATGGAGCCAAGAACGGAGGCTGCAAGAGGCACCGGCTGACAATCTGCTGCTGGGGCTCGCTGTCCCCCAGGAGGCCAGGGGCGTCTCCTGGGAGCGCCAGGCGGGGCTCCTCAGCCAGGAGCCTGGAGATTAATTACACGCAGCCTCCGCGGTCTATTAAGCAAACGACGATAATTACAGGATGGGCCGCTGCTGGCAAAGGGGACGGCAGCCCGAGCAGGCAGAGGGTGGACCTGGACCCTGAGAGCGGAAGGTGCGAGGTGCGGGGCGGGTCAGCCCAAAGAGGCAACCCCGGGGCAGAGCTCTTGCCAGGAGGGCCAGAGGCAGGGAGGAGGCCCCGCGGGGTCAGGGCCTGCCCTCCCGTCCGCAGCCACAGCGCTGCCGCCTTCCCCAGGAGGTCAAGAAGCGGGTCTATTTCCTGGATTCCGGAGAGTGACAGAAGGGGGGGCCCTGTGCCAACTCCAAGTGGCCCTGTGCCTGCCGGCTCCCGCTCCCCAGCCAGTGCCAGTCAAGGCACAGGCCGGTTCTTGCCGCAGGGAGGCTGCCGGGGTGGAACGGCCCAGGTGGGGGCAACTCCAAATCACACCTCGGCGCAGACAAACCCAGTTCTTTCTCCCTGACCCTGACCTTGTGGGTGATGTGGGCCGGGTCCCTGGCATGGAGCTGCCTCCTCCATGTACCAGCTGGACCAGGACAGCCCAGTTCTCGGCCCCGTCAGTGAGGAGGGGGCCCAGCCTTGAGCTGACAGGGCAGGGGGCTGCGGTGCTGCTTCTAGGCCACCTCCCCAGGCCACGGCCCCACTGGTATATTCCACAAAACATGGATGGGGTGAGGGTGGCGGTGCGGAGGGGTGTGGAGTAAAGGCAGCGTCGCAGGGAAGGGGCCGCCGGGAGCCAGAGACCCGAGGCCCAAGTTCAAACTGCAGCTGGCCTCAGTGGGCAAGGCAACGCCCACTCCCAGCTTCAGCCACTTCCAGGACCAACGGGGAGAAGCGGCTTGCTGTGTCCGCCTCCCGCAGCTGGAAAAAGGCTCAAATGGAGTCAAAAGCACTTTGCAAGCGGGAAGACGCACCAGGCAACGGAGGCTGCGGCGTGAGGCCGTCAAGTGCTGGAGGGATCCACCAGCTGGGTGGGGAAGCCGCAGCCCAGGCGGCGTGTCCTCAGGCCCAGGAGGCCCCACACGCACGGCCTCAGCCCCCGCAGGTCAGAGCCCCCGTTGCGGGCAACGCCCCGCGGCCCGCTGCCAGCTAGTGACCCCACAGGAGAGGCCATGGCACCTGGCTCTCGGCCTCCAGTGGTTCCCCTAAACTCAGCTCCCCTGGTCTCGTGACTCAGTCCACCCTGGTATTTCTTGAGCAACTACTACCTGGGAGGCCTGGCCTTGCCAACTTCACAGATTGAATTTTAGATCAACCGAGATGACAGATGTCAAAGTAAACAATAAATTATTCGCATTTCTACCCTCGTGCCTATCACCCCCATCACTCCTGGGCACAGCAAAGGGGCCCGAGAAAGAGGAACATCTTGTTCCTCAGGGTTCTGACACCTGCAGAGCCAGCCCAAGGCGGGGCCCAGCAGCAGCAGTGCACTCTGGGGAGAGATTGCCCAAACCCCGAATGCAGAGTTCCAGAAAAGGCCCCGCCTCACACTTCGCGGGACTCCAACCTGCAGGAGGGTCTCGAGGCAGCCCTTGAGCAGCCCGGGAGGCTGACTCCCTCTTCTCCTGTCAGCTCTGAGCTCATTTTTGTTCTAACTGTGGCTCGCCCCTGAACTGCCCCGGCTGATAGTCAGCCCGGTTCCTGTTTTGAGAAATCTGATGGCAAATGTCTCAGAGAAAAAGGGCCCCAACGGCCCTTCCACACTGCAACTGGCTTTCCTCTCCCGGGCTGGCGACCCAGTCAATCTGAAACCCAGAAAGCGGGGTGTGGAGAGGGTGCAGAGGCGCCATGGCCCCTGCGCCCGGGTCCTGCTTCAGAGATGAGGGGCACACGGGGTCCCGGCTCTGCTTTCAGGCCACCCACGTTTCACACATGAGAAAACCAAGGCCCCCCGAGGACGGGAAGGGACTTTCCCGAGTCACATGGCGGGGCCCTGGCTGACAGCAGGCCCGGGCTCCGGGGTCGCAGGGCACCCATGCCAGCTCTCCCGCCTCCCCATGTGACGCAGGGCCTCCGGGCAGCGGCCGGCTCCAGCCAGGGGGACCCAGCCAGGGGGACGACACCGCTGGGGTCTGAAGCCGGAAGCTCCGAGCCGGTGGCCGGGGCGGCTTCCCCCGGCGGGTCCACCTGTGCGATGCCGGGCAGGGACTCGCCTCTGGGGCCTCAGCGTCCCCTCCCTTCCTCGGGGCCCCAAGCACACCTGCCCGGGCCCTGGGGCTGCCCGGGGCCCCGACAACCGGGGAGCACCCCAAACGCCAGCGCCGCGCTCGGGGCGCCCCTCCTGTGCACTCGGGCGCCCACAGCCTCGGCAGCCGAAAGTTTGCTGCCGAGGCCCGCGTGGCTGTCCCGCGGGGAGGCGGCGGCCGGTCCCGCGGCGCGGGGTGCTGGCCGGTCCCCCGGGCGCCCGCGGCGGGGCGGGGCTGGGCCGGGCCGGGCCGGGCCGGGGACCGCGCGCCCCCCGCCCGCACGGGGCCTGCCCCCGCCGCTCCCGCCACCGCGCCGGCCCGGGGCACGTCCAGCCCGCCGGCCGCGGCCCCCAGAGGCCCCGGAGGTCCCCGCCGCGCCCAGGCGACCGGGCGGGCGAGGGGGCCGCGGAGCGCGCGGCGGGCGGGGGGCCGGCGGCCGGCGCCCCCGGGGCTCCGGGCGGGGCGGGGGTCGGCCGGGCCGGCCGGGCCGGCGCCTCACCTGGGCTCGGGCAGCAGGATCTTCTTGCTGGCGCGCGCGGCCGGCGTGGCCTTGCTCTTCTCCATGGCCATCAGGTAGCTCACGTCGGCCAGCACCGCCTCCAGGTCCGCCATCTTGGCGGCGGCGGCGGCCTGTCCCGCCGCGCGGCCCCGCGCCCTCCGCTCCGCGCCCGCCGCGCTCGCGCCCCCCGCGCCCCGCGCCCCGCGCCCGCTCCCGCCCGGGGCGCCGCCGCCCGCCTGGCCCGGCGCCCGCGGCTCCGCTCGCCGCGCTCACAGGCGGCGCCGCCCCATGGCGCCGGCTCGGCCCGGCCGCGGCTCGCTCCGCTCCCGCCGGGACTGCAGTCGGGCCCGCCGCCCGCCCGCGCCCGGAGCCGCCGCGCCTCCGGCCCCGCCTGCCGCGCACGGCGCCAGCGAGCCCGCCCGGGGCCGGGCGGCGGGCGGGCGGCGGCGCCCCCTGGAGGCCGCGCGGGGCCCGGCCCCCGCCCCCCCCCCGACCCGGCCGGGGCGCCCGAGGAGACCCCCGCCCGGCCCGCGGCGCCGCCACCCGCGGGCCCAGGCCCGCCGGACCCGGCACCAGCCCGGGGCCTCCGGGCCCAGACCCGCCCTTATTCCACCGAGGCCTCGGAAGGCGGCCCCGGCCCCCCGCACACCCCGGCCCGGCCCCCCCCCCGCGCGCTCCCCGCCCCCGAGAACGCCAGGGTCGGGGTTCGGGCCGTGACCTCAGGGCTGATCCCCGCCGCGGACTGTGACCCCGACCCGCCCCGGTCCCGGACCCTAGCCAGAGCCGGGCCACAGGGGACCTAACCCGCCGACTGGGCCGGGGCCCACACCGAGGCCGGGACCTGGGCTGGTCCACCCTACTCCAGGGTGCCGGGCCCAAGGGCTGACACTGGGCCGCAGGACGCGGACCGAACCCAGAACCCGAAACGTGTCCTCCGGAGCCCGGCACCCACGGGTGCAGTCAGGCCCGGGGCGCCGCAGCCCCAGCCCAGCCCCGCCTCCTCCTGCTCCAGCCGCGCCCCGCGGCCCCAGGACTCCCGCTCAGGACCTGGCGCTGGGCTCCCTGGACTGGCTGGAGCCCCTCGGCCCGGCGGGCACCCCAGACCTTCCACCACGGTGGGCAAGATGGGACGGAACCTCTTCCCGCCGGCGTCACAGGGGTCTCAGCGCTGAGAGCCCACGAGGGTGGAGGGGGCTGGGGTCCACTGCTGCTCAAGCCAGCACCCCGAATCCCAACATGCCCCTCTCAAGAGCCTCTCTCTACTTTCCAAGACAACCAGATCCTCTCCAGCCCTTGTGCCCCTTGTGCCCACTTCATGCCAGCTTGTGGGCCAGTAGCCAGGGCCCGTAAGCAGAGAGGGTGCCCCCCTCCCCCAAGTACTCTTGCCACCTTCCGAGATCAGCCTCGACAGACCCCGGGGCGGAGGGCTTCAGAGACAGTGTGGTTCCCTTCTCGGGGGTGACACCACTGTTCGCGCATACCCTAGTCAGAGCTCCAGGCCTCACTCTTGACCTTCCCTCCCCCACCCCCAGTCTCTCAGCCCACCCTCCTGCTTAGCCTGCTGAGAATCTTCTGGAACCTGTCGACGTCTCTGGGTCGTGTGGCTGCTGCCCCAATGCAGGCTCTGACCAAAAAGGCCTCCCCCCAATCTAGGTCTGATGAGGTCACAGGGCCGCTGAGAGTGTGGGAGCAGCACCCCTCTCTGCCCAAAGCAGACCAGGTGACCAAGTTGCTGAACCTGCAAGTCATTGCCTTGGATGACTGGACACTGCTCCCCTGTCCAGCTCCCCTCTGCGCCTGGGGACCTCACCTGTGCCCCCATCTGTTCTGACCTCCACCCATGGCTGCTCCCCGTGCCTGGGAGTCCTCTGGCTAACTCCTGCTCATCCTTTCAGACCCAGCTCCTCCAATCCCTGGCCCCCGCACTTCGTACAGCTCTGATGCCACATTTACCACCCATTTCTTTGATTTGAAAACATGAGTTGCAAGATGCATCATTTCAAGCTTTTGACAGTGTGAGCGGGGAGGCGAGTGTGTGGGGCCTTGTGTGTGTCAAGTGGAAATGCATCCCCATTGGGAAATGCTAACTGTTGTTTCAAAAAGAAGGATCCCTACCATCTCCAACTGCAGGTGATGCTCCTGCCTCTTCTCTTACCCCTGCTGGCCACCTCAGGACTGTGGTCATGTCGGAGGAATGACTGAGGGAGGAGCAGGGAGCACCTCTCCCAGGGCGGGCGGCCTGGGGCTAGAGCAGAACTGGGCCAGAGGCAGTGAGGATGCCTCTAACCTCCCCACTTCCTGCCCCACCCCCAACCTTTGGGACTCGGCAGCCACACGCCAGCCTGGGTTTTCTGGACCAAGTCCCCATTTAAAAAAACTCCTGCCTGATGAACTTGTCAGACCAGCATCCTCGTGGGCTCAGGAAAGCCACCTGCTGCCCTGCTGCAGCAGGCAGCCGGCCCCAGCAACCCCTGCACCCGGCGTCTGAAGACTGCCGCTCGCACCCACAGACCTGGAAGGCCTGAAGTCGGGCCCTTTGAGAGCGTCGGTGTCCAGGTGCCCCTCACTCATTCCTGGGACCCTGGAAGGGCGCCCTTGGAAGCCCCGGGTTGGGCAGAGGTTGGTCCCAGTCACTGGCCTGCGAGAGGGGACTTTCTGCAGTGGTGCTGCCCTCTGGTGGGCTGCGGAGATGGGCGCAAACGTGCCTTTTCCAGGGACTTCCCTCATTGCTTCTCCCAGTCCGGTGCCCAGACTGAGCCACCCTTGGGCTGGAGGGCAAGGGGTGAAAGAGGAGTGAAACCCCGTCTCTTCCCAGGGGCAGACCGGCAGACACATCATTACCCGATGACTAATAGGCGTTGTGAACCTAAATCGTCCCCCACGCTCGCTCCCACCCCCTGCCCCTGTCCAACCTGCTCCTCGCCCACCTCCTTTCTCAGCTAGGGCTCCTCCATCTTCCAGGAGTCACCCTTGACTCCTCCCTTCCCCACCCCCCCCGCCCCCACCCAGACACTGGCAGGTCCTGTGCCGGACCTGGCGCTTGTCTCTAGCCTACCCCTAAGCGTCCCACAGTGCCCTCTAGACCCAACCCAAGCCCATCACCTCTGCTTGCACCAGTCTCCTGAGAGCCTCCTGGCCACTCCTCACGCCAGAGTTTTTTGTATTTTTAAAAAGTTTTATTTTTATTTATTTATGCATGGAAGAACTGGGGTGCAGGCCAGAGTTGGGGGGTGAGATGATTCACCAGAGACAGAGCAGGGAGCAGAACAGGCAGGCTGACTGAACTACACTGCTGAGGGGAGCAGCGGGGAGACAGGAGAGGTCTGCTGCGCCATGTGGTTGCTCCCTGGCCAGGGATGGAACTCAGGACACAGTGGCTGGTGATACTTTAACCCCTGCCTTACCAGGGAGGCCCACCGGAGTTTTTCTAGGCCTCAAGCTCACCCCACCTCTGGGAAGTGCCTCTGCACTTCAGAAACAGCCCCCCTTCTGTGGCCTGTAAGCCCTGTCCAGCCTGACCCTTCCTCAGCTTTCCTCAGCTCTCCTCCATGCCCTCTGCCCTTCCTGCCTCCAGCCTCTCTGGTTCTCTGTCACTACAAGCAAGCTCATTTCTACCTCCGAGGTTTTGATTTTACAGTTGCCCTCACCTAACTGCCCTTCCCCTCCCTGGGGTGTGTGAGGCCTCTTGCTCCCCTGCACCTGGGGGGCTGGGAGGTTCCTGCTCAGAGGGCTCTCCCTAGGTGCCCTATTCATCCTGGTCACTTGCATCCCTCACACCCAGCATGATTCCTGGGCCACAAAGGGAAGCAGGATTCAGTGGTGACCCAGTGTGTGGGAGGCCCCTAAGAGTATGCCTCCAGTTAGCCTGATGCTTGTTATAATGGGAGGAGTGGAGGTGGAGCATTCGGAGAAGCCAGTCAGGGGAAGGTGGGAGAGGGCAGAGGAGGGATGGGGAAGGTCTTGCACTTGACCTTGTGTGCATGTGAGTGTGAGTGAGTGCCCAGCTGAGGGCCAGCTCAGGTCAAGGCCCATTTGTGCACTCAGTCTCCATCTGGGCTTGAAGACCCAGGAGGATGAGTTTGGGGGTGTCTCTGACTTCACCAGGGATGTAAGGGTTGACCAGGAGAGACTCCTGCCTGGCAGGGACAGTCCCTCTCTGATGTCTGGGTGAGACAAGGCCAAACTCTGGCTGAGAGGCTGGGAGCTCATGTCATTCTGTCCCTCATTCAGCCGATATGATTTGTGGAGCTGCTACTACAGGCCTGGCCTGATGCTTGGCTAGGGATACCACGTATGGAGACGCAGTGAACTTCTCTCTTTCTCTCTCTCTCCCTCTCTCTCTCTCATATAGATAGATAGATAGATAGATAGATAGATAGATAGATAGATAGATAGATAGATAGATATAGATAGATAGATAGATCTATCTATCTTATATCTTCAAAAGGTCATGTTTATTATAAAAGAGGTTCTTACTATGTGCCCCTTAAGCCCTGATGATTTCATTTCATTTATTAATTTAAGACTCAGGGCCTCCCCGGTGGCGCAGTGGGTTGAGCGCAGCACTGCGAAACTGTCTGTAGCCTCTGCAGCGCCGGTTCGATTCCCGGTTGGCCAGGGAGAAATCCACATGGCGGGAGAGCAGACACTCTCCTGTCTCGCCCGCTGCTCCCCTCAGCCGTGTATTTCTTCAGTCTGCCTGTTCTGTTCCCTGCTCTATTTCTGGTGAATCCTCTCACCCTCCCGCACCTCTGGCCTGTACCCCAGTTCTTGTATAAAAATAAATAAATCTTTAAAAAGAAAAGACTCAAACCATTCTGGGCCTCCCTGGTGATGCAAGGGGTTAAGTCTCAGCACTATGAACCTATCCGCATGAGTTTGATCCCCGATCCCGATCCCGGGCCAGGGAGGTGACCCACAGCAGACCTCTCCTGTCTCCCCGCTGCTCCCCTCAGCAGTGGATTTCAGTAGATCTGCCTGTTCTGCTCCCCACTCTGTCTCTGCTGAGTCCTCTCACCCCCCACACCTCTGGCCTACACCCCAGCTCTGTATGCATCAATAATTTTTTTTTTTTTAAAAAGAATCATTGTATCAGGCAGGTGATAAGTTATCACAAAAGCCAGGTGCCTCCTCAGGTGCACAGACCACAGGTGTACAGACCACCCAGGTAGTCTGGAAGGGCATTTTCTGCCAGAACCAGGATAGGAGAGAAACAGCTTTGTCAGGGGTTAGGGAAAGGAGCTTTGCCGGCCCATGGAACAGCAAGTAAGGAGGCCCTGGGGGAGGCGTCTGCAGAAAGCTCCAGGCCCAGCCGCAGAGTCCCTCAGCAGCCCCTCTGCCCTCAGGCAACGCCCAGAGCCCCGGTCAGGCTTCCAGACCCCTGGCTGAGCTCGTCTCCCTTCTCCAGAGCAGAGCCTGCTCCTGCCGCCCTCCCGAAGGCTCCGCCTGGGAACCTCAGCCGGGCCTTGGTCCCGCCCCCCGCCCCGGCCCCGCCCCGCCCGCCCCGGCCCCGCCCCGCCCGCCCCGGCCCCGCCCCGCCCGCCCCGGCCCCGCCCCGGCCCCGCCCCGCGCGAGCGCTTCCAACGCGCATGCGCCCCGGCGCCTCGGCGCTGCCTGGCCGCGAAATCCGCTGTGTCCACTGGGCGCGCGTTTTTGCCTTGACCCTCCCGGCCCGCCTGTGAGTGTCCGAGCCGCGGCCCCGGCGGCCCCGCGGGTACTGGCCGGCGGGAGTGGGAGGCTGTGTGCGGGGCCCGAGGTCAGGGGCCCGCACCTGCTGCTGCAGCCGGCCGGGCGCCCTGGGCGCGTGGCCTCGCCTCTCCGAGCCCTGCCTCCGCGCCCGCGCCCCGCGCCCCCAGCCCGGCCTCCCCGCATTGCCCGGGGACTGGGGGACGCGATGCAGGTGCAGCGTGGGCGGAGAGGCGGTCTGGGGCGCGGCCTGGACGCGGGAGGGGCTGGGTCCGCACCCGTTTCCCTCCGGGCCGCTGCTCTCCTTTCACGCTCCCCCGCCCCCCACCCCTCTTTTCCTGCCCTTCTTTCCCGTCCTTTCGGGGTGTTGTCTTTCTGTGTGCGTCTCTTTCTGACATCGCGCCCTCCACCCCCACCCCCGTCTGGCCTCTGGGGAACAGCAGTCGGGCTGCCCCGCCCCGGGGTGAGGGAGGCAGAACCTGGGGGGCAGCCTTGGCTGAGCGCACGAGAAGCTGCTCCCTGCCCTGGCGTGCCTGTGTCACTGTTCCCGCGCACACAGGGTGTTGGCCCGGAGGCTTCCTTTTGGGCCCCAGGCACCCGGGAAGGTGAAGGTGGGACAGGTGCCCTCTCCAGCCAGGGCCAGGCCTGCTCTGCAGGTGGCCACGCCGGGGCACTTAGCACCAGCCGGCAGCAGAGAGCAGGCCCCCCCCATCCCCGGCAAAGGGCCCCTGGCGCAAAAATGATGATGAAATTCAGGAGGGCAGAGCCTGCGGCTGCACAGGAGGTCACTCACCCCTGCCGTGGGGCCTGCCTGCCCGTGCTGACAATCTCCTGGGACAGGGGACGGGAGGCAGAGCTAGCTAGGCCAGCCCTGACCTCGGGGAGCCCAAAGGGCCCTGGGAGAGGGGGTGGGCAAGCTCAGCGGGTGCTCAGCGGGACCCCAGTTCTGCAGCGCCAGCCCCAGTCTCCCTATGTCCCAGCTCTGCCACTGAGCCCAGCTCTGCCTGGGCCTTGGCCCTGGTCTGGAGCGAAGACACCGCCCGCCGTGCGGGTGGGAGCTTGAAGGACAACTGCCGCACAGAGAAGCCAGAGAGCCAGGTGGGTTGGGCCGACAGGAGCCGGGTCGCTGCCAGCATACCGTCCGGGGCCGCAGCAGCTTCTCATCTTGAAAACGAGGATGATGACGGCGGGAGTCCGCGTGTAAGTGCTTGGAACAGTGGCCAACGTGGGCGGAAAGAAGGTCCCTTGGATGCCAGCCGCTGGCGGGGCTGGCGCCTAGAAAGACTTAGGAGGCCCAAGTTAATCCCCTGTGGCGGGAGGGAGATGGGGAACTAGTTGTTGGAAGGGAGGACAGACCCTCAGAGAGGGAGCGTGAGTGCCCACAGGCCTGCGGCCAGCGGCGTTGGGTTCCGGCCTCAGACCCACCGGCGCGTGCCAACCGCGTGCTCCCCAGGTGCCAGTGGCGGGGTGAGTTTAGACGCCACCCCAGAGGGTTACTGAGGGTGTTTGTGCCACACGAACTCATGTCTGGATGCAGCTTACGTTGGCAGAAGGAAAAAGGCTGGTAGCATTGGCATAGGAAGGGGGGAGATCTAGGAGGTAGCGGAATTCAGAGAATGCGGCAACAGATTCACTGCATGGGGCGGACGGGCCTCGGGGCTCTGAGCCTCCGGAACATCCACGCCACTGTTTCTGGGACATCTACTCAGTGCCAGGGTCTGCACCAGCCGGTGGGCAGAAAGAGCCACTGTCCTCCTGGAGTTTCCGGGCCAGCGGGGAGACTGACTAAAGCAACCCCAAAAGCCAGCCTGGTCCCGTGGGAGCGAGGGACCCAGCCTGGAGCCCAGCCTGGAGGAGGTGGCCGATGGCTCCCCCGAGGAAATGGGTGTAAGCTGAGGAGGGCGGAGCGGCCGAGGAGCGCGGCTAGCTGCGGGTAAGGGGCAGGTGGGTGACGGGCGAGGGGAAAGCCCAAGGACCTGGTGGGCTCCAGCCTCCTGAGGGGCGCACACTGGTGGGTGTCAAGGGGGGCAGTCAAGTCTGCCTTCTAAATGTTCTGGCTGCAGGTGTGAGGGACTGGGGTTGACTGGAGGCCAGAGAGGTCACTTGGGGCTCCCAAGGTCAAGGCTCAGGACCATGGTGACTTGAGCCAGGGTGGCGGGAACGAGGGTACTGAGGCCGGTGGGTTTCTGTGATGTTTAGGAGGCAACATCGACACCCTTTTTTGGCAACATGCAAACATGGCCACAACTGTATCCATCTTTGGGAAACCAACATGGAGTCAGCCCATTGGCCAAGACCTGGCCTTTTTCTAGAACTTGCAGAACTGAAGATGGTACTTTTCGGGCCGCTAGTTGAGTGGGCCGTGCAGGCATCCCCCGGCTCTCCTGAAGGTAGCAGTGAAAGCAGGCTCGGTGTCCTGGGGCGGACTTGAGCTCTCCAGAGCTGCTGCCCCAGGGCGAGGAGGCAAAGGGAAGCAACAGCGCTGGCTGGGAGGCTGGAGGCGCAAACCCCCGCACCCCCAGCTAAGCATCCGCAGCAGCAGGCAAACTGCCCGGGGCCCTGGCGCAGGCGTGGCCTTTGATAGTGGAGTCCCGCTTTGGTGATGAAGTGTCCGGGCCCAGTAGTGGACCAGCAGCACCCTCCCTGGCTCCCCCCAATGACTGCAGGGCTGCTCTGATCCCCCTCCGGGGGTGGGGGAGCAGAATCAGGTAATCCACATTGAAAATCTTCACACCCAGTAAGAAGCCATTTGGTGAAATGGCGTTTCCGGAAATGTTTTTAGGTGTATTTTTATTTATTTTCAAAAATATTGATTTATACAAGCCCTGGGGTACAGGGCAGGGGCACGGGAGGGTGAGAGGACCCACCGGAACAGAACAGGCAGACGGATGAAACACACTGCTGAGGGGAGCAGCGGGCGAGACAGTCTGAGAGGTCTGCCGCGCCACGTGGGTATCTCGCCGGCCGGGAATCGAACCAGCGCAGCGCTCAACCCGCTGCGCCACCAGGGGAGGCCCGTTAGGTGTATTTCTACAAGGAAAGACAAGCACAGAGTTCTGCGGCCCTGCCCAGCGGGAGGTGCGAGCCCTGGCTGACCTTGGGGACCCCCCACCTGCCCTCCCCGCGCGCACACATACCGAGGCAGAAGAGGTTTTGTTTTTACTTTTGTTTTTAAAGTCTTTTTATTAAAAAAAAAAAAAAAAACCCAAATCAAAATAGTTCCCATTGGAGGCTATTTCTTTTTTTGTCTTTTTAAAATTTTATTACACAAATATCTCCATTCCCACGTGTCAGAGGAAAGGTTTCCTTGCGCGCCTAAAACCAATAGTGGAGAACGTTTAGAAAACAGAAGTCCAACTAGCTCCCTCTTTCCCTGGCCCAAAGTAACCCCAACGCGTCCACTGAGACCGCATGACTCGTCCCCTTAATGCTTACATTTAATTTAAAATTTCTTAGCACAACATTGGAGATTGACTCTAAATCGGCAACAAAAAATATATATTTACAATATTTCTCCGAAAAAACAAAAAACACAACCAAACCCTTTAAACATAGTGACTTTAGGAGTTTTATTTATGGAGCAGTTATTTTTTTTAATCACCAAGTGATTTTATATTATATATATATAAATTTTCTTCCTTTCCTTTGTGGTTTTTTGCCCCGGTGCTCGGAAAGATGGAGGCAGGGTGTCTGGTCCTGCGGTCTGAGGCGGGCGGGCTCTCCCGGCGAGGCCGGCGCGAAGAGCAGGTCGCGGGGAATGCAGCGCGACTCCGGGTCCCTCTGTCCCCAGACGGAGACGTTTCTCTCCTCCGCACAGACCAACCCTCACCCCTGAGGCCAGCTCCCCCTCAGAGTCCCAGGGAAAAGGAAAACCCAGCAAGGGCAGCGGGTCCGTCTGCCGCCGCGCCAGGGCTGCCCTTCCTGCTGACCGGTGGACGTGCGTGGTGAAAATGCTGGTTTTTCCAAACCCCAACTAACCAAAATAAAACCCAAAACAAACCACCAGCTTGGAAAATCCTGTGGATGAAATGTCCCAAAGTCAGAGGCACTCTCCCGGCACAATCCCTGCTCTGAAGGGGTCTCTCCACCTCCCCTTTTATAAAAAGTCAACAAAACAAAACAATCTTCAGTATTTTTCCACAGGAGCAACCAAGACAAGGCAGGAAGCTTCCAATTATAGATCATTAACAATAATATTAATAAGGTTTTTGCTCGATACCCAGGGTTCTTTGCAGAGAAGTCCCCTAACTGAGGCACTCTGGAGTAAGTCACTGGCATTTCCTCCAAGTCTCAGCCCCAGGTCGCTGGGGCCTGGAGCCCAGTGGGCGGGGTGGAGGGTGGGGAGCAGACTGCTGCTTTTAAGGTGCAGCCAAGAGAATCAGCAGATTGGAAGAAACAGACACAACGCCACCCCCTGCGGGACCCAGTTCTCTCTCAGGCGGCCAGCCGGTGCCAGGGTCAAAGCGGTGCTAGGTGGCAGAGGGGCCCCGTGGCCTCTATTGCTTTGGAAGTGGCAAGGGCAGAGCTGGGGCCTCTCCTCGGGGTGGCTCACTTCAGAGCCCTGGTGCCTGGCTCCTTCCCCTCCCCCGAGGGGCTTCCGGAGGAGAGCCTGGGACTGGGCAGCAGGAAAGGGGCCAGCGAGGGGTGGGGCGGGAGGGCGAGGAGGGGCAAGGTTGTGCTATCACTATCCTTACAGATGGGGAGCAGAGTGCAAATCCGCGTCGATCACTTCTCAGCTCTTGCCGCAGGCCGCTGCTACGAGCATCTCCTCACACGCTTAAATATTGACCCAAAAGAAATTCCGACCTTTCTTTTTTTTTTTTTTTAAAGTGCAAAAAGCTCTCTGCTGCCCTAGAGAGAGGATCTTTGGACAGGCCGTTCAATGCAAAGTGAAAGGGGGCAGCTGCTGGGGCTTGACACAGGGCGGTGGAGCAGAAGACGGACGCCCCCCACGCCTAACACACTCGGCCACACACACGAGGCACATGCACACCCCCTTCCATGGCTGCAGGCAGAGGGCAGGAGGCTGGCTCCTGAGCAGGACCTCCCTCCCCGAGCCTGTCGAAGGTGCCAGATCAGTGGGCCACTGGAGCTAGACATAGCCCCGGGCTGGGGGGGTGCCGCACCAGAGCAAAGCCGGGAGCCCGCTGGGAGGCAGGTGGAGCATGTGGCCCAGTTCTCTGCTCTCCCCCCACCACCCCCACACTGGGGGAGACAGGCTGCTCCCTGTGAGGACACACATCCGGGGCAAGCCCTACTCGGGCAGGAGGAAGGGCTTGTGGGAGGCGAGAGGGGGAAATGAGATGGTGCCTCAGAATCTGACTAGGATGCAAATACAGGGGGTGTCCCTGGGCCCGACAGTTCCAGCTCCTCTGCAGAGCCTCAACCCCATTAAGTGCAACAAGGACCTCACAGAGACTAGCCGGCATCCGGGGGTGGGGCCTCATCATGGGAACCATCACAAGCACGGACAGGATCAAGTACAGGGCGAGGAGAGGGAGCGCAGACGTGGACGAGGTCTGAGACACCTCAACAGCACCGTGTATTCTGGATGGGTCTGGCGTTTCTGGGGCTGCTGGCCCCTCCTGCATAAGCCGGGAGAGTGTGACGGAGGAGAGACACGCACTGGACACAAGGAGAAGCTGGCCACAGAGACAGGGCCACTTTCTTCCCTGGGAGTTTGCTCAGAACCAGGCACTGCTGGGGCCCTTGGGCAGGGAGGAGGGCCCCAGGGCCCAGCACAGATGACAGCTGCAGACACCCCCAACCTAGAGCCTGGCCTCCTGGCGGGCGGCGGGACTCGCGAGCAGGCACCTTGACAGCACACGCCTGTGCTTCCCCTCGGAACAATTTGCTGCTCCCTTCTCCTCAGGAGGGAGAGGAGTGGGCGAGCCTGGTGTCCACCGCCCTCTCTGCCCCGTCTGCAGGGGAAGGGCTCGGGGGCAGGAGAGCAGAGAGGGAGTGTGACGCTGGCCTCAGCCCGTGCAGGGTCGGGAGAGAAGCTCTCCTGGCTGGGGAGTCGGGGAAGATCGCTCTCCTGGTCAGCCTCGGCGTGTCTTAGCTGATCTTCTGTATCAGCTTCTCATCAGACAGGCAGTAGAGGCTGCTGATGGACAAGTCTGAGATGAAGTGCTCGCAGGCTTTTCGAGTGATCTGCTTGCATCCTCGAAGGTCGATCAAGGTGACATTGGCGATGCGTCGTAGGTAGATCAGGGTCTGGTCTGTCAATTTATTGCAACCTGTGGGGAAAGTGGCCGTGAGGACAATGCTGTGGACACAGCCAGGGGCCCTGGCCCTGCTGCTACCGCTTGCCCTGGAAAAAGCTACCCCAAAAGCCCACTCTGCCCCGCAACTCTCTGGCCCTGAGACCAGAAGTGCCACCAGCACGTGCCGTCAGAGGCCCCGCCTGCAGCCTTGCACCCTGGCCCGCCGCAAGGGCCAAACTGCAGCTGGGCGGGCCAGCTCAGGCACTGCACACCGACTCGAGCTCCTGGACTCTCAGCACGTAAAAAAGGACGCATGTCCAGGTGTGGAGACCAGCTGACACGATTCTTTCTGATCACCTGGGGAAGCTCTGGAGAGGGCTGGGGTCTTGGGGAGGAGCACGGCTCACCGGCAGAAGTCGCAGCGGCCTACCTGCCATGTTGAGTTCGGTGAGGGAGTAGCGAGTGGAAGACCCGACGGCGGTGAGGAGGTTGGAGGACTGGTCTGTAAGGTGGCTGCAGTGACTGAGGTCGAGTCGAGACAGGAGGGGCATGTGGCGAATGATGAGGCGAAGTGTGGCATCCGTGATGTCGAGGCCGGCCAGCCGGAAGTCAGTCATGTTCCGGAGCTTGCTGCGATTGTCCTGACCTGCCGGGAAGAAAAGAGCCCAGACCGATACTCTGCATCCACTCAGGCCGCAGGCAGCTCCAGCTACTTACTGGCCAGGGCCCCTCGCAAGGGTTAAGCGGAACTGCCCACACCCAGCCCTGCTTCAGGGAGTGAGCAGCGTGTGGGGGCAGTTTCTAGGAAACCAGACACGATTTTTCTTCCCAGATGCTAGCTTGTGCCTCACGTACACAGCAAAAGGGTATGCGTGGAATGCTCTCCCTGCCACACTCCCACACTTGCCTACACCACACGTGAACAGTTCTTAGCATTCTACCTCGACCGTGAAGTCTTCCCAGACTTCCACGAGCTACGCCTCTCGGGCCCCAAACGTGGCTCTATCCTGTTTACTGGTGGGTGGCGGGCTGTGAACAAGGAACCTATATCTACTGTGTGCACAGGGCATCGCTGTTTTCTGTTCTTCCACAGTGCCACTGCTGTGGCTCCCTCAGCTTCTCCCTGACGAGTACAGAGACGCCAGAGCGTACCTGGTTTATCAGCCGGTGGAGTCAGCAAGTCCCGAATTTGAGGGTCCTTGATTCCGACCGCCCACCGAAGATCAAGGGTCCTGAGAAGGGGGCAGCTGGAGGTGCTGAGGGCAGAGACTGCAGACCAGGAGCAGCCCGCGAGGAGGAGGTCCTTCAGTCCTGCAACGAGAGACGTGAAGTAACCTCCGTCAGCCAGTGCGCCGAAGGCCTCCACGACCTGCGGGTCTGACCAAGATAAACAGACCCCAGCCTGACAGGGGAGAGGGACCGTGTCCTACTCTGCTAGTCATCGGTCCAAAGACACCAGGGGTCCCCCATGACCTCTACTTTGGCAGCAACAAGACCGACTGCATAATTCCTACCAGAACAATGTTAAGTGTGAGCGAATTCCTGTCTTCCTGACACCTCGAAGGGCTAAAGGGAAGCAGGGCTTACAAAGGGCTGATTAAGGCCGCATCTGACTCAAATGTCCTCTTGGTGGCTCTGCTGAGAGCACCTGCAGGGCTGGCAGCGCTGGCTGTGCAATGATTGGCCTGCCAGTCCAGGGGTGCCCTGGGGACTGCAGTTACGGTGGCCCAGGGTAAATCTGTCACCAAGCAGGAAGGCAACAAAGGCATGGGAGCGCTGCCATGAGCAGTCCTGAGAAGCGATGCTCCTGGGCCATGAGGACTGTGGTAGGACGCTCACCTGGCAGCCTGTTGACCAGCCACGTCAGTTGTTTTTTGGAGATATTGGTCCAACTGAGGTCGAGGCTGACTGGCTGCCTCTTGATGATGCCGCTGAGAGCCTGAGGGACAATAGCCTTACACCTACTTAAGTCAATTTTTGTCCAAAGTCTCTTGTCGCAGCACCTGTGACAGAGGAGAGAGATCTGTCAGTAACCCGATACCTCTTGTCACAGGAACTCCCCTTACAGGCGGCCGGAGGCTTCTGGGAAATGCTAGCAGGGCATCCGGAGGGTCACCTTCCCTGGGTGCCTCTACAAGCTAACAGGGGTCAAAACCCGTTGTCGCCTTTCTTGCCCTCTATGGCAAACCCAGGAGAAGCCAGGGAAAACTCAGCCAGTTTGCCATGATTTACTTGGGACGGCTGGTGCCCAACTGCGCAGGACACACAGCAGACAGTGTAAGCCCTCACTTGCATTAAAATGGCTCCTACCAAGGCACATGGAAGGGAGCATTCACACATCTCCCGACTTCTTCTTGCAGGAGGTTGAAGGCTGCCCTCACGCTCGCCCTGGTCGGTCATTCCTGGCGCCGGGGCCGTAGGGCGCTCCCTGGCACACCTGTAGCTTGTCCTGCTTTCAGCTTTAGAACGCGCCTGGTACAGTATCAGGCCGAAAGAGGCTCTTTTATCAGGCCTGGGAGGCCTGTTCTACCTCGGCTTTCTCTCGGTGCTATCTTTACATTTCCCAGCCAGGCCAGACCAGAGCCCAAAGGAAGAGGCCTGCGTTTCCACCGTAGTCTACGTGTTCATAGGCCACAAATAGCACTGCAACATGCAGGCTTCTGTTTAATCTTTTACAGCCCCCGCCCCCAGCCAGGCTCCGAGTCTGGCTGGCAGGGGAAGGTGGAGGCGGCACATAATGGGAGTCTTATGCGGCTCGGCCTGGAAACCAAGGGGCAGCACCAGGCGGCCCACTAGTCCCACAAAGAGAAATATTAGGAGAATTTAGGTAGGTCATGTATTAATTCAGATTTGGGAAATAAACTTGTGTTCGCAAAGAATGGGTTCCTTATTCAAAGACTGAAAACATTTCACGGTGGCACATGGAATTTCTATGGCAAAGACAAGCAGCTTACGATAGAGCAGTGGACTTCAAGGTAGACTGGGGTCTCCTGGAGAACAGCTGCGGGGCCCCCCCCGGCCGAGGTTCTAACACAGGAGGTCTGACAGGTCCTGAGAACCTGCACTTCTGACAAGGTCCTGGTAAAGCCACTGGCCCAGGAGTCTGACTCTGAGAGCTACTCTGACAGGCCAGACTCGGATCTGAAGGACTCAAGAGAGGACCCAGGAGTTTAAGGAAAAACCCACAATGCTCTCCGGGAATCTCTGTTCATCACCTCCAGGGTTTTGCCCCAAGCGTCTTAATGTCTAACTTGGGAAGAAACGGTATAGGTCTGGTTAAAAAGGATGACTAACTCTCAGGAAGTTTCAAAGTACGATCTTGCTTGCTGGACAAAGGAATTCCAGTCCAGGTTTGGGGAATGAGGAATTAAAACTATGAAAACTTGTGAGCACCTTCAATTCTTTGGAAAAGCCACGTGTGCTTCTCTTGTTCACTAGAGGCAGCTGAGGCAGGGGCTTAGCGGTGTGACCAGCACCAGGCGAGTGACTGGCACCTCATGGACTCTCAGGAAAATGGGACGAATTCTGCTGACTTGGGGGAACAATCTTCGGCTCTCAGGGTACTGAGCACCAAGTGTACAAACCCACCTCCCAGAACCACTCCCCATGCCCAGCTGAGAGTGGGGCAGCACAGAGCAGGGAGGAGGCAGAGGGCCCAGGCTCCCTGAGGACAGCGGCAGGCTCGCCTGCCCACGCCTCTACCAGACCCTCCACAGCCCAGGCGGCTGCCCCCTGAGGAGCGGGCAGGCCTCCAGAGGCCAGGACACATGCTGTTCTCACACCGACAACCTGCCGCCTGTCCCATCCCCCTAACTCTTGATCCCTGTATCCCTGCTCACCATTTATACCACGTCTTGCACACTCGCATACATTCACAAAGTTCTCTGCGGCTGAGGTAGCGGAAGACAGACATCCAGACCTCCCGCTGCATCCAGCTTTCGTCTCCATCCTGAGCCCAACTGCCCCGGCCATTCAGCCTGGCTGCACCCCCCTCCTCTGCACTGTCATCTTCCTCCTCCTCCTCCTCGTCCTCCTCATCTCCCCCCAGCCCCTCCTCATCCCCACGCTGTGGGGTTCGGGCTGGGCAGTGCTGCACTAGCACACGGGGGGAATGGCGAAGGTTGGCAGAGGAGGCCGTGATGGCCTGCAGCTTGGGCACAATGGATGTCCCGTGGAGCTCTTTGGTGGGCCTCTGCAGCGTGACCGTGAGGTACGATCCCCGGATCTTGGCTTTCTCAACTTCAGACAGCTCCTTTTTGCCGCTGGGGTTGTTCTCCTTTTCCCGTACCATGGTGCGCTCTGTGGCCTGCAGCCGCAGCAACTGCCGCCGTTTGAAGCGCTCATCGCGGCTGGCACTGTGGTGGTCGCTGGGGCCAGCCCCAGGGGAGGACCGAGTCACCATACCCCGAGGGGAAACCGGGTCGTGGATGAGCTGCAGCATGGAGGTGGGTGAATGGGGCGGGGGCGTGAGGGGCTCGTCACAGCTCCGCAGGGGCCGCAGGACTTTGGCTTGCACAGCTTCTTCATCGCTTTCTTCCATTTTCCGCTTCTGCAAAACAGGCCCCCAAAGCAACGTCAGTGCTGCCTTTCTTCAAAATCCTCTAAATGTACAGAGAGAGCCTCACAGTGGCTCTTCGGGGACTAGAGAAAAGCTCCTTTGTTGTGGGGTAGGAACACTGCCTGCTGATGGGCGGCGTCTCCTCAGAGTCTGCCGCAGGCCAGACTCAACTCTGCAGGAGTCAGCACACCTGAGCTCCCACCCGTGCAGAGAAAGCTGATCACAGAACAAAATCCTCAAAATAGGTCATTTGGGAAATCTACCTGTGACAGAGAGGCTGGCGCCAGAGTACAGAGTGGGCTCCAAACCGGGCTGCATGTTCCAAAACCCACCTTATTACTCTTGTCCCAATTTTGCGATTATAATTCTCTGGGTAAAAACATCCTTTAAAGAGGTCACAACTCCACCCCTATGTAATCTGACCATTTTTAATCCTGTCTCTAAATTAGCTTTCACCCAAGAGACAGTTCTCATTTTAGCGGCAGAAGCAAAGTGGCCTGCACAGGCCCTCGGCACTAGGACGCGGGGTCTGAGGCGTCAATGGCACGACTGAGCTCTCCCAGCGTCTGGGCTTGACTCTACCAGGCTGCTGCTTCCACTCAGCACCCCACCCTCTCCCTTGAGATCAACCATGTGGGAGAGATCGAGCAGAGAATGAGAAGCTCTGTGAGAAACGGCAGGGCTTCCCAAGGCCTACTCAGGAGAAAATGAGGAATTCAGGTCTGGTGAAGCCAACATTCTATAAAGAACCATAACCATCCCCCTGCGACTTGTGCTCTGCAGCCCCTGGCCTCTCCCGCTGCCCCTGTCTGTGCGGTCACCACAGCCACATCAGTGTGTTCCGCTGGGCGGCACAGCAGTTCCGACTTTCCTTAAGGAGACATTTTATGTCCCTAAGCAACCATCCTGTTTCCCTTCCTTCTTACGTTCTTAGATCACCATGATCACTACGGTTGCAAGAGAACAACCACCTTCTGCGTGCTGATTTTTACAACGTGTCAGAGGGCAATCTAAACTACAGCATCCCCCAGCCTCCCTGCTCCAGCAGGGAGCATCATCACCGCCGCAGCCGCCACCACCGAAGACGAATGGAATCGGGAAGAGGACAAGGAACTATGTCCTGCCCCTGTGGTATGCCCGAACGAGGCCTGATGACTGATACTAGGCCTGCTGCCTCCTCAGTGTGTGTCCCGACCAGGCTGTGTCATGCCCATCTGAGTAACCGGAGTCCTGCTGGCCCTTTGACATGACTGGTGACCACTGGGCCAGCAACCACAGCTGCTCTGGGCCAAGGTCATGGCACTGGTCCCCTCTGGGGGAGTGCCTGCCTCTGGAGGACATAGTTGGGCATGAGGGCAGGTGCTTTCTGGGAGGCCATAAAGGTGAAATGACAAAAAATGTGAACCTGCTTGACTGGAAATGCTAGCACACCATTGTGCGTCCCCTCAGGTTTCATTCCTCAGGACCAACCCTGCTCACCCAATGTCCCTCCTCAAGCAGCCCAGCTCCGGTTCCTCTTTCTAGGGCCCCAGATGGTAAAAAGGACTTCAGGAAATTGCAGATCCCAAGTGAAGTAATATTTAATACAAAACAAAAACCAAAAAAACATTAAAAAACTCAAACAAAGGAAAACATCATTAACCAAGGTGAGGCGGGAAATGTAACATAAAGGGAAAAAAAAAAATTTCCTGGGCCTCCCTGGTGGCGCAAGGGGTTAGGTCTCAGCACTATGAAGCTATTGGCAGCCACTGCAGCACAAGTTCCATCCCTGGCCAGGGAGCTACCCACCTAACACTTCTGTCTCCCCGCTGCTCCCCTTAGTGGTGTATTTCAGTAGCTCTGCCTGTTCTGCTCCCCACTCTGTCTCTGGTGAACCCTCTTATCCCCCGGACCCTCTGGCCTACACCCCAGCTCTTACATGCATAAATAAATAAAATAACTCTTAAAAAAAAAAAAGGAAGAAAAATCATCTCCCTGGTTCAGAAAAACTGTGCGTGAAACAAGTTGCAAAGGCAAATGCCCCTGAATGTAGTCTCTTAATGTGGGTCTCAGTCAAGTTCGCCTTACCTGGGCTTTCTCTGAGCTGTCCTCCTGGTAGCACTTTGGACACTCCCAGCAATTTGGCAATTCCTCGTTAAGCAGCCCCTCTCCATCCATCTGTCGGCAGACAGGGATGTTAGAAATGTCTCATTTAAAAGAAGAAAGTCACATGGTAGGAAGAACCTGGAGGAATTACCCATTTCTGTGGATGGTGGTCCACAGGGAAGAGAAACTGGGAGCCGGTCACCCTCACTTAAATGCTCACTCCATCAAAGTGAAGCTCCACAAGGAAACCCCAGGCGTCTGGGTTAATCTGGGGTCTCTCCTCCTGACAAGTATATTCTTCTCAGGGCACCATCCCCCTCTGCAGAAGGAACTGAACACCCAGGAATGACGCCAGACATGACCCTCACAGTGGAGCACGCTAGTTATGGCAGCTTGTGTTCAGACTAGTGACCTAGTCTCAGTGACTCAGGGTCTCAACTGAGGTCACCTTTGTGGCCTCAGAAAGCATCCTGAGGGGCCTCCCTGGTGGTGCAAGGGGTTAGGCACCGTACTCTGAAGCAATCCGCGGACTCTGCAGCACGAGTTCAATCCCCGGCCAGAGAGAAACCTACATGGCGCAGCAGACCTCTCCTGTCTCGCCCGCTGCCCGCCTCAACAGTGTATTTCGGTCAGTCTTCCTGTTCTGTTCCCCACTCTGTCTATGGTGAAATCTCTCACCCCCCGCATCTCTGGCCTGTACCCCAGCTCTTGCATGCCTAAAATGTTAAAAAAAAAAAAAAAAAAAAAAAAAAGCACCCTGAGGCTAGATAACAATACCCACCTTACAGGGTTGGTGAGGTTTAGGTTTAAATGAGTTACATATAAAGGAAAGTGTTCATAGAAGTGCCTGGCAGATATTAAAATCTCTCTATTAACCACTATCATCATCATGGAGATAATACCCTATTTTATCAATTCTAAGATGCATATTTTTCACTTTCTAAAACTGGGCTGCTTCTTATAATTGATGATGTCTTATAACCATTGGCAGTCACGATAAAGCTGATACCTCTGGGAAGATCAATAAAGTACCAGCACCAGTGTCCTTTAGAGTTACAGAAATATGAAAAAAGCAGGCGCTCCCAACTTCTTAGGGTGTCCTAAAGATTAACTGAGAGAAGGCACATGAACACTGGCTCTTCACCCTGGCTACACAGTGGAATCACTAGGGAACGTCTGAACCCACGGAGGCCCAGGCCCATGCCAGAGGGGATGATGCAGCCTCTGAGGCTGAGACCTGAACTTCTGACTACTGTTCAGATGTGCCCTGAGCCTGACCTTGACCAGGTACTCATTAAATGTCAGCTCACATTACAACCTGCCTTTAGCAGGTAGCAGAGATGCCTAAAGGTGCGAAGCACTCCAGAACAGACAGGATGGCGTGGGGACCCCAAACACACCCTCCAGAGGTCAGACCTTCAGGGTGGGGGCCAGGGCTATTTTGTGGTCAATTCTTACTTAGCATCTATCACGGATGTCGGAATCAAGGGTTGAGGGCACAAGCAGATGGCCCCCGCAGTTGGGATGTAGGAGCCTCAGGGACAGACACCCCACTCTCCTTTTGTCGCCTCTGTCACTTAGACACACTCTTGTTGACATGTGAGGGTCCCTTAGGCCTCTCCTCACCTGGAGGCAGCCAGGATGAACAATCTCATTACAGATACAGCATTCCATAAGTTTCTTCTCAAAGTCTTGTGTCTCCTCATTTTGATCCACCTCTCCACAGAGGGAACATGTTACGGAGTGGGGCAGCCTGGGCTAAAGGGACAAAAAAAAAGAAACCAAGAAGACAGCAGACTTAGATCCTGATCATTTCAGCGTCCCTTTAGCTGAAGATGAGCAGTCTGGTTCCTGCGGTTCTCCCGTCCTCATGGAGGGAGCATGGAGACCGTGTGGGGAAGAGGTTTTCGGTGAGAAAATGGCTGAGGAAAAGAAGATGGGGGAGAAACCACTAGCTGGGCTCTAGAGACCAACAGAGAGACCAGTTCATTTTCAGTTGGCCAGTCCTTGGCCTCTCAAGGCCTTCTCCGCTAATCCATTTAAAGAGGGGACAGGCAGCAGTGATTTGCCCTTCGCATGCTGGTCTCTCATTTGAAAATTAGGCGAGGCCAAACGACTGAGTCAGAGTGTTCTGAATCTGGGGGGAAGGGACAGATGAAGAAAGCTACAAAGAGCACACAGCTCCTCCCCCTCCCCCCACCCAGTTCTGGCGTCTCCCTGGCTGTTCCCTTGTGTGGGTGAGCCCTTCGGGCACTACTACCCCTCCCCAAATCTTTACCCAGCAGACCACTCACTGCTAAGCACTGCCGGAGGACACAGGACTGCTTCATGCGGCCAGGGCCCCCAAACTTCTTCATGTCCCTGCAGTAGTGGCACACACCGCACTCCCCCTGCACACAGGCCTTGCACTTCCGACACCGCACGCGTCTCCGCCGGGCCCCCGACACTATGGGGGAGGCTGCCGCAGGCCGCACAGGTGTTAGCCGTGGAGCTGGCTTCATAGTGTGAGGCTTGGTGATGGGGATGGTAGGAACCCGCACCTTTGGCCTGGTGGGGAATTTAAGCTGGAAAGAGAAAGTAGTGAGGTCAAATAGATCAGGTGGCTTTAAAGGCTGCAAAGGGTGGAAGATTACACGACTTGGCAAACTGCGAACGCGGGGCAAATCTGCCTGCTGCCTGCTCTTGTAAATAAAACTGTGCTGGAACAAAGACGCTCATTTGTTTACATGTCACTTATGGCTGCTTTCATGTTACAAGATCAAGGACCACGTTTTCTACTTATTTCCCAATGTGGCCTGAATGCCTTTCTGACACAAAACACTCAATAGCCAGATAGGACTAAATTATCTTGAGGTGGTCTCTGTGGCCGAGGAGAGGCCAAGTGGGACTCCGACACCTTTGGAGGAGGTGGTTCTCTCAAGACCTCTTTCACCACACACCTTCACATTCTTCCTAAACACCCTGCAATGTGTGATGGCTTTGCCAGTTTCAGCTGGGAACATCAAAGAAGGACCGAATATATTTGCCAAAATCAGAAAGCTAATCACTTATTTAATAAATAACCTTGACAAGGACAATATGGGAAAAAGTTATACAAGAGCTAACTTGAAGTGGCAGGAAAATTCACAGCTGATGATTTAATAGCTGATGCAAGGTTCCTTCCTTCTCTTCTCATTTCAGTTCACTACTAAAAAGTCCACACGAAGGGGAACCCTGAGAATGTGGTCCAACTCCAACACACCAGCACTGGCCTTTTAAACGTGTGTATGTATTTCACGTAGTTTTAAATCCTAGATGTGCAAATGACTGCTCCTCTGGGGCAGAAGGATGAGAAGTGATCCCCTCTGTGATCGGTTTACTTGTTTAAGTCAAGAGAGTCTATTGAGGGAGTCACCTCCAAAGATGTGATGGCCAATTATCCTGACCTAAGAGTCAGAGCAGAACTGAGGAATGACACTCTGTCAGTTTATATTCATGCACTAACAGCTGTCTGCTTCTAGTTCTTTTTCTTCCCAGAATGGTAATGGTTGACCAGCAATGCTTCAGCAGCCTGAAGTTCAAGAACAGTTTCTTACCTTATCCCTTTTTGGCCACTGTACTATAGGAACTCCAGTGAGGGCTAACTTGGGGTCGCTGTTGGCAAGCTCCTCCAGCAAAATCTACGAGTAGGGCAGGAGAGAAAAGGGAACAGGAGAGCACAGTGAACCAAGAGCCAGGCACTCCCAGTGGCATCTAGATTTAGGCAGAGTCCCCACAAGCACCGTGGGAGGGCAGGTGGGAGGGGCAGGACGGTGTCTGTGTTTCCCTTCATACACTGACTGACTGTGAAACAAGTAAAATGAAGATGAAAGAGAAAACTCAAACTAGAGCAGTACTATCAAGACGGTGAGGGGCCTCCCCGGTGGCGCAGTGGTTGAGCGCTGGGTTGCGAAGCTGCCTGCAGCCTCTGCAGCGCCGGTTCGATCCCCGGCTGCTCCCCAGCCACTGGAGGAGGGTCCCACATGGCGCACAGACCTCTCCTGCCGCCCGCCCGCTGCTCCCCTCAGCAGTGTACTTCGTTCCTTCTGCCTGCTCTGCTCCCCGCTCTGGCTCTGGTGAATTCTCTCACCCTCCCGCTTCTGATTGTACCCAGTGCTTGTATAAATAAATAAATAAAAAAAAAAAAAAAAAAAAAAAGACGGTGAGTTTACCTTTGCTCCCAACCCCCCACCCATGTAGCCACCTCAAGAAACACAACTTTTAGACACAATTCTATATAGGACAGTAAACTTTGTATCACCCCTTCACTTTTCTGTATCAGTTAACAGATATGATGAGGTAGTAAGGATTGGCTTCATTGTGCAGACGTCAGCAAAGTGGCCAGAAAAAGAGAGTGGCTAATACTGAATTAGTAAGACGAACAGCAGAGTCTTAATATGTTGATTCAGTTGACGGATCTGTTCTTCCAATGCTGATTACAGACATCTCAATATCAAATCTCTCTCTCTCTACACACACACACACACACACACACACGCAGTTATTTGCCTTTATTCTTATAACTGGGGCAGGAACTATCTTAGGGGCTGTAGCTCTGCCTTTAATCAATCTAGTGTGAATGGCTTGAGAAACAATGTTACAGTAAGAAACTTCCACTTAAGTGATTCAAGCTGGTTGAGTGTTAATTTGAAACAAATCATTTATGTTTCAGACAAGAAATTTCTGAAGCCCAAACCCTCTACTAGAATGAAATCTGACTCTGACCTCATAATCTCTAAAGCAACAGCAATAAATAGCAAAAGAACACAAATCCAGAAGACAAGACAAGCTTCCTCTCTGCTTGCCTGAGGAGCACACAGGATATTAACTGTTCCAGTGGAAACAAAACTTTGATCCTGGACAGGCTGGCACACCTGGGTCATCACTAACACTCATCAATTTTGGGGCCTCAGCCTGGGACTTTTTTGGGAAGCATGAGGCAGTTCTTTATCAAGTGTTGTCATCTCTTCAACCTAAGGATCCTGCTCCATATCCCAGAGTTGGGTCACAGAAAAACTCTTTAATTTGCACCCCAAAGCTCCTCCATGAAGATCCCCTCTGCCAAGTCTCCAGATGCTTCTCACCCTCCCCCAAACTGATTTCATTTGCAGCCGGTTTATTTACTTCGAGTTGCTATGGCATCCTATTCTGGAGCCTCCTGGTAGCACCGCACTGCGTGGGGGTGAAGAGGCGGGGTGCGGTGCCACGTGGGACAAGGCTCTAGGACGGGCTCCTAACCTCCCTAGGGTGAAAAATCCAGGTCCATTCAAAATGTGTGCTAGGGAGCGCGGCGCTCCCTTCCCCCACCTCCACCGCCGACCAGCAGGACTCTGCCCATTTCCTCCGCCTGAGAGAAACGGGCTGTCCACAAACAGGGACTTTCCACTTTCAGCAAAACAGACCGCACAGAAAGATCCACGATCGTTTAAGAGAGTAGAAAAGGAAGGTAACAGTCGCCCAAAAGCCGTCTCATTCGACCTAGCAGATCTTTGCAGGGGGCCTCGGAAGGGTAGGTGGAGAAACTGTCTGCATGGGGGTGGGGGGCAGCTGTTCACACGCACACGCCTCGGTTGCTGGGGTCTGTGTGGGTGTGGAGGGAAATGCAGATTTCCTTCCAAGCCTTATTTCGCTGGGGCCCTACAACCAAGCCCGCCCTGCCTTCATCAAAAAAGGCAGACTCCAGCTGGGGCCCTTCAAGAAACCATATAAAGCAGCCACCACCCTTCACCAGAGGGGGTTTGGGACAGGAGCGGGGGTGGAGTGCGGAAAGGCTGACGCCTATCTAGGCTCCCGGCAATCGGGGAGAACATTCAAACACAAGCCCACACCCCACACATCACAGGAAGGGGAAGAGAAACGCGGGGCTGGGCAGAGAAGGGGGAAGAATTCCCCAAAGCCAAGCGACCCAATTCGAAAGCACATCGCACCGGGCGAGGGAGTAAGTGCAGGACGCCAGGGAGCCGGTGACCCAAGCATTGTCCTGGGCTGGCCCCGCAGGCAGTTCCGCCGCCTCTCCGGGAGGCAGCGTCCCTCCAGGCACACAGACCCCGGCAGAACGCGCTCTCCGCCCGCCTGCCCGCCTGACCTTGTGCTGCTCGTCGCCCTGGCGCTGCCGAGGCTCTTGGTTGAAGTTTCCCCGGCGTCTTTGTTATGTTTTCTGTATTGGAAGTTGTACGGAAGGAGTTGGGTTTTCTGCTCTAGGAAAATCCCGATGTACTTAAAAATCCTGGAATCCCCCCAGTACTCGAGGCAGGGCCGTCCGGCCAGAACCCTTCCGGCTGCCCGGAGGGAGCAGCGTGCAGTGCGCTGAGCTCCTCCTCGAGCCTTCAGCTCAGCCGCGGCTTCCTGTGCCTGCGAACAATGCTGCTGCGTCACCCACATGCAGCTCCCAGAAATGCTTTGCAACGGAAGATGGCAGGAGGGGGAGCAGAGCTCGAGTGAGCGAGCCAGGCAGAGGGCCCAGCCGTCCTGCTGCAGAGTCGGAGGGAGGAGGCGGCGCGCCGCGGGCGCCCGGGCGCCGCGATTGGAGGAGCGGCCGCCGGCCCAGCCCGCGCCGCCCCCGCCCTCCCACCACTGCAACCGGAGAACCCTGGGCCGGCCCCGAGGCTCCCGCTGGCCGCCTCCGAAGGCGCCAGGCTGAGGGCGAGCTTTAACCCGTTCCGCCTCTGGTTTGGCGTTTGTCCTTGTCTCAGTCCACACCCTTCCCCTCAGGGTCACCTCTCATTGTTACCGCCAGCGCTCTCCGGCTGACTGCGCCCCACTCTCCCAGCTCCCAGGCAGGCAGGGAGTTGCCCGAAGTTCGACCTCGGTGGGTGAGCCAGGCACCCCACCCCACCCCACCCCGCCGGAGTTACCTTCTCCCCAGTCCCGGCCGGCTTCACCTGCCCTCACTGCTGTTCTCCCACCAGGAATCCAGAACCAGAAAAACCAGGTTCCCAGAAAAACCCTCAGGAATGACACGTTTCAACCAATACTGAGCTCTTGGATACAAGATGTCTGTTTAATATCAACCACTGCTACAACAGACGCCTGCCTCTGGTTATGACCGGCGCTCCACGCCAAGGAAGCTCTTGCGGCAGATCCACCGAACCCTGGCCACTCTCAGTCAAACAAGCAGAGGCCCAGTTCGGGCCTGGGAAGCAGGTGCAGGCGGCATGCACTCCACCTGCCAGCTCCACACCTGCTGTCTGGAACCCCCACAAAGGCGCGGCCTCTGCCCCTAAGGTTACCCCACCTCCAGGACAGCACTCCTGCTCTTCCTCCTTCCCCTCCGTGTTTTGCCTGCCTCCTTCTTGACATTCCCCAGAGTAAGCTGCCAGCCCTGCCTCCCGTCAGACACACCTCCTTGCCACTCAGATGCCACTTAGAGACGTGTCACCCACTCTTTGTGCACTGACCCAAGGCCAAGGTGAAGCTCAGAATGAACCACCACACTCTTGGGCCACAGTGTGCTGTATTTTGTGTTTGAATTTATGTAATTTTTTGACTCACACAAATGTAACTTGGCTACTTGGGAAATTTCAGATGCTGCTTTGACATAAAGATCACAGGCCACTGAGATGCCAGCTCTTACCCCTGGAGATGGCATTCTTCTTTGCTTCCAGCACAAAGCTCCATTAGTTTATGTGTACAGTCAAAAGCCTAAGGTAAGAGGCCTTCTGGGGCCCGGGCTTTGCTACCAGGGGTTGTATGTCTAAATTTTTACAGTAGTTTACCAAGGAAAAGAGACTTCCTTGCTCTTTGGTGGAGCTCTTCCTGGAAATGTTTGTATGGTCATCCTCCTGCGCGCACTTTTATCAGAGACTCAAAGACCCAGCACAACTACCTCATTGTGTTTGGAACCCCCCCCCCCCTAGCAGTATGAGAGGTCTTGGAAAATACTTATTTTGGTCTTAATGCTATCTAATCTTCAGAGAGGGTAAAGTACAAATACTTAAGAGAAACATGTTATCCCTAATAAAAATACAAGTTCAAGTTGCAGCAAGTGTAAATCCTAGAGGTCACTAGGAAAGGCTAAAAACCAGGTAGGTCATTAGGGAATTCATTCCAAATGAGTTTCCAAATCATAAATCAAACAAGGCATAATGTTTTCTCTATATATTTATCTATATAGTTGTTGCCAATCTTGATAGGCAACAAAGATTAGAATTATTAAGAACATGACATTAAGGATAAAAACTTTTTAAAAGAATTATGTCTACTTTAACCTAAACACATATGCCTTGTAGCTGAGTTAAATTATTATTTCAAACTTTTTACTGGGTGAGATGTGTGAATGATTACAAATATCCTGTTAGTAAAAATCACAAGTGAGGTCTTATTTTTACAGTTTGCCCCCATCTGTTTTAAAGGATTAAGTTCTAATGACACTGGGTCCTCTATTGCTTTATCAGTATCAGATGAAGAAAATTTCTGGTTAGTGTTTCTGTATGTATTTGCAACATAACTCTCTGCTTCAGTTCCATCAGACTCCTGGGATGGAGCCTAGTGTAAGTTTTGAGCTCACAGCTAGAAAATAAAATGTTAGCACCTTAAGATCACAGCAGCAGTATCCACTGCATCACAAAGAACAATGTTCAAATTTATAACGTTTATGTAACAGTTCGGCAATCAATTTGCACCATCCAACAGCACAGTTGATAAACCGGTGAGATAGGGAGACTGGCACCAATTTCCCTTAGGCAGAATTTCGTGCTTGCTGGGTGCTCACTCAGGCCCACCCTGCACAGCACTGCCCACCTAGAGCTTGGTTCGCCTCTCAGGCCCCAGAACTGCTGGCTCCCTACTGCTGGGCAGTAAGCCCCTTGAGGGCTTGCTAGACAGCATGTTTGCATTTTTACCCAACACTCAGCCTGGTTCTGGGCACAGAGCCCGACAGGGATTATTCACAGTAGTGGAATAAATGAAATTCACAGAATTGTGACATCTGCTTTTTTTTTTCTGTAATAATGATATTGATTCTTAGTATCATTAATTTTCACCACAACCCCACTTATTTTATGTAAGAGAAAACCGACTAGTTTCCTAAGTATGTTTGCCAAGCTTATCAAAATCTTTTAGAGAAAAAGGGAAAGCAGAAAATACTCAACACTGAATTTGGTTCATTAAGAGAGCTGGGCAGCCAAATTTATCAATATAGTAAAAGTGCCTTTTAATATATGTGTACATACATTACAAGTTCCTTTATTACCAAAACAGACACAAACAAAACTGTAAGCCTGGCCTAGCTGGACCAGCTGTCAGCAGCTGGGCACCCCCCGGCCCCTCTGCACACACACACTCTTCTCACATGACTGTCCTGCCGCTTTACTGGACATCTATCAAGGACGTGACTTGTCAAGTTTAGAAATGGAGAAAAAACCTCACATAGGAGAAAACTCCATTTTATTTACCTTTAGCTCATTTTCAGGAGTCAAGGTCACCCACACATGCCCTTTATACACACTGATTACTACCTCAAACTCTCCCAGAGCTTTTTAATGCTCCGTCTTTCATCAAATCATCTTCTAACTCTATAGTCTATGATTCTTTCTTCAACATTTCAGAACTTAACAGCAGAACCTTCAAAGCCCATTTACCTTATCACCAAAACTGACTGTTCTTCCAGGGAATATGTAATGATGGTCTATCTCATCTCACCACTTCTCCTCTGAGCTCTTCCTGTGAGCTGTCTGTGACAGCCATGCAGGTTACGACAAGAAACAACTCCTCTCTCTGCAGGAAGGGTAAGTGCTGGGCTTGCTCGTGTCCTCCACTGCAGTGTTGCCTTCTATGCTACCAGCACCAAGTTCTCTAGCACTGCAGTCTCCAGCTGTGCAGTGATTCGGCACCTACCCAAGTTAATGCTTTCTCTCTTTGGGTGATGCTCAGATTTTTATCAGATGCAAGCTCTAAACTCACTACTTTGTGACTCTCAGATTAAACAAATGGTCAAATGTAGGAATAATTAACCCATTTGATCTTAAGTGAACCTACCTGCAGAGTGGGGATTTCTATCTGCTGTCTTTTCCTAGCAGTTGCATTTTGACTATGGAACCGGGTAAAAAGAGGTGGTGTGAACACGCCTCTGCAGGGAGAATTCACACACTGTCGGCCCAGGCAGTCATTCCACTGGCCGCTCAGTCCTAAGGTTCTGGCCACTTTCTCTAAACTGGATGGCAGTCATGTCTTTTTATGATGCCTGAGAAACAAAAGGAAGCTTCTCTCTAGACACTTCTCATAATACTAAGAATTCTCTTTAGATGTCTCTTTTTAGTTCATTCCCCTTCTTGTCGTCTCCTTTTATTCTGCTCAATATTTGACCCATATCTTTCTACATTTCTCCCCAGGATGCTGCTTTACCAACTGTGTCTTCTCAAATATGATTATTTAGATACTTTACTTAAGGGAGTCTGTATATTTTTATCATGAAACTTGACTTCATACAACCGATCAGTGGATTATAATATGGCTTCCTACACCTGGATTAAGTTGGATCTATAGACATAGAAGACTGAAAAGGTATTTTTCTCTTTCATGAATTAGGAATACAGATACCCAGGACAACAAAATGTCAGTGACATATGAACTCAGAAACCTTTCTTTTTAAGGTTCACAAAGGCAATTAAGCAAGTTAACAAGTCTCAAAAGTCACAATTTAATGTTTCCCACCTGTATTCATGATGGAATAGCTACAGAAAAAAGAAACTTCTATAGAAAAAAAGATGTTTTACTCAACTCTCAGGATCACACAATTACATATGCCTCTTCAGAATGGAAAAGGAAAAATGTTTAATGTCATTTGCTTACTCAAGGGCAGGAAGTGAATCTGGGATATGGTCTGTGAGTATAGAAAGGTATGGCTAAGTTTGTTTGCTGCACATTAATCATTATAGAAATAGAGCCACACCTACCTGGGACTTTGTCATTTCCTTTCCTAAACATAAGCTGCATGCATACCACCTGCCTCTTTTAGAGCAAACCTTATAAAACCAAACTGTAAAACTCACCATCCTGCTTCTGTTATTGGCCCTCTCCTTTCAACCTCACCAGGTTACCACCCCTTTTTATTCTCTTTACCTTTTTCACCTTTTCAGTGATGCATAAACAGTAAGATACAATTTTACATGTCAACCTTAAAAAGAGAGCCACAAAGTTGAGATCCTACCCCAGTTTTTGGAATTCTTTCCTGAGAGGGCTTGTAGAAGGTAGGGAACACCTCAGTTGATTATATGGTAACCAAGGAAAAACATGAATCAGAAATCAGGGATAGAAAAGACTACTACTATGAAGCATTTAGCCCACCTTCCTTAAGTGCACATATAATTATTTCCTGTAAATTCTATGATGTGAAGTAATCTGATAGATTTTTAAAATAACATGTATTACAATTGTGTGCTAGCTCTCTAATACACAGCTTAATTCCTGCACCCAAGCCAGTGTTCTAACACTGATATTAAAAAAAATCATTATTCCATAATTTATATTTTTTGGTGTTCATGTTAATGGTTTACTTTTGAGGAAAGACTCATAATTAACTCTCTCCAATTTAAACCACTCAAACCTGGATTCCTAAAAACAAACAAACAAACAAACAGCTTTTTTCTTTGAGATCAATACATGAGGGTTGGCTAGGCCTTGAAGATTACTAAAGCCAGGAGACTCTTCGAAGAAAAGAAAAATATACAGTTAGAAAAAACTTGACACTTTTCTCAGAAGTTGCCCTGGATGTCTTCATACTAGATAAATTTGAAACATGGTAAAACCCTACTCAACATAACCCCACATAGAACCATTTCTTTCATGTCAATCTGGTTGGGATGAGACAGCTATAGACTTGTTATCAAGCTACTTTTGTTCTGAAATAGGCCTCTTTATCTGAGGGTAAAACTTAAGTTTAAAATAGTATTTCTTAATTACAAACACCTTTTCAGGTTCTCCTTTATTTTTAGGGTCAGCCAGAAGCCTGTGTTTTTAGAACTAAATTTAAGTCCTAACTGAACATACAATGTTAGTATTTTCATAATAGGGACCTAACCTCACTCCATTTGAAATACCGCAGCCCCAAAACACACCTGCACACATTAACTTCTCTCTGACAGAACCAGAGTACATCCCAAATCGCTCTACTTTCTCTCCTGGAATCCAAAATCTGACCGGCCTGGCCAGATGAGCAGGTGTCACGCAGCATAACCCAACCTTACCTTTACATCAGCAATGAGGGCGTCTTCATCTTCTATTCCCGTGGGGACACATTTCTTGTGCAGTGGCAGAGACTCCAACTTATCTACAAGGCAGCGAAGGCCTTCAAGCTCAAAATGGGTCAGATGCACCTGCCTGTCCTTTCGGGGGCTACACTGTGGATCCCACACCTGGCCATTGTGGGAGCCCCGGCTAGAGTCAGAGGATGAGTCCCCAGACAAGGTTTTCTTCAGGCTTGGGAGACTTCGGCAAGTTTTGCCCAGTCCGTCATAATCCAGGTTGACGCCATTGGCTACAGGGCTAGTGAGGATGGAACGCCTACTGCTCAAGCGTCGGGGTTCTCGATCCACGGCTTCCTCATCCCCGTTTCCAGACTCCAACCCATTTAATTCCAAATCTGCCAGTATGAAGAAAAGATGCAATGAGAACATGTACTTTGGTCACAAGGAGAGAAACTGGAGTCATGGGCGGGGGCCTGGAAAGTCATAAATGATGAAGCTGTCTCGTTTTAGAAATGGCCTCTCCTTATTCCAACCCATTTGCCTGTTGTTGAAAATCTTATCTACAGGCAAAAACATGATCCTGACCCAAGACAACTGGGGTAATTGTCATTTGGGTTTTCAAGAAAACTGGGAAAGGCCTAGTCTTTGAACCGTGTGCTAGAAATAAATTACCTATGAAAATGGCTGTAAATTAGTTTCAAGTAAAGCTTAAATTTGAGATTGTTTCATTATGTTTTAAGAGAACAGACTGTATAAAATGCATATATTTAAAAAGTAGCTTTGCTCATAAATTAAGCTTTGGGGTTGATGCTGCACATGCAACTCTGCATCCTGCTTCCACATACTGGATGAGTTATTTTATTTTCAAATGAAAATATAAACTATTCTCTGTGGAAAATGCTAAAGTAAAAAACATCCACCTTTTGCACTGCAGTTACCATGAAATATGTGTCTGTAGGATATTATAATGTTGGCTCCCCTCCATTTCAGGACAAGGAACACCCTAAAAATGTATAAATGAAACTGTCCTGCCAGTCAATAAAAATATTTCTTTTAATAGAAGTTAGGGATATATAAAAGTGTAGAGGTTAAGGATATATATTAAGGACATTGAAATCTTACCAACCTAAGTTGAGCTGTGCTTTCTCATTTATTAATTGTAAGATCATAAGACAAGTTTTTACATCTCCTTAAACCTTAATATATTTCCATTTGTAAAATGAGGATTATAATACCTGAACCTCACAGGTAATACATAAACTGCTTAGTATACTGCCTGGAATATAGTAAGAGTTGTTATGATGATGATACATTTCTAGTTTTTATTGAGCACAAGATCATTCTTTGTACAATTAATACATATTTGACAATAATCTCTTCTGAGGAGCTAAGTACTAACAATTCAGACAAAGATTAGACCCCAAGTATAGGTTTCTCCGCTCTCTAAAAGTAGAAAGTTCTACTTTCAGGTAGTGGGGGAAACCTGTACTTCATTTAGTCTACTAATTCACATATGAGTAGGAGATCAGCTTTGACTAGTGTTTTATTCCAGTGAATGAATTTGGTATTTCCAGGTAGATAAATAAAAAGCCAAAAAAATAAAAACAGAGCTACTGAGCAACAGCCTGCTACGTATTCCTGCTGTCCCCGTCAGGTTTGCAGAGAGTCTTGAAAGTTCATGCAGACAGAATACTTACCCATGTTGAGGGACTCTTTCTGAAACTCCTTAGTCAGGTGAGAGCGGTTGGTTATACAGTACACATAGCGCTCCAAAACGTACCAACACATCTCATAATAAAATGGATAGCGAAACTTATTTGGAACCTACATAGGAAGAGAAGGAGAAAGGCAAGCTAGTAATTTTCAAGGGAAAGAAAGTAAGACAAACTGAATCAATGCAATAATTAACCCTGGGCGAATTCTAAGTCAACCTGCAAACCCAGGTTGGCATTTGGGGCAAGATTTTAAGAGGATCTGTCAACCTAGGAAATGTTGTTCTTAGAAAACAATCACTAAAGATAAAAGGTACTTGGAAAAATTGTTCAGAACCACCAAGAAGCTGTCTTGGTTAAGTGGGAAAGCATCAAAGAGGTTTTGGGAGAGAGAGTAAGATGTTGAGAGTAAAACACATTATACTTCAGTGAAAAAAATTGTTTCAGAGGTCTTAGGACACAAAAGCATGTGTGCCATGCACTCCTGCCTTTACTGCAGTTTTATCCTGGGGTAGAAGGCCATGGAACAAAGACTCTAATGAAAAAAACAGGAAATGAGGTGAATGCATGTTTTATTATGTCCTTACATACATGAAATTACTGTGTACACATATGTAGAGACCCAATGAAATATATTTTTTAAAGATTTATTTTATTTATTTAGGTATACACGAATTGAGGTATAGGCCAGAGGTGAGGGGGGTGAGAGGATTCACCAGAGACAAAGTGGGGAGCAGAACAGGTGGATCTACTGAAATCCACTGCTGAGGGGAGCCGCGGGGAGACAGGAGAGGTCTGCTGTGCCAGGTGGGTCAGTTCTCTGGCCAGGGATGGAACTCGTGCTGCAGTGGCTACAGATAGCTTCATAATGCTGAGACTTAACCCTTTGTACCACCAGGGAGGCCTACCCTAATAAAATCTTTTTTTAAAATATATTTTACATCGTTCTTTTTTTTTTTTTTTTTAAGATTTATTTATTTATGCGTACAAGAGCTGGGGTACAGGCCAGAGGTGCAGGGAGGTGAGAGGATTCACCAGAGACAATGGGGGAACAGAACAGGCAGATAGACTGAAATTCGATGCTAAGGGGAGTAGCAGGTGAGTCAGGAGAGGTCTGCCGCGCCATGTGGGTATTTCCCTGGCCGGGGATTGAACTCATGCTGCAGTGGCTGCAGACAGCTTCATAGGTTGCATCTTAACCCCTTGCGTCACCAGGGAGGCCCCACTGTTCATTTTTTTAAACAATGTTTGCTTTTTCTCAGGTGTAGTTTGCATAGAATTTCCACTACCAATTCACCCATGCACCATCACCACAGTCACCTGTGCTCCACCCTCCCCAAAAGAAAATTTATAGAAACACAGAAGGGTTCCTAATCTGGAATAAAAGAATTAAGCTGCACTTAGGAAAGCTGTACTAATACAGTGGTTAGACACTGAAAGTTTGAGTTTTCAATAAACAAAGTCTAGAAAAATTATATTGGTGAGTCAAGACCCTTTTCACACAGACCTAAGGCATTCATTTCATCTATGCTTTTCTCTCTTTCCTCAAAATAAGCAACAAATAAAGTCACGTTTCTAATAGCATAGCAGCAATCTTTAGCCAAAAAAAGGGAATGCTCTCTAAAAACTAATTTGCAGATTGAATCTTATAACAATGAGATGGTAGTAATCTCTTCGAATGAATTTGGTTACATCAAAGCATTTTACTATGAAATTATGTAATTTTTCCTCTTCTGAACCACTGGAATTATATTATTACAATTTCAAACTTACTAAGTTATTCTTTTGTAGTTGTATTTTGTAGCACAGAAACTCACTTTTATAAAATTTATTTTATTTTTTTAAAAAGATGTATTTATTTATGCATACAAGAACTGGGGTGTAGTCCAGAGGTGGGCGGGGCTGAGAGGATTCACCAGAGTCAGAGAGCAGGTGAGGTGGGGAGACAGGTGAGGTCTGCTGCACCATGTGGGTCAGCTCCCTGGTCAGAGTTCGAACTTGTGCTGCAGCAGTGGCTGCTTATAGATTCATAGTGCCAAGACTTAACCCTTTGCACCACCAGGGAGGTCCTGTTTCCTCCCTTAATGTGACCAACAGAACAAGTCCTTATAACTCCAATAATACAACCTTGTGTTTGAGATAACAGGTAGCTCTTAAACCAAAATGTTTCCAAATAGGCACCATAATGGACAACTGACCATGTGCAGAGTAAACAGCTCAATGATCATTCCTTACACTTTGTAAATTCTATCTGCTATTTTCTTTCTTTTTTCTTTTTTTGCTATTTTCTAATTTTGAAAACAAAATTCACATCGAAAACTTCTATATTCTCCGATATTCACCTAACAGTAACATTTCCTCATGTTTACTAATATTTAGTCATATACACGCTATTATTTTGCTGAACTACCTGAAAGTTGTGAGCATAAGGACCAGTAAATACTCTATACACACTAACACTTTAATTGCTCTTTTAATGCCAATACAATTTAAATTTTAATCATATATAATTCAGCCCTTACCAACTAGGGTTCTGGTAAAGAAGTAAGTCCTATTTCCCTAGGGCACAGGTACGTCAGCAAACAGCAGTTAGTGGGCTTGATTTGCTGCCTGTTTTTGTAAGGCCTTTGAGCTGCGTGTTTTTTACATATTTTTAAATGGCGGGAAAGGAACGTAAGAGAGCACCTTATAACACAAGAAAATTATGTGACATTCAAACTTCTGTGTCCATAAAGGAAAAGTTTATTTTATTGGAGCCATACTGGTATAAGTATTTCAAACTACAAGGCATAACTAAGTATGCATGTGGTCCACAAAGTTCAAGTATTTACTCTCTGATCCTTTATAGAAAAAGTTCGTCAACTCTTGCCTTAAGATAGCAACAGCAGGCTAGGACTGGGGGAGTCGAGGCGGGGGAAGATGACAACAGCAAATAATGAGCTAACATTTTCCCTATACATCCAGAATGGTATCAGCTTTGTACATCCTAGGGAAAACTAAGAAAATAAGATACACAGGCCTCCCCGATGGCGCTGCGGTTGAGCGCTGGGTTGCAAGGCTGCCCGCAGCCTCTGCAGCGCCGGTTCAAGCCTCTGCAGCACTGGTTCGATCCCCGGCCACTGGGCGAGGGTCCCACATGGCACACAGACCTCTCCTGCCGCCTGCTGCTCCCCTCAGCAGTATATTTCGTCGGTCTGCCTGCTCTGTTCCCCTCTGGATCTGGTGAATTCTCTCACCCTCCCAAGCTTCTGGCTGTACACAGTGCTTGTATAAATAAATAAATTAATTAAAAAATAAGATGCACGAATCATTGTCTAAAGGACTTAACTGTCTCACCGGAACCCCTATTGAGAAAGACTGTATACATACTAAGTATGATAGCTGGAGTGTTAAACTGTAATCAAAGTAAAGAAATATATGTGAATTTAAAGTTGTGAATCTTGAACTGATAAATTGCATTATGCCAAATTATTCTAGGACATAAAACTGAAAAACAAGGGTCAACAGATTAGCAGACATCTATCCCATGCCCTATAAAAGTCCTAGGAGACACCAAAAACCTCAAAGAATTGGGAGTCCCCAAAACCAAGCATATAGATTTTGTTAAAACATTTTTCTCAGTGTTACTGAAATGTGAATTTTAACCCAAAGAAAAACTGAAGTTTTGAGACAAAATCTCTTGTAATATCGGTCTTAAATGGAGTAAAACTCTTCATATACTCCTGTTACATACGATTACTTACCCGTGTCCGATCTTCAATGTTGTATATTCTTAACTGCATAGGAATATTGAAACTATGCAGGAAATTGCCTCCAAACACTAATGTGTCTGTAGGAGTGTACACAGCATGGATCCAGCCTAGAAGAAAGGCAATGGAGGGCAGAGGCTGTAAATGCACATGATAACACCGCTCTCTCAGAGAACTTAGTGGTCTCTCAAGATCACATTTTTACCCTGATTCTGCCTCTAAGTGATTGATCAAGATACTTAATCTCCTGAAGCTTCAATATCCTTTTTAAAACCAGGATAAATTATATGGGTGTTGGGTAAGTTTTCAATGGTGAGAAAATGCAGGTGAAATGCTTAGCATGTAATTAACTTTTAATAAATGCTACTTCCATTTATTGGAGCAACAACTAGAATCCAGGTATAGCACAAGCATTTACATGTATTCTCATTTACTCCTCACAACAAAATGAAACTCAACGAAATTTACATTTGACTAATGTGGTATCACTAGATAAATAAAAACTCAGAGTTCTAACACAGGTCTGTGATTGCAAAGTCTATGTTCTTTCTAAGCACTATTGTTGGAGCCAGTGACTTGATCAAAAATATTACTGATTTAGCACTCTGGTCTTCAGAGCCATCTCTTAGAAGAGCAGGTAGTTCTTAATTATGGGATATGTATCAGTGGTTAAGCAGCCCTTGTACCTAGAGTCTGCATATCTGAGGTTAATGTGGAACCCAAACATGCAGGTCTGAAAAGTCTCCACTGGCAATTCTGATACACACTTTAGTGGAAAAACTACCTTTATTATTTATTATTTTTATTTATTTATTTATAATTTATTTATACAAGAACTGGGGTACAGACCAGAGGTGCGGGAGGGTGAGGGAATTCACCAGTGACAGAGTGGGGAGCAGAACGGGCAGACGGACTGAAATACACTGCTGAGGGGAGCAGCGGGCGAGGCAGGAGAGGTCTGCCATGCCATGTGGGAATCTCCCTTGCTGGCCAGAATTGAACCCGCTCTGCAGAGGCTGCAGACAGCTTCACAGCGCTGTGCTCAACCGGCTGCACCACTGGGGAGGCCCATCCTTTATTATTTTCTAAAATAAATTCTCATCATCTATTCCACAATGAAAGGAGAGGAAAGTAATGTATTCTGCCTACCCTTGCACCATGGCCAATCTTGGTGGAAAGAAGGAAAAAAAAAAAGGCCAGACAGCCCACTTTTCCCCATCTTGCTTACCTGAGGGAATGACGAAGGTATAGCCCTGCTTGAGCTCAATGCGTTGACAATCTGACACCCGGTCACCCAGAAAGATGTCTCCCTGTTTCCCTGACAGCAGCCAATTCTCGTACAGCTCCAGGTTGTGGGCTGTAGGGGGGATGAGCCAGAAGACCTGTGAGTTAAAAAACTTCAGTCTGTTAACAGCCATTGACATGACCCAGTCATCTCCCTCAACTGATAAACTTGCACAAAGTTAAAACCAACAGGCAGAATGTGACACACAATTCTCCCAGCCTACAGAACTTGACCAGCAGGGAATTGTAAGGAAGCAGATTTTTTTTGGTCTTCTACTTGATCAAAGAGCAGTTGGGCTTCCCTGTGGTTTGACTGTAGAACCCAGAATTCAGTAAGACTAAAAGGGGGAATGTGGCTTGTTACAGAGCCCTTATTCACCCCTGGCTGTTGGGCTCTATAGTTCTAAGAAGCACAGTTAGGGATAATGTCTGCAAGATTCAGGCCTGGGTTGCTTTGTTACAAGTAGTAATAAAGGCCAAAAGGACAAAACTTAAGACACCACTTTTAAATGGATCCAAAGTAAACAAAATGATTTAGATTTGGAGGTAGAGCTGTTCTGGATTAGGACCTCAGATTTTAAAAGCATGTTTTCATTCTAGTTCTATACTTTTCTCTCACAAATACATTTACTTTTAGTATGGGGAAAAAAGCAATGATAAGAGTATTATAAACCTCTGATAGTAATTCTAGATTTCTCTTCTCACATAGCATAACATTCTGGTGAGCTATAATACAATTTATCAGCAATCTTCCACATTTATATCCTCAGAGAGCATGTAAAGTCTTCCTGTGGCCGCATTTCAGACCAATGCCTCCACATAGGGAAAGGTGTGGGTTTGGAACCAAATTTACTGATTTAATTGTGAATCTATCAAAAATTTGTGTTTCCTTCTATTTTATTATACCATCCATGTAAAGAAATTACTTGGTTCTCTTAAAACCATTTTCCTGTTTTCATTTGGAAAATTTTGCTTCGGAATCTAGAAACAGTATTGAGGTTTACTAAGTACAGTGCAAATACTGATGTAATGACAGTGGACTAGATATATACGAACTCCTACTAATTCTAGCCAAGAAGGGAACTGAATCTATGGTCTCTCCAAATATAAGTAGGGACAATCTCCTAATAGATTCATTTTTAGGGTCTTTTAAGCATGCATGAACTGAAGCAAACAGCTCCAGGTTCCAACCCCCATCATAACTATGACCATACCTTTCCCCCTTGATGGATATGATACCAAACAGAGGTACCACCAAAGTCCACATGGAAGTCAGTATAGCAGCCTCGGACACTCATTAGACAGTACCTGACCCAAAAAAAGCAGTATTGTTAGTGCACTGACAAGAAAAAGACATGTCTCACCCGATGCCACACTCTCCCCTTGTGTACGCCCCCTCCCCCTGCCCATCTTACCCCAGATCAATTCCCAGAGAAGAATGAAATCTGAAGACACTACATTACCATACACCCTCCACATCCCCCTTTAACAATGTGATCATGGGCTATTGAACGCTCATGTATCACTTCCTTTTTGGACCTACAAAGTCTACTCTTTAAATAATGCTTTCTTTTTTAAAACCATTTAGGAGGACCTCCCTGGTGGCACAAGGTATTGAGCACAGCACTGTGAAGCTGTCCCCGGCCTCTGCAGCATGAATTCGATCCCCAGCTGGCCAGGGAGCAACCCACATGGTGCAGCAGACCTCTCCTGCCTCGCCCACTGCTCCCCTCAGCAGCGTATTTCAGTCAGTCTGCCTGTTCTGCCTCCCACTCTGTCTCTGGTAAATCCTCTCACCCCCCACACCTCTAGCCTGTAGCCCAGTTCTTATATGCATAAATAAATAGATCTTAAAAAAAAAAAATTTAGGACATGGTCCAAGGCTCCTAAGGGAGGAGCTACTCATTGCTATCACTTTGGTCTCTGGCAGCAGGCTGAAGAAAACACAGGGTGAGCTGCTTACTTCTGCACTTTAGGGTACTGCATCTCCAAGATGGCATTGGTTGATTCAGTCTGACTTTCCTTTAAATGCCTTGGCCACATGTTGTCAACCCAGTCAATGAAATCCACCTTTAAAAAAGAGGAGGAAACATTTAGGCTTCAAAAGAAGGGCTGGCATTAAAGACAATTTTAAAGCCAAGAAAAACAGAGTATCTCAAAATACACATGGAAAGTCTACAACTTAACTAAAACAATCTGTTGGTGAATCTTGTGAAATGAGAATGAAGACTGGCTCCATCAACATGATTATGGACAGAACTAGTGCAGTCACTCAATGATAGAGTAGTATCCAAGCAAACCGGCTCTCGTCTGTCACTACTCATATATCGGCTCTAATAGAAAGCACTGTTGGGTAGGTACCTGTTAACCCACTGAAAGATACCATGCTGTTAGAAGACCTCAAATGCCGAAAGGGAGGAAGGCAAGGAGGAAGGAAGGAAAGAACTAAAGGCAGAAAGAGAGAGAGAAAGAAAGAAATCTAGTAGTATTTAAGACCTGTACGAGCAATGTGCTACTGGATCTAAGGCAGGAATCAGAAGGTCTAGGCCTGTCACATTTTCTCAAGATCACATGCAAGGCCCTGGGGCTCATTTGAGGGTAACTACCATTTCTTTTTAGGTTAAACTTCAGCCTCTAGGTGGGCCTTTTTTAAAGTGTCTTGATCCATAAGAAAGCAAGTCTCCACTGGGGATAATCACCAGTTTCTAATTGTTCTGTACCAGTAGCAGGTCCAAACTGGCAAAAAGTCCAATACCTAGGACCTCGTCTATTCACTCATTGTGCAAGCTCATGGCCTTCCATGAATTAATTTCCCCATCACCAAGCAAATATTCATATTGTACCCTTTGCTGTTTTTATCTACCTCTTAGTTACTGCTGGGATGACAACAATGAACTCTCTCTTCTCACCAGAGAACCTCACTTTATGCTAGCACCCACAGTGAGCACTGAAATGTTGCCTACTTTACAAATATACACTGGTCCAACCACAATAAAAAAGCGCTGTGGAGGTTCCTCAAAAAATTAAAAGTAGGGCCTCCCTGGTGGCGCAGCGGGTGAGCGCTGGGTTGCGAAGCTGCCCGCAGCCTCTGAGGCGCCGGTTCGATCCCCGGCTGCTCCCCGGCCATGGGAGGAGGGTCCCACATGGCGCGCAGACCTCTCCTGCTGCCCGCTGCTCCCCTCAGCAGTGTACTTCAGTCCTCTGCCTGCTCTACTCCCCGCTCTGGCTCTGGTGAATTCTCTCACCCTCCCGTGCTTCTGACTGTACCCAGTGCTTGTATAAATAAACAAAAAATAAATCTTTAAAAAAAAAAAAAATTAAAAGTAAATCTAGCACACAATCTAGTAATTCTGTGTCTGGCTACATACACGAAAGAAATGAAAACAGGATTTTGACAAGATACACATGCTCTAATGTTTATTGCAGCATTATTCAAAATAATTAAGATATGGAAACAACCAAACTGCCCAGAAATAAATGAGTGGATAAAAAGGATCTCTCTCTCACACACATGCGCGGGCATGCACACACATACACACACACACACAGAGGAATATTTTCAGCCACGAGAAAGGACAATAACCTGGCATTTTCAACAAGAACCTTGAACACACTGCTAAGGGAGATGAGTCACCAAAGCAAGACAAGTGCTATGTGCTATCAGTTACATGTGGACATGTAGAATCCGAGAAAAGTCAAACCTGGAAAAGACAGAATAAAACGGTGGTCTATCAGGGGATGGGGCGGGGGTTATGTGTGGGAAGATTAGATTGATGGTGTTTACAATGGATACAACTCAGCTATTAAAAAAGATGAACTTGAGCCTTCCTGCTGGCGCAGGCGGTTGAGTGCCGTGCTGTGGGGCTGTCTGCAGCCTCTGCAGCGTGGGTTCGATCCCAGCCAGCCCATCGGCGAGAATCCCACATGGTGGGGCAGACCTCTCCTGTCTCGCCCGCTGCTCCCTTCAGCAGTGTGTTTCGTCAGTCTGCCTGTTCTGTTCCCCGCTCTGTCTCTGGTGAACCTCTCACCCTCCCGCGCATCTGGCCTGTACCCCGGTTCTTGTATAAAAATGAATAAATCTTTAAAAAATAAAATAAATAAAATAAAAAAGATGAACTCTTGTCACCTGCAACAACATGGATGGAACTAGAGGGGATGCTAAGTGAAAGAAATCAGGAGGAAGACAAATGCCGAGTGGCATCACTTAGATGTGGAACAGAGAGAAACAAAACAGGTTAGATAAAGCCAAACCAGTAAGAAACCCGTGAAATCTGCATGTAGAACTAAGGCCACCACATGGAAAGGAAGAGGGCTGGCAGAGGGAAGGGAGCACAGTGGACTATGATGGTGGACCGTGGGTGCTTGGGTGGTGGGTGTGGTGTGGTAACAACACCTAAGGGAGGAAATCTTACCCTCTAAAACACAAGTATTGTAAACCAATGTTACCGCAATAATAATAAATAAGAAGACTGATGGTGTTTAAAGGTACAAACCTGTAATGAGTAAGTCACAAGAGATCTAATGCATGATATAATGAAAACAGACAATAGTGATGTACTATAAATATGTAATGTGATAAATGCTGCTACAAATATAATCACATTATAATTTATAACTGCATCAAAGTAACAAGCTTGTCTCCCTTAAATTCATACAATGTTACATGTCAAATTTATTCAAGTGACAGAAAAAAGTTACTCACCTTCCGCTCCCCCTGGCACTACTTTTATACATCCTATTCTTACACTTAGTATTCCTTCCGTCTGGAATTTTAGTTTTCCCTCTCTTTGCTTTATGATTTTCTCCACGACAAGTTTAAGTATTATTTCCTCCAAAGAACTTCCCCAAACTCTCTTCTAGTTAAGATTAGGTGAGTCCTTCCAAAACACATTTTTATTCACTGGTGAAGCATTTACCATATTGTAGTTTACATAAAGGCCCCTTACTGTCTTTCTTCCCTGTAGAACACTAAGCATTTTGAAGACAAGAATTATCTTATTTTTCATGGTACTTCTAGCACCTACCACAGAACTTACCATGTGGCAGGCTCTTGAATCAACGTGTTAACTTTAAAGGTGTGAAGATCATTGTGAACAAAAGATTACACAAATGAATACATTTCAAACTCATTGAAATGTATACTTTAAATGTATTCACTTTATTGCATATCAAAGGTGCCCAGTAAAGTTTTTTTTTTTTTTTTTTTTTTTTTTTTTACAGCGTTACTGGGATACATTAGAAAGGACCTAAATAAACCGAGGGACATGTAGTGGGAAGAAAAATAACCCAGTAAATAAATAATACTTCAGCAGAATAAGCATGCTTTGTTTACATAGTGACACCATAAAAACCTTGTCTGCTTTCAGTAGGTGACTTAATTTTCCCAGCTATGTTCTAGGGACCTAACATATACTGGTACACTGTGATCTCTGCCCTATAGAAAGTCCCTCATTTCTGAGACCTTCCATAGGTTCTATTCCATTTAACAGGGTGGTATTTTTCTGATTTTTATAAAATAATGTACTATTAAAAGTAGAAATAGAAAAATAAATTCAGAATGATACAAAGAAAATTTCATGTGTGAGTAACATATCTCCAAACTTTAAGATTGGAAAAGTATAATCCAGGTCAAATTTTACTTTTAGCTACAATCACAGTATTTTTAAATTAAAATTCTGAAAGTACTAAAGTGCACATTTATAACCAATGTTATTATGAGCCCTCTCTTACTAAGTAAACAGATTGTGTCTGAATAATAAGGCTAAATTCTAACTACCTGTCTTCCTGTAGTTCTACATGACAGAACAAATGATAATTAATGTAAAAAAGGATTTTTGTTGATATAGGTGGGGAAAGTTTTCTTAAGGAGGAATTCTGTATTTAGTTCTAGTATCTCCAAGATGAAATGACAAAAAGTTAAACTGTTTCTACAGATAACACTGAAATACTACAAACATTTTCCTTTTGGTTTGTACAGATTAATGTGCTAGTAATAACTATGCAACTTAAGATGAACTATGCAACTATGCAACACATACATACGCATACACACAATAACATTATAAGCAACTCTATATTCCAATTTTGAATTTAAACTGGTAATTTAAATAGAGATAGGGTAACACTGAGAATTGACTTTTAAAAAATGATCAGAACATTCCAAATTCTGCTCCTCCAGGTGGAATATTTGACTCGTGAGTACTGAGTCAGGAATTAAATAAATAAAAATGGTCCAAATGATTAGGTATAATCCAAAAGTGAAACCAGTTCCCCCCAGGGAAATAGTATTCTTTTTTTTTTTTTTTTTTTTTTATAGAGGCATGTTTTATTTATTTATTTGTTTGTTTTTTGTTTATACATGCACTGGGTACAGTCAGAAGCGCGGGAGGGTGAGAGAATTCACCAGAGCCAGAGCGGGGAGCAGAGCAGGCAGAAGGACCGAAGTACACTGCTGAGGGGAGCAGCGGGCCGCAGGAGAGGTCTGCGCGCCATGTGGGACCCTCCTCCTGTGGCCGGGGAGCAGCCGGGGATTGAACCGGCGTCGCAGAGGCTGCGGGCTTCGCAACCCAGCGCTCAACCGCTGCGCCACCAGGGAGGCCCGGAAATAGTATTCTTAATATCCTATAGTATTTTGTCAAGGGATGGGTTAAATCAGTACCGTCAGAAGAGCTAAGCATCAAAATCAAATTAATTTTCCCTTAAGATGGGTTGTCAAGGGCCTCCTTGGTGGTGCAAGGGGTTAAATCTCAGCACACAAAGCTATCCACAGCCATTGCAGCACAGAGTTCCATACCTGTCCAGGGAGCTGACTCACATGGCTGACTCACATGGCGCAACGGACCTCTCCTGTTTCGCCCACTGCTCCCCTCAGCCTGTTCTGCTCCCCACTCTCTCTGGTGAATCCTTTCACTACCACCCCCCACCTCTGTTCTACAAGGTTCGCCCAGCTCTTGTATACATAAATAAATAAAATAAATCTTAAAAAAAAAAAAAAAAGATGGGTTGTCAATTTATCACTACTAGTTATTCAGTAGAATCTACTCAAGAAATCATCTCAAAAAGTGATCACCTGGCTCTAAAATCAGTTTTTCCCCAAGCTTCTTAGCAAGTGCAAACCTATAGGATAGAAATTTATTATGCAAAGTTGCTACTTAAAGTTCTTATGAGAGTGATTTTTAAGATGCTCCTGTGTTACATCCAAAGGCCAATATTCCTAAATTAAGTTGCTGGTGATAAAAGCAGGATGACCCCTCTCTCTATCCTGATGAACCTTCTAAACATTCAAGTCATTCTTACGAAATTGTTTTGTTCATCTTCATCTTGGTATATCCAAAAAGTTATACATCCTCCCGGTAAATAACAATCCTCTCAGTGAAAACAACACATGGAGAAAGTGATCAGACTAACCGTAGAAGGCCTCTGCACCATGTTTTCCAGCCTGGTGTGGCTAAACTCCAGGCTGATAACATTATAGAGCTTTTCTCGTTCCTCCTCTGGGGTCTCATAGTAGCGAGTCCACTGAGCCATGGTCATTTCGATGCCTTTCTGGGTGTTCACATCCATGACATCCACCATGCGACGACTCCCTGCAACAAAGGATGCACCAATCATCTCAACTGAGCCACAAATATCCTTAAATATATTAAACATATAAAACATAAAAGGAAGGAAACAAACTATCCTTTCTATTGGGGGTATTCAGTAATGAAAGAGTTGTCATTTGAGACAGATACACAAGAGAAGAGAAAATCAAGTCAGAGGATGGGAAAGACAATGGGTAACATACTATCACTCCTAATGGCATATTTACTACATGATCAATTTACTACATTGTATTTCATATTCAGTATCTTGCTCAAGCCTAGCACTTATTTTTTTTTTAATATTTTATTTTATTATTTTTTTAAGATTTATTTATTTGTGTATACATACAAACACCGGGTACAGTCAGAAGCGCAGGAGGGTGAGAGAATTCACCAGAGCCAGAGCGGGGAGCAGAGCAGGCAGAAGGACCAAAGTACACTGCTGAGGGGAGCAGCGGGCGGCAGGAGAGGTCTGCGCGCCATGTGGGACCCTCCTCCTGTGGCCGGGGAGCAGCCGGGAATCGAACCAGAGTTGCAGAGGCTGCAGGCAGCTTCCCAACCCAGCGCTCAACCGCTGCGCCACCGGGGAGGCCCAAGCCTAGCACTTATAAACGCCAAGCACTGCTCTCCATGCCAGGATGAGACACAGGTCACCTGCGGGACAAGAGCCCTGGCAGTCCAACTCGGGCCACTGCTCTGGATCCACGGAGCTACACGGGTTTGATGCAGGTTTGAAGACTGACTTGATCTACTCCACAATTTGAATGAGAGACCCATTATTTTGTGACTATTAGATTAAATTTACACCCATTTATTCTTTTTTAAAAAAATTGTTTGTTTATTTATTTATACATACAAGCACTGGGTACAGTCAGAAGCGCGGGAGGGTGAGAGAATTCACCAGAGCCAGAGTGGGGAGCAGAGCAGGCAGAAGGACCGAAGTACACTGCTGAGGGGAGCAGCGGGCGGCAGGAGAGGTCTGCGCGCCATGTGGGACCCTCCTCCGGTGGCCGGGGAGCAGCCGGGGATTGAACCGGTGCTGCAGAGGCTGCGGGCAGCTTCGCAACCCAGCACTCAACCGCTGCGCCACCGGGGAGGCCCTACACCCATTTATTCTTTTGTTTAAAGGGTTATTTCCCAAACCTGTCAAGTATGTCTAATATAAACCTCCCTTTTTGTTCATACCACAAATATTTACTGAATGATAAACATACCACGAGGGACATAAAGATCTGTATCAGACTCTCAATGAACAATAACAACCACAACAGAGGGCAGAAGTGCCACAAGAAGCGGCATAAATCAGTAGGGGGGCGGGGAATAACAGCTCTGGATTCAAAGGAACCTAAGTTTATTATTATTTTTTTTAAAGGGACCTCAGTTTAAATCTCAGTTCTAATATTACTTGGGCAAGTTATTTACTTCTCTGAACTTTAATATCTTCCACAACTTGGGAACATCATCACCTTATGGGCCATCATGTTGATTTAGTCAATGAATTATACACTAAACAAAGTAGATGCTGAATCAAACAGTAAAAATGAAAGGGCAATATAATTTTTTAAACAGGCTGACCAGAGAAGGCTTTTAGGAAAAGAGGGGAAAGAAGAAACATTTGAATTGGGCCTTGAAGAATAAACAGAATTTCGGTCTCCCTGTTGGTGCAAGGGGTTAAGCACCGCAGCCTCTGCAGCATGAGTTTGATCCCCAGCCCGCCAGGGAGCAACCCACATGGCGAGGCAGACCTCTCCTGTCTCATCCGCTGCTCCCCTCAGCAGTGTATTTCAGTCAGTCTGCCTGTTTTGCTCCCTGCTCTGTCTCTGGTGAATCCTCTCACTCCCTGCATACCTGGCCTATGCCCCAGCTCTTGTATGCATAAATAAATATTAAAAAAAAGAATAAACAGAATTTCATTAAGAAAGATTCAACAGAGAGAATTTCAAGCAGCGGCAGATGCCTATGAGAAGATGTAGAGAGGCAGTAAAACTAAAATGTTTTAGAAATGGTGGTTAAGGTAAGAAGAAAAAGAGTATGAAGCTGACATTGGAATGTTAGGAATATTGTTCAACTTGTAAGAATCTAATAAACACCTACTATACATCTGGCCTTGCTGGATATACCGAGTTGTATTAGGATCTCTGATTTCAAGGAGTGTTGAAGTAGGTATGGACAAGGAAACATAAAAATACAAATGATAATGTAAGGCAATGTATTACACCTACCCTTCCTATCTGAAAGAAAAATCGGACACTCAATAAAACTGCCTTGAAATACCACTTCACACCCACTAGGATAGTGATAATGAAAAAAAAGTTTAACTAGGAAAAATAACAAGTGTTGGCACAGATGCAGACAAACTGGACTCTTCAGACTTTCCTGGCAGGAATGTAAAATGGCGCAGCCACCATGGAAAACAGTTCGGAGGTTCCTCAATAAATTAAACACAGAGTGACTACATGACCCAGCAGTTCTACTTCTAGGTATATATTCAAAAGGTTTGAAATCGGATTGCACATGAATGTTCACAGCAGCTCCAGGTGCAATAAAAGGGTGGAAATAACACAAATGCACGTCAAGAGATATGTGAATAAACAAAATATGGACTAACACCTGCACAGCAGGGAATGCATTAGCACTGTGAAAAAGGAATGAGATACTGTTACATGCTACAACACAGACGAACCTCAAAAACATCATGCTAAGGGGAAAAAAAAAAAAGCCAGACACAAAAAACTGTACATTTTATGATTCTATTTATGTGAAATATCCAGAAAGGGCAAATTCACAGAAAAAGAAAATACTAGTGGTAGCCAGGGCTGAAGGAAGGAAGGAATGGGGAATTACCACTTAATGGGCATGGAGTTTCTGTCTGAGGTAAAGAAGAAATTCTAGTATGTACTGGAGATGGTTGCACACTGTAAATATACTTGATGCCACTGAATTGTATACTTTGAAATTATTAAAAAGTGAATGTCTTCTTTCAAGAACATAGATCAAAGCAAAAGCAGTTCCATTCTGCCCATGCTGCCAGAGCACTCAGCACTCTGTGCGTGCACCAGGGCACTCAGGTAAGAGGACAGTCATAGTAATAACTAACATTCATTGAGCACTTTTTATGTGCCAGACAGTGCTCTAAGCACTTCACATGTAAGTGACCTGCCCAAGGTTGCAGAGCCGGTAATTAGTGAGATGGCATGTGAACCCAGACAGTTTTATTGAAGACCACTCTCAGCCAATATATCTATTAAAAATTGCAACCAGACGGGAAGCTCCCTAGTGGCGCAGGGGTTAAGTCTCAGCACTATGAAGTTATCCGCAGCCACTGCAACATGAGTTTGATCCCCAGGCAGGAAGCTGACCCACAGGGCGCAGCAAACCTCTCCTGCCTCCCCGCTGCTCCCCTCAGCAGTGTATTTCAGTCAGTTCACCTGTTCTGCTCCCCATTCTGTCTCTGGTGAATCCTCTGATCCCCTCCACACCACCCCCCTCCACACCACCCCCCTCCACACACATATCTCTGGTCTACAACCCAGCTCTTGTATGTATAAATAAATACATCTTTTAAAAAAATTTACACCAGAGAATGGTTTTCTTCTTTTTAGAAAATGAACTGGCAATGGAGATGTCACATTCTACTTTAGGTAAAAAAGATTAACCAAAGTACCCACAGTGAAAATGGATTACTGTAATCACCAATATTTTGTTTACTACATAAAACACAGCTACACTTCATACAACCTGGACATCAAGCTAGGCATCAGTTAAAATTTCTGGTAAGCCTGTTAGTTAGATATAATCATTCGTTTATTTCAAATTACAGCAAATATCTGTGACCATCCACATGTCTATTTGGAAAATACAAGGTTACGAGGGGTTGCAAAAATCATTATTAGTAGTAAACATACTATAAAGAAAATGAAAAAGTGGTTTGGAAGTGGGAAAAAATCCAAAAGGAGACTAATGATTAAGTCCTTATGCCTGTATAGCTCAGAAGGTGGAACACTACAAGTCTATAATGGTATCCAGAACCTATATTTTTAATAAGTATCACAATGGTTCTGATAGAAGTAATTTGTGGACCACGAACCATAAACACACCTGACCAACAGAGGAAAGGCTGAGGTGGTCCATTAACTTAGAGATCTAGGAAAAGGAGTGAAGCGATGGACTGGTGAGTAGAGTTCTGAGACGTCTTGTAATTTTAATCACTCAACAGATTTATTGAGCACCTACTGTTCTCGAGAAACCGCGCTTGGTACTAGGAAATACACAGTGACAGGCAGATAGATGGAATCTCACAGAGAAACAGTGAGGGAATGAAAAAGGCAGGGAATTAGAAAAGGTTCCTCTACCTAGGCTGTGAGAGTCACCTCTTGATAAATGAAGAGTTATTGAGCTCTCTGGGAAAGGCCCTCAAGTGGCCATGAGAAAGCAGTGCAACACTTGTCTCCAGGGCAAGAGACTGCGCTGCAGGAACGGCACAGAGGGTAATGCTGGGAGACAAGCGTCAGGAAATGCGTATCCTGTCCTGTCCTGCTGGAAATGTTTCTGAAAGATCCGACTCTATCCCACTGTCTTATTACGTACAGGACAGTGACCATCTCTGAACTCTTAAGGACCCTAGTGTGTCTCCGGGTCACATTGAACACCAAAGGTCTGCAGAAAACTGAGCTGAACCTTTAGTGATTCCTGAAATCTTTTTTATTTAGATTGTTCTCATTTGTTCTCTTTTCCTAAATTTTGAAATATAAATCAGATTAAAGACTCACGTGGACCAGTCATTGATGAAGAGAAATTTTAATTTTATCTATTTCTCATCTTACAAAGTTTCAAATCTTGGCCAAGTTAACCAAATGTAGTGGTGGTGGAAATTTACCTATTACTTTCAAGGAAAATTAAAGAATAACAGATATGAAAGAAGTTTCATTCGTGGCTTAGATATACAGAATTTCATTTATCTGGGTAGGCTGCCCTGGTAAGTAGGCTCTTTGTGAAGAGGAAGCAGTGATAAATATGGTAGGCAGGAAAATAGAGGTTCAAATGTTCTATGTCTAACAAGTACAAACTGAAACAACTTTTGTAACTCCCCTTCAGAAAAGCCTTAGTTGATAATGAAATAGTAGTTTCTAATCAAGAACTACTTCCAGTAGTATACAGTTCATTCAAAAATATGCCGAAAGTTAAATCTCAGTCAGAGGTATAGGTCTAAGTCTTCAATCTTTGCCTCAAAGACTCAAAGGGCATAAACTGGATACTTACCCACACACATTTTGACATCATTCACAGTGAAGTCTGGATCTGGCATCCTGGGAAACAAACACCATTAAGTACAGACAGGAAGCACCACCTATCTAATCAATAGAAAGGTTTTTTTTTTTAAAGATTTGTTTATTTATGTATACAAGAACTGGGGTACAGGCCAGAGGTGTAGAGAAGAAGAGGATTCACCAGAGGCAGAGTGGGGAACAGAAAAGGCAGATTAACTGAAACACACTGCTGAGGGGAGCAGCGGGCGAGTCAGGAGAGGTCTGCTGCACCATGTGCTCCCTGGCTGGGGATCGAACTCGTGCTGCAGAGGCTACGGACAGCTTCACAGCTTGCATCTTATCCCCTTGCGCTACCAGGGAGGCCCCACAATAGAAAGTTTTTCTGAGTTCTATCCCCGGCCAGGGAGCTGACCTACATGGCACAGCAGGCCTCTCCTGACTCGCCCGCTGCTCCCCTCAGCAGTGTGTTTCAGTCAACCCACATGTTCTGCTCCCCATTCTGTCTCTGGTGAATCCTGTCACCCCCCCCCACACCTCTGGCCTACACCCAGTTCTTGTATGTGTAAATAAATCAATTATTAGCAGCAACAACAACAACAACAACAACAAAAGAGCTAAGAATGCTCCAGTTAAGATACATAATCCTCATATTTATTTAAAAATACAAATGATGGCATATGTAAATATTTACATAGGAAAAAAGAATATACAACAAAATCTTACTAGTGATTATTTACCTCAGGGTCGTAGATTTCAAGAGATCAAATTTGTTTTCATTAACCATGAATTGTTTTTGTAACAAGAAAAATACATACTCTTAAAATTAACTGGGAAATTATTTTCAATTTTCTTTGGGTTGGCTATCAATACACGGTCATTTTGCAACCACATCCAATCGGGGGACACTTACTTTATTCCAAGTCCTTCAGAATTCTTAAAAATCAGAGGGTCTCTTAAGCCACCTCGCTGGATATACTCTACATTAAAATCTGTCATAAGAGGAAAATACTTGTTAGAAAGGCAAGAGGTATAGCTGGGAAAAGATAAATGGAACTTAAAAAGGACCCTGAGTCACAGGAGGGGTGGGGTTTGGTATTCCCGGGTATACAGTTTTGCTCTGCTGGACAATACACCATCTCTCAGGACGTGGGGAGCGCATGCTAAGAAACAGGACTCAAGGTCTGCTGTCCGTATCTCCACGGTAAACCCAGCAATTAACAAGAGCAGGCAGCAGCAGTAATGAGAGTCAGTCATTTCATAAATCCTAAGCAAAAGTGACCATCAGCCTGACTCGTAATAGTCAAAAAATTCAATTCTATCGACTGCAATGCATACCATGACATCCATGTCAGTCGCCCAGGAGCAGAGCTGCGACGTCCATATGGATTCCCACCTCAGTGGGATGGGACAGGCATCAGAGGGTTTTTATTGTACTATTCTTAATTAATCCCAAACCAAGGGATGAGAGAGGAAAAGAAGGAAGAGGCCTTTAGAGACAAACTACAACAATGCTGCTGCCCTAACCAAAGCTTACTTCCAGTAGAGAGAGCTGACTGGCAGAGTGGAAGTGGGCGGGGGGAGAGGCCAGTGGAGGCACCATAGTAAGAGAACATCAAAGTAAACACCTTCATAGCCTCAACAGGTAATGCTCTAGCTGCACTGGTAGGCCCACGGTTCCCAGAGTCTAACCTGCCCTGTATCAAAGGGCTACAGGTTTGAGCCAAAGCAATACTGACCTTTTCCCTCCATAAAAGTAACAAAATTTGCATTATATTTGTTGGTGTGGAGTTTTTCTTCCAAGTCAAAAGTTCTCTTCCCTTCAATTTCATCATCGGAAATGCCATCGTCTTCATAGCGCCGCCGCATGGTACCACGCTGGGGAGAAAGGCAGAGTAAGAATGAAGTCATGCACTTCTCCACACCTGGTACAGCGCCATGCAGCTCAGCTGCCATGTCACGCATCAGTTTTCCTTGCCTTATAGATGTTTCCCTTAACTAAAGGTCAGCTAATGTTCTCAGAATATGTAGAATAAAACAAAATTTTGATAAGCCAATTCTTTGAGTGGAGATATAATAAATTTACAATAAAAATGACCAAATATCATCTAAACATTTTATTTGTCTATCATTACTTATCAGAGTGGGACAAACTGACTATAGATATCTCAGATCAGGTTACAAAAATATCATTTTTTAATAGGGGAAAGCTGAATCTAGATCGATTTTCTAAAATAAAGCTTTAACAATATATGGAAACAGGGCCTCCCTGGTGGTGCAGCCGTTGAGCGCTGGGTTGAGAAGCTGCCCGCAGCCTCTGCAGTGCCGGTTCGATCCCCGGCTGCTCCCGGCCACCGGAGGAGGGTCCCACATGGCGCGCAGACCTCTCCTGCCGCCCGCTGCTCCCCTCAGCAGTGTACTTCGGTCCTTCTGCCTGCTCTGCTCCCCGCTCTGGCTCTGGTGAATTCTCTCACCCTCCCGCGCTTCTGACTGTACCCAGTGCTTGTATAAATAATAAATAAATCTTTTAAAAAAAAAACAAAAAAAAATATGGAAACAAAAAAAAAAGAATATATGGAAACATTTTAATTAATGAAGCAAAAGCTCTTTTACAACTCAGATAAAGGAAGACTATTAATCTAAACAATGGTGTTCTTTTTTTTTTTTTAATAGAGGCATGTTTTTATTTATTTATTTGTTTGTTTGTTTTGTTTATACATGCACTGGGTACAGTCAGAAGCGCGGGAGGGTGAGAGAATTCACCAGAGCCAGAGCGGGGAGCAGAGCAGGCAGAAGGACTGAAGTACACTGCTGAGGGGAGCAGCGGGCGGCAGGAGAGGTCTGCGCGCCATGTGGGACCCTCCTCCGGTGGCAGGGGAGCAGCTGAGGATCGAACCGGCGCTGCAGAGGCCGCGGGCAGCTTCGCAACCCAGCGCTCAACCGCTGCACCACCGGGGAGGCCCTAAACAACGGTGTTCTAAACAGCAGTCCACCAGATACTTCGCTTTAAGGATATCTACCAAAGAAGATACACAAATGACCGAAATGCACCTGAACTGGTGCTCAATATCACTAGTCCCCTAATTAGTCATTAGGGGAAATGCAAATTAAAACCACAATGAGACACCACTTTCACATTCACTAGAATGTCTATTATCATCTTTTGGGAATGATGAAATTTTCTGGTATTGTATAGTGGTGATATTACCAAAACTGTGAATATACTAAAACCAAATGAATTGTACACTTTAAATAGGTGAAATTTATGGTAGGTAAGTTATGTCTCATAAGTTGCTATTTTTTTTTTAAGATGTTACTTATAGTTCATATTTGCCTTTTAGGATATTTTGCTTCAACCATATTAAAACTAGCTGAAATGTTTTACATACATACATACACATTGGAACAATTGGTATGGGAGTGACATAGGCAAGGCTGAAATAGCCCTATGTGCTACGAACCACCAAACCTGGACTTTAAAATTAGATGCTGATGATTTAAAATGAACTACACAGCTCCTGAATTTACATAAATACATTAGAAAATGAGACACTGGAGAAAGGCTGCTTACGGGATGTGTGTCAGGGAAGAGCAGAAATGAGTTGCAAGAAGTAAGAATTAATAAAATTGAGTTATACATCAGAGGAAAACACGTTCAACTTTGTAGTTTTAGGTAGAAACATTGAGGGATACCTGATGGGTTTTTTTTTTCCATTTGGCAAAATGTCTTCTAATATGCCTACCTAGCACCCCTACTGTCCTAAGTCACAGTTCAAAAGCAAAAAGAAGACTTCATTTTGGTCGTCCTTTCACTTAGTCCAATAATACCATCATGGCTCAAAATATTTTTAGGCATCTTTATTGGGGAGGAGGGGAGTATTTTCACTGACCATTTCTTACATTTTTTTTAAACGACATTACTCAGTTTTCTTCCTCACCTTATCTCACATATGCGCCCGTGAAGAGACCTCTGAAAGACGAGTTCCAAGAACGGAGAGGAAGGATAACACCGTCAGGACAAATGCAGTTTCCCAAAATAAGCACTTTCAGAACTCATTTGCACCCTAAGTTCTAATATGTCTGACAAAAGCATCCCAGTAATGTTTTCAAACATCAACCTTTCCCAGGTCTGCTATTTTACTGATTATCCCAACATTTCTAGCACACTAGCCAAAAGTTCCTGCCTTTCTTTTTACGTGCTTTTCTTCTTTTTCCTGTCCTCATGAAGAATCATCCTTCTAATTAACACTGTTAAAACGGTCATCCTACCCAAGGCAATATACAGGTTCAGTGTAATCCCCATTCTAGGCTCCAATGGCACTCTTCAAAGAAACAGAAGGGAAATACTGAAATTCACATGGAACCACTAGCCAAAACAATGCTAACAAAAAAGAGGAAGAGTAGTGGTCACACTCCACACTTTGTACTACAAAACTACGAGATTCAAAACAGTATGCTACTGGAGCAGAAGCGCACACGGAGAGGGCTGAAACCAGACTGCCATCTCTCACCTTACATAAAAACTCAAAACGAATTAACAACATGGATGTAAGACCCTGAACTTAAAATACACTGGGGGGAAAAAAACAGGCAAAACACTCCTTGACATTGGTTCCAAGATGTCTTTGTGGGTTCATCTCCAATTGCAAGAACAACAAAAGTAAATATAAACAAACGGGACCATATTAAACTTAAAAGTTTCTGCACAGTGACAGGAAATATCAGTAAAACCATTTTTTTCCCTTCTCAATGGGAGAAAATATTTGCTCATCATATATCTGACAAAGGGCTGATATCTAGGGGTTAAATCTCAGCACTATGAAGCTGTCCATAGTCACTGCAGCACAAGTTCGATCCCCGGCCAGGCTGACCCACATGGCGCAGCAGACCTCTCCTGTCTCCCTGCTGCTCCCCTCAGCATGTATTTCAGTCAATCCACCTGTTCTGCTCCCCACTCTGGTGCATGCCCTCACTACTCCCCACACCCCCGCACCTCTGGTCTACACCAGTTCTTGTAATGCATAATTCAATAAAATAAAACTTTTTAAAAGGGTTGATATCTAATAAAGAACTCAAGCAATTCCAAAAAGAGAAAAGAAAAAATGTGCAGAACTAAACAGACATTTCTCCAAAGATGGCCAATAGGCAGATGAAAAAATGCCCATTTTCGCCTCCCTGGTGGTGCAAGGAGTTAAGCCTCAGCACTATGAAGCTATTCGCTACTAGCTAACTACTGCAGCACAAGTTCGATCCCCGGCCAGGGAGATAACCCACATGGAGCAGCAGACCTCTCCTCTCTTGCCCGCTGCTCCCCTCAGCAGTGTATTTCACTCAGTCTGTCTGTTCCGCTCCCCACTCTGTCTCTGGTGAATCTTCTCACCCCCTGTACTTCTGGCCTGTACCCCAGCTCTTGTATGCATAAATAAATAAATCTTAAAAAAAAATGCCTATCTTCACTTATCAGGGAAATGCAAAACAAAACCATAATGAGTTACCATCTCATAACTGTGAGAATAGCCCATATAAAAAGGACCAGAGCAACAGGTGTTAGTAAGGATGTAGAGAAAAAAGAACCCTTGTACACTGTTGGTGGGCATGTGGAATGGTCCAGCCCCTATGGAAAGCAGTAAGGAAATATCTCAAAATATTAAAAATAACTAGCCACATGACCCACCAATTCCGCTGCTAGGTATCTATCTGAGAAATGCAAAAACACTAATTCGAAGGGCTATGTACGCTCCCATGTCCACTGTAGCACTACTTATTTTTTTTTTTAAGATTTTATTTTTTTTTTATAGAGGCATGTTTTTATTTATTTGTTTGTTTGTTTATTTTGTTTATACATGCACTGGGTACAGTCAGAAGCGCGGGAGGGTGAGAGAATTCACCAGAGCCAGAGCGGGGTGCAGAGCAGGCAGAAGGACCGAAGTACACTGCTGAGGGGAGCAGCGGGCGGCAGGAGAGGTCTGCGCGCCATGTGGGACCCTCCTCCGGTGGCCGGGAGCATCAGGGGATCGAACCAGCACTGCAGAGTCTGCGGGCAGCTTCGCAACCCAGCGCTCAACCGCTGCGCCACAGGGGAAGCCCTGTAGCCCTACTTATTGATAATAACAGTCAAGTTATGGAAAGTGTCCAACAATAGAGAAGTAGCTTAGAAAATGTGGTGTATATACACACAGTGAAATACTACTCAGCTATTAAAAAAAGATGAACACTTGACATGTGTGACAACATGGGACTGGAGGGGATAATGCAAATACTGGATGATTTCACTTACTGTGGAATAGGAGTGAGAAACAAAGCAAAGAGCAAGGAAAAAAACAAACCAACAATGAATCCTAGAAATATGACTATGAATGAGGCTCTACGTGGGGAGCAAAGAAAGGAGGGGACACAATGGGCTATGGTGGGGGCTGAGGATGTCTTGTGGAAGGCATGGTGTGAAGACACACACCTAAGGAGGTATGAATCCTATGCCTTTAAATCACATACAGTGTTGCAAACCAATGTTACCTCTCCTATGCAAAATTCCTCCTATTTGCATTTTCAACATACAGCAGACACAGACATAAGAGGCTCCCACAGTGGCCAAGGCATGTCTATTTTTTGAAGACAACAGAAAAGTGAACCTGAATAATGCAAACATGATTTGCGTCGATTTTCACACTGTCAAGGACGGGAGTTGTTTTTTTCCCTATCTCCCATCTTAATGTAAATTTTGGTGAAAGTAAACATCTGCAACAAATCTCTAAGCACTTTAAAAACACATTCAATCTTTGCAGTAAGGTGGGAAATCAGCAGGCCACAACACAGTCTGCTGCAGGTGAACCCAAAAGGTCCGGCCACTTTTTTAACAGTAAGGAAAGCAGCTGGCAATC